CACACTCCGTAGACCTTCCTCGAATCTCTGTGGTTACACGAGATCACAGAGTCTACATTATATTGAAATAAATCATTATCTTACATCCTCATGATCATCAACTTTGTTTTATCAGCGATTAAGGAATATATCAAGTTGAAGATTTGAGAAAACAGATTTTAACACAGTACTCGAAATCGATTTGAACTCAATACTTGTGGTAATTTTAGTACACCACAAACGTAAACCTGCACCTCTATGTGCACGTGCACTGCAGGCGTTAACTCGTTATAATTGTATTGCCGAACACGTAATGATGTTTACCCTAAAGAGAGATGTATTTCATGTTTGAGGAACATAAGTTAGTGAATTTATCAGCTATCCCGTTTACATAGGATATAGCGAACGAGATAACAAGCTACTGAGGAATCTAAATAACACATAAATGATATATTTCCCTTTTCAAGAGGACAATAGGCTGTTAAGTAATCTACAGAATACAGAAGAAAATAGATATGTTTCCATCAAGATGAAATACTGTGGAGTAAGTGAATATAACTTATCTACGTGTGAATAGAACTTATCTACGTTTCCCCGTAGATGTCTTTCGCCGTTACAACAGAGGATACAATCTTTTCATCGATCAATTTTATAAGCAGGGAGCGTGGGGATGATACCTGTACTCAATAGAATAAGCAGAAAACACGCAAGAAGATTTTAACTAGGACCATTGAAAAAGGTAAAAGAGAAGTCCTCCTGTTCCTGAAGGGAAAGCGTCTTCCGCTTCATTGAAGTCATAGATTATTTTAAGCTAGGTCTAATCCAAACAATATTACGTTCTCAAATAAGAACGAGGTTAAAAACAGTGGAATATTCCCTTTCGCGACCATACGGTTTTTCTCGAAACCCTGTGTTGTGAATTTATTTGTCAGCTGTCGAGCTCATTAAGACCATAAAGCTTAGTGAAAATTGACGTGAATATTGTAGAAAGATGATATAGAAGAATCTGTCTTGCCATAGCTAAGATAGCCCTAATGCTGTTATAATATTAATATAGAGAAAATCAGATGCAATGTGTATTATGAAAGGATAATAACATTCGCAGATTTAACATGCCAGAACGCCTGTTAATGCTGCATTTGCTCTTTTCTTTCCTATAAAAATATTAGATTTAACCTTGTCGACAATTGGTACTTAATTACGACTGTGTTTAATTAGCTATGCTACAAGGGAACATTTATTATGCTTACTGAGCGAGAGAAAACAATTTAGCCCTGGAGCTCTACCAACCTTTGATCGGAGTTAAAGCAATAAAAGATACATTACAACGTGCAGTGTTCATAGCGATGTTGAGTTAATTTCCATTTTGGAAATAAATATGTAATGTAATTTGCACCATATGAGATTATACATGTTATCAATACTGTATGGTTCTCGACCTCCCTTGACATTTGTCGGTTGACTTGCTCTGATTGGTTCTCGGAGACAATGTTACAATTGTCAATAATGTACATACTATATAGGTATGTGTCACGAAATGAACAGAAGAGTTAGTGTTTTTCTTCACTGCATCATATCTTTAATATCTGCTTCGACTTAACCTGGTCGTGATCAAAAACTAAATATTTCTGTTGTATATAAAGATAATCGATTGCCGACGCGAAAACATGGTAATAGGAAATTAGGTTAAACATATTTATTTGGAAAATAGATCAGAGGTTCGGGCAAAAGTTATTACAACGCCTTTCACTCCAATATAAATTTGTATCAATTTAGGAAGATTAGCATAAAACTGAGTACCACTCGGAACTTAAAGGAGAAAAGAGAAAGAAAAAGACACCAACAGACCGTCAACAGAAAGTGGAAATTGACAACAAGACATTTTTATAGTTTTCTTCATAATTTCAAAGGGAAGAATTCTCTAGGTTGGATGCTCGATGATCGTTATCTGCCTGATGGTGCGTCATTTTCCTGGTTCTCATTTTGAGAGCTTGAAATGACATTTTATTACTATCTACATATAAAGTCAATGGAGCTGTAGACGTATATTTACGAGAACACACGACTTTATTTCCCTTGTACAATGCAGTAGTCACAACGATCACACTTCATCTTTTCTTTAATTTCCATGCAGTTTCCTCTTTTTGCTTTATCATGATAGTACTTTCAACAACACTGTCATTAGACAACTGGTCACACTTGATTTTTGTTAAAACATACATCATTTATCATTACTTCTACTATAAAAATGATTTGAAGGAACAACTAAGTGGCAACTTTTATCATTAGTTCATGATGAGATTAATGATGCTATCATTCTGTTGAATAAGGTTTTTATTGAAGACAAATAAGAGTTGCAGCCTTAGATGACTAGTGTAGACATATATATTTTTTCAATATTGTAGAATATGAAATACCTGTGGTTAACATATAAAACAACATGAATACATGTATCAACAAACAAAAGAAGGTTTCATGTTATACAATAAGATTACCATTTTCCACAATGTGCCTACTTTCCTGTAAAGTCGTCGATAGATTTGGGTCAGGATGTAGGTCGAGGCAATGTTTAACATATCTCTCTATGCGGACTATCTGTGTGAATCGTTGTTTTATCGATTCTTAATGTACATACCAACAATTTGACATATCATTTGTATTTGTTCACTCAACTAGATCGGTAAAAGAACGGACATCGAAGAAAGGCATTATGTTTATCTTAAATGGAAATTAGGTTTTATGTATCATTTCGTATACAAGTATCCAGTTAAGGTAGGAGACAATATCACGTGACATGATTTTATTTCGTTGTGTTATCATATTTGAATTTGATCCATAGATTGAGAATATAATTTACTTTACTGTAACGGTTATTGTGTTTGGCGACTTTCTGGCATTACCAACAAACTCAAAGCATAGAAAAGTCAATCGGAAGATATCACAAAAATTATCAGTATTTTAATCTCCACTTCACATTCCGTTGACACATTTGAGCATTTCGTTATTAAATGACGTCGATGTCCATCATATACCTCAACAGGAGAGATGACCGCCATCGTTTGGCTATCGACAGAATTCATGAGTTCATCAGGGATTAGATCATGGTCATGCTTTGGATATATAAAACATTTATACCAGATACATTTAGTAGATCCGTGCATCTTTCTGGACGGACAATAAAACAAAAAAAATATCGAAAAGTCAACACATTATGAATTCAAACTCAAAACAAAGTGAATATTTAGGAAGATGATAAAACATCGTGTTCGTGTTCTCATCGATATTGAAACGCCATAGGCTGGGAAAGCAGAGTTATTGCTTTTCAGAAATGAAAAATTCACAAGAAAAATATAGAAATCACCATGCTTATAATACAACTTGCATTGGTAGAAAGCTGTCAATGTTGATTTCATAGGACGAAAAGGTCGAGCGGATGAAGTAGACGATTCTGTCGTATTTTTTATGTTCAATAACAGTAGACATATACAATGAATACGGTCAATAAATATCTTGTTATTTAAAAACAAGACATCAGCGACATATCTCAAAACGAAATCAAAGGATTTCGCAAGGACTTTGTCACGTGACCTGCTTTCGCATATTCTTCGATAAATTCAAACTCGTATTAAAATATAAGCATTTCGGCTTAGAGAGGGACACAATTTGTTCCCAGAGATATGCTTTATGGTCTTTTGAAAGTTTTCTCTTACGAACCTGACACAGAAACACATATTGTTATCACTAAAGGTCATCATCACACCTGGATATTCCGAGGTCTTAAACATTCTCTGAAATAACTCTGTGGTTGATGTTACCCCTTTTTGCTCATAACCTAGATTCTTAATCGTTTTTATCTACATATAACTGCACGTCTTCAAAGATCTAGTATAGAGTGTTGGATTCACGTATGTTCTTGTTATGTGTGCGTCACTATTTTTCCGAGTTCGATAGAAAATTGTATTGGTACACAATTTATAGTCAAAACAAATGTTTGAAGAAATGGTTCTAAATTGCAAAAAAAAAAAGGATATTTGTCTTTCTCTCTCTCTCTCTTTGCTCAGTGTCAAGACTCTTTCTTGCGATATTTACATTTGTGATAATAAACATCGTCCAGTCGAACATTGGAACTATCTAAAAAATGTATTGTGTTCAAAATAGAATCTATTTCACTGCTACATGCATTTCATCTAGTCACACAGACATATTGTTTGATAAAGACAAACCAATACACGAATATAACATTTGGCTGGTTCACCTCTTACTCATAGACACTAGGTCCCATTAATGCCCCCACACTTTGAGAGATGGCAGTGTACGCTGTGTTAGAAGGTAACCGTGTTCCTTCGTTCATCAAGGCAGACACTCTCGGTGAAACTTAGTGATATTCTGCATGCATACATTTATCGGTCTAGAATCTCTTGCATGAACAGGTGTTGTGAAGGAAGGAAGCAGACACATGCTGAACACCACAAAGACTTACTTCATGCTATCGGACATTAACAGTGTATGGGGCCAGGTGTGTATTGGAACACCAGACGTACGAAATTAGCAATTGCTTCCGATCTTGTTCTGCTATAATGGTGTCGTACTCTATCATCATCACGAGGTTATTTTTAAACTTTGTAATTCATGATATGATTAATAATGACTTGCTTAAAAGTACTTTGTAACATTTCTCCCTTAAGAATCCTGATAGTCGCATGTCTAATCGAAAACCGTTTGTAGTTATTTTTATCTCGTTTTTACATATACAAAAACAGAAAGAAAGTATGCAGAATAACACTTCCGGTGGACCTTTGAAATCAACACAGCTATGTTTTATATAAACCTTGTAAATACTTGCAACAACACTTGTATTAGCATTAGAGAGCTACCTGGATCATTACCTCTTTTTATAGGAAAATTTACAAACATGATTCTTAGTATTACGACCGCTATAGCTCAGCCCTCTTTACACTTAAGATCGTTCTGACTTTCAACACTCGATGTGATAACCTTTCCTGTTGTAATTGTTGTTACAGGAAACCACACGTGCATTGATTCTGACGAACTACACGAACTGCTGTCGGAAGTGGACACTGAAATCAACTTTGCTTTGCGCATGATCAGAAACAAGACGATATACACACAATGGGATTTTTCGGGTTCATTCTCTTTTGTCATCACTGTTGTCACCACCATAGGTATGTTAAGGAAACATCAGTTTGAGGGGAAAACAGAAGCAGTTACCTGATTGTCAGTGATGTTGTAATTGTTTGGTGGGGCTGCGTATTTTATAATCAGACTTACAAATCTCGATCTTTAGTGAATTCATTTGTGTGTGTCTTTCATACAATCCATATGTAGTATTTGAATTTGCTATTATTTTAATGATAATAAGTGTATTTTAAGACGTGGATATAATCATTTTATTAATGCATTCTATTAATTATCTTTTCGTTTGTGATTTCCTACTCTTCGACGAAAGATCACCAAAATGCATACACTTGTTACGGAACTTTGTATTGTTGAATACAGCAAGCATTGGCCACTGTTGAAATATCAGTAACGTGGTAACGTAAACAACGATGTATTTTATCTTAATCGCTTTTTAACATATACATAACACCGATATAAGATAAACTGCAGAAATATCAATTAGTTCCTGCTAATTCAATGTATCACCACTCAGAGGCAGTATCACCACTCAGAGGCAGGAAATATTGGAAAGATCACTTACATGATAGCTACATGGAGCAGATGTAGTATAATGGAAGTGAGTACTTGTAGATCACAACAAACCTTAACTTACAAGGTAAAAACAACACTGAGAAACTACAAGATAAGGTCTGTGTGATATAAATCTGAACCTTTAGCAATTTACATGCTACTTGGTGATATCGTTTTTGTTCTCAGTAACGCGTACTTGCCAATTTTGTTAAATTTTCTCAGCATCATTCGAGAAATTCCAAGGATGGATACCGTACGCGTTTAGCGTTTAAGTAATTGTATTTTAATTAGATTCGGTTTAGACAGGCTTTGAAGTAAGTAGCGCTTGCCCAGGGGTGCTGTAATGAAGTGAGTTATCTAATTTCTTTGAACGTACTGGTACATTTTAGATGAGATATAATTAAGGATACCTGCTACTTTCGATATCTGATGACTTCAACAGAATAATGAAAATAACATAAAGACTGCTGTAATCTGAACTCATCATTAAGTGCTGACATACACATTCAGTAAGACTTATCTATATCGACACCAACAGTACGTGTTTACCTCTACATGTCTGGCGTCTTAGTGCTTACATAACGCTGGTTTTGTTATGACAATAAATAGTGTTTAGTTCGTTGCTTACTCTCTAACTCCTTAACTAGGATGTATCCGTTAAACGCCTCTGGTAGATCTATTAGTGATGTAGGGACACTTGTGACGTGTGTGGCGAAGGAAAGAGAAAGAAACCACATATTTCCAGGTGTATTAATAATTCTACGTACCACACATAAACATGGAAAAAAGAGACGGAGATGATATGTTGTCATTGATCATACAGTATTACTAATTGAATTCAATCTGCTACTACAATGACGTAAATTCTATATTGTATCTAGGAACATTAGAAGTATGCTACTTTAAGATAAAAAATAAATTCCCACGAATTGCAATATCATAACTATTAGTATTTAACACAAAAACATGAAGAATATTTGGTAAATATGTTATGAAAGCTGGGTATTTGTGTCATGTCGTCACTTTTAATAGGGTCATGTCATCACCCACAATAGGGTTGTGTCGTCACTCATAACAGTGTTGTCGTCACTCACAATAGGGTCATGTCGTCACTCTTAATAGGGTAATGTCATCACCCAAAATAGGGTCGTGTCGTCACTCACAATGGGGTCGTGTCGTCACTCAATATAGGGTCGTGTCGTCACTCACAATAGGATCGTGTCGTCACTCACAACAGTGTTGTCGTCACTCAATAGAGTCGTGTTTAACCTGTAACCTTGTTTCCACAGGGTACGGAAATCTGGCACCACGGACGGGTCTGGGAAAGGTGGCTGTCGTAGTGTTTGCCTTCATCGGGATACCTATCACAATGATAATGATCTCCTATATAGGACAATTGTTGACCAGACTTTCTAAACGGGTCAACAAGTGCAACCTGTGTTCGTCAAAGCCAATGGTAAACAAGGTGCTCAATATCGTGCTGATTATAACGCTAGGAATCACCATGCTGTTTGGAATCCCTGCCTTTATATTTAATCAAGTGGAGAAGTGGGACTTCTTGGAGGGATTGTACTATTGTTTCGTTACATTATCTACGATAGGGTTCGGTGATTACATTGCAGGTAAGTATTTTTGTGTCCTTGAGAGAGTTTAATTATTAACGTATTTAGGCAAAGTTATATATTATGTGTTTCGATTATAATTGTCTTTTAACACATAAATTACCTCAGTAAATAAGTATGACAAAAAATATTTATGGCTCGTTTCGTCAAAGGTTCTAATGTTCTGCTACAATGTGACTCCATATTGCTTGTGGTTATATCACTTCAACTAGATTTCATTTCTTCAGTAACGTTATATCCTTCCCTGCTTACGGAGTAACAAATACTCTTCGCTGATCCAGACCGTTTATAGTATATGGATGGACTCTACTCACACATACTTGTATGAAGCTTTCTGATTGTAACTGTTTGTCACTTCGCGGTCAGCACTTGCCATAGTGAGTCCGAGTGTACACTGGAAGCATATCAAGGAATACATGAAAATCGTTTGTCATACAGAGGTTTACGTGTAACGCAGTACGCTTTGATATAAACCACAACAAACCTGGGAATGATAAACCATCGCGGAGCATTGGCCCCGAATCGTAAAGCAATATTGACATAGGTCACCAAAGAAAGAACTACAAACTTTCGCATTTCATTATTTTACAATCCGAAATAAGAAGTTTAATGCATCTAAACGTAAGAAAAGTATACTCATTATAAAACCGATAATGCTGCAGGATTTCTAAAGGTGTATGGCGCGAAAGGCCTAATTCGATCTACACTCAACAAGGACTAAAACATGTTGCATACTTGTTCATAACGGGTGGTCAATGGTAGACATACGACTATTTTTAGTTCAAAGTTCCCGATAACACGTGTACCCGTGATCAGCAATAGTGGTTGTAATATTGTGTTTAAACTAAAACAGATGCTCACATCCTTATGCGCCGTACCTCTTTTGACTTAAGTCGAAGGCTGTCATTTTGATCCCGAGGACTGGGATTGACGCCTGATTATCAATCTTATAATTGTTTTTGAATTGCAATATGTTGTCAGTCTATGATGCAGTAGAAACACCACAGTGTATGTGATCAACATTTCATTATTCTCATTTCGATATTTCCTTAACTTATCCACGCAGCATATGCTCATGTATAGTATGATCCTTGTATCCTATTGATGAAATGGTGTTGACAAGCTTGTTTGGCATGTAGTTATAGAGTATTAATGATTGGAAAGACAGCTACTACAGGAAAATATATCAAATGTTATGTCTGTTGCTGCGAATGAAGGGCACAAGGTACATTAAAAAATCCGAGTTCCTGCTTTCATAACTTAGTTTGACTGGATAATCGACAAATTGCTGGAATTGATATGCATGGAATTTATTTTCATTGTATGAATGTACGCACGAGTCACGACTATCGGGTTTGTTGGTTTGATGAAATAGGCGGTGAGAGACACCACTGGAGAAATATTTACCTAGCTAATAACGCCATACCGAAGTGTCGGGTACGCACCCTCCTGTCAACATCCTGTCCGCCAGCGCTCGATATCATATCGAGCGGTCAATCATAATATTAGCTTAGCTTAGCATGTTTGTGTGCATGTATCACCGACATGCTGACGAGAAAAAATGATAAGTGAAGTGGGTATAACTTTGACAGAAGACTGCTTCTCAGTACGTGCTAATGAATAAGCTAACGTTTTTGTGTTTATGGAGATGAAGCATGTTAACCACATTTCCTGTTGCTGGCATTTTGACACTCACTAGTTTATCAAACGATTTATTGTAATGTAGAGGTATACATTATATCGTTTATCACTTACATCTATTTGCATCCTTTTCACTAGCAGTTCTCTCTGGATTACACAAAATTGACTTACGCCAATTCTTGCCAATGTCGATGAAAATTGAAAGTTCATTTAAGTGCACGTCAATGTATTAAAAGGAAATTATCATTTCCTTTAACGAGCCTCTCCATACACTGGTTTGATTAAAACTATTAATTTACCATTATTATCCATTGTTTTCTTGATTTCATTATACAAACAAGACCAACTCATTGAATTCCATTTAAGTCCCTGTAACAATACCTCATTGTGCACGCGCATCTTGGATTTTTTTTTAAAAATCCATATTTTAGAATTCTAATTGTCTGTAATTCATTCTACGATATATTTATATAATACCTGCGCCAAGTTACAGAACCAAGTTACATACCTTCCCTTTATTTCAATAGGTACTCTGTTTATGGGCTAGGTGTCAAACTACTGTGTTTATGAGATTGGTGGGCAATCTGTCATGCTACTGTGTTTAGGGGCGATGTGTCATACGACTGTGTTTAGGGGCGTGGTGTCATGCTGTTGGGTTTAGGGGTGATGTGTCATGCTACTGTGTTTAGTAGCGAAGTGTCGTACTACTCTGTTTATGGGCTAGATGTCATGTTATTGTGTTTTAGGTCTAGATGTCATGCTGTTGGGTTTAGAGGTGATGTGTCATGCTTCGCTGTTCAGGGGCGAGGTGTCATGCTACTGTGTTTATAAGCTTGGTGTCATGCTAATGTCTTTTGGGGCGAGGTGTCATGCTACTGTGTTTATGGGCGATATGTCATGCTACTGTGTTTAGTAGCGAAGTGTCGTACTACTCTGTTTATGGGCTAGATGTCATGTTATTGTGTTTTAGGTCTAGGTGTCATGCTACTGTGTTTGTGGGCTGGGTATTGTGCTGCTGTAATTAGGGGCAATCTGTCACGCTACTTTGTTTAGGGGCAAGATGTCATGCTACTGTGTTATGGGGTCATGTGTTGTGCTGCTGTGTTTATGGGCTAGGTGTCATGCTACTGTGTTATGGGGTCATGTGTTGTGCTGCTGTGTTTATGGGCTAGGTGTCATGCTACTGTGTTATGGGGTCATGTGTTGTGCTGCTGTGTTTATGGGCTAGGTGTCGTGCACTGAATTTAGAATACAACATTTCCTTAAGAGGTTAGTTTACGTCAAATGTAGCCAACATCGGGCCATATCTTCTGACTTCAACGTTTATATGTGTCTTTACTGCAGTTACTCGCATTGTGCTGAGACATAGAAAGAAGACAGTTCTTTTTTCATTACTCGGCGTTTGTAGGTCTTTCTTCTCGTCTCCAAAGTGTGCTTTTTTGTGATTTGATGAAAACATTTACAAAAGGTGTCATTCATGATGCTCGAAAAATCTTGCTTTTGCAAAACAGCTTTTGTTTGAAGATTTTGTCGAGTAGTACGTATTTGGGATTAATTAATCTCTAGACTTTTCCTTATGTATCAACATTGACGTGTGTCTACTCTTTCAGCTATATCTGAGAACCGCCTGAGTGATCGCGGGGCTGGTGACGTGTACCGGGTGGTGACGTATGTATGGATACTGTTTGGACTCTCCTATCTGTCCCTCGTCATATCTTACATTACAGAGGTCTTCATTAAAAAAGCAGAGAAGATGGAAAACTTCACCAAGAATAAATTTGAGGTGAGATATTTATATAGGAATAGATATAGTAAGCACTAAACTGATCTCGTTTTCATTAGGAAGTTCGTGAATGATACTGACATACCCGTCGTTTTAATGTGTCGTCGAGCTCTATTGCTGCGTTAATGTTTTTTCATTGCATCACAAGAATATCAAAATAATCTATCGCTCAAATGAACGAACGATCAAGCAATCTTAATAATTTTACTAGAACATAGTCTTACGCTCAGCGGGCGTCGTCACAAGAATTATTATACTCTAATGATTACGTACTGGCTAATAATAAACACTCTAATTACCGAGTCTAAATTTATATTTACCATCTTTTCAACAATGCTAACACTAAGGTATATAAACAATAGATAGAACAATTAGACGAAGTTCAAAAAGTGAAGACATTTAAATTTGCTTAAAATGATCTTTTCTCGCAATTCCAATTCCTTAATTCCGATTAAGAGAATCACATTACAGCATTACTCAGCACTAAAGAATATTTGCCCTATACTTGGGTTGACCAAAGACAAGCATATTCCGATATTATTGACTTCAACACACAATTTGGATACGGGGTCTGATCATTGGTAAAGGCTGAACGTGACAAAATGTTATTTTAATTATTTTTATCAGGACAGTAGTATCGTTAGATATGACATCCATGCCTATGACACTAATCGTCAGACAGGATGTTCGCACTTCCTGTGTAGGAAGTAAAGCCCTCAAAAGATATTCCCAAAGGTCTCGTCCAAAGGCTGTTATACCAAGTATAATATGTTTTCTACTTTTAAACGGAAATTTGATATCTTTCATGGTCTCATAACATGTCAATCGGAAGGAAAACTTTAATTAGAGAAAAATCGATGGATGTTTTTGGCTTCCTTTTATGGGCAGATTCAACAGAAATTCTATTCACAAGATCACACATTGCCTGGTTCTGTAAACACCATCTTCGATTTCTAGATAGACTTCCTGTTATTTGAATTAGTGTTAATACCATTATGATGGATTCCGGTTAGACATTTCTTCGTAAATATTTTCTTCACAATGACGATGTTTATCAAAATAGCAACATCATATTATCTCAGATATGCCAATAACCACTACTTAAACCAATTCTAAATGTGTTCGGTAACATATTTTGTTTATTAACGGTGTTACGGGGTTTACATACAAAGATTGGATGATCAACATTGACCTACGAATTTTAGAGTATCACATGTCTAACAACAACAACAACAACATTGGGTGATATTTAACAGTATCAATGTATAGAGTATCACATGTCTAACGACAACAACAACAACAACAACGACATTGGGTGATATTTAACAGTACCAATGTATAGAGTATCACATGTCTAACAGCAACAACAACAACAACAACAACAACAACAACAACAACAACAACAACAACAACAACAACAACAACAACAACAACAACAACATTGGGTGATATTTAACAGTATCAATGTATAGATTATCACATGTCTAACAACAACAACAACAACATTGGGTGATATTTAACGGTATCAATGTATAGAGTATCACATTTCAAACAACAACATCGGGTGATATTTAACGATATCAATGTATAGAGTATCACATGTCTAACAACAACAACATTGGGTGATATTCAACAGTATCAATGTATAGAGTATCACATTTCAAACAACAACAACATCGGGTGATATTTAACGGTATCAATGTATAGAGTATCACATTTCAAACAACAACAACAACAACATCGGGTGATATTTAACGGTATCAATGTATAGTATATCACATTTCAAACAACAACAACAACATCGGGTGATATTTAACGGTATCAATGTATAGAGTACTAAAGTATCACATTTCAAACAACAACATCGGGTGATATTTAACAGTATCAATGTATAGAGTATCATATGTCTAACAACAACAACAACAACACTGGGTGATATTTAACAGTGGATTGTTTGTTGCATCCGTGTCTGTTTGATTTGGTAAGTTTACCACCGTGGATACTTGTCTGTTTGATTTAGTAAGTTTATCACCGTGCATACGTGTCTGTTTGATTTGGTAAGTTTACCACCGTGGATACGTTTCTGTTTGATTTGGTAAGTGTATCACCGTGGATACGTGTCTGTTTGTGGATACGTGTCTGTTTGATTTGGTAAGTGTATCACCGTGGATATGTGTCTGTTTGATTTGGTAAGTTTATCACCGTGGATACGTGTCTGTTTGATTTGGTAAGTTTACCACCGTGGATACGTGTCTGTTTGATTTGGTAAGTGTATCACCGTGGATATGTGTCTGTTTGATTTGGTAAGTTTATCACCATGGATACGTGTCTGTTTGATTTGGTAAGTGTATCACCGTGGATATGTGTCTGTTTGATTTGGTAAGTTTATCACCATGGATACGTGTCTGTTTGATTTGGTAAGTGTATCACCGTGGATACGTGTCTGTTTGATTTGGCAAGTTTATCACCGTGGATACATGTCTGTTTGATTTGGTAAGTTTATCACCATGGATATGTGTCTGTTTGATTTGGTAAGTGTATCACCGTGGATACGTGTCTGTTTGATTTGGCAAGTTTATCACCGTGGATACATGTCTGTTTGATTTGGTAAGTTTATCACCATGGATACGTGTCTGTTTGATTTGGTAAATTTATCACCGTGGATACATGTCTGTTTGATTTGGTAAGTGTATCACCATGGATACGTGTCTGTTTGATTTGGTAAGTTTATCACCGTGGATACGTGTCTATTTGATATGATAAATTTATCACCATGGATACGTGTATTTTGATCTGGTAAGTTTATCGCCATGGGTATTGATCATACAAATTTAGGATTTGATATGGTTAAGATATCATATACTGTGACATCAAATGATTTCTATTTCGTTTGAGAACTAATTACACCCGGGACATCGATCAGCATTTTACCTTCCATTTCTGTTAAATAAATCTGAAAATTATTCTGTTCTACATTTCTATACCAATGTTGTTAACGAGCTCTAACGAAAATGAAACCACCTGCCAATCATAAATCGTTATTGCGTTTATTACACGGAAAGTGAGTGTTGACATGGAAACAGCACCAGGTAAACTCGACAGACCTACAATTAACATCTTAAACTGATTATCACATGCCAATTTTGTCGCCGTAGAAGAGTTCGTTATGACATAAGCGTATTACTCTTTCAGTATATCTGATTCGATTGTTTGTTATATACATTCAGTCAAAATTGATATTTTTTCACAAAAGGATGATTATAAAAACGCTAAAGCTGCTATTTGTTCTTATGATTCTTAATCATGTTTAAAACACTTGCTGGGATCAGAAATTTGTTCTAAGAGACAAATGCATATCTCTGCAAAGAATTGTGTATTTACTAATGTATATCTCTAAGTAAGATATGTGCGATATCAGTAATACCCATGTGCACACAAAGGGATGTCTATATACAAAGATACGTACGATATCATGATTGTGCCCACTAGATAAATATGTGTAAGTCGATATAGAAGGGATACATCTGTAAAGAGATATCTGAAATACTGTTACGTCCAGAAAGGGACCTATCTATACATTATACACAGGTAAAACTTATTTCACCTGAAAACAGGACATATCACATACTCTTACAATAGTCACGATACTCCACAGCTTACTGGAAACTCGGAATAGAAATCACTATCGAGTAGGTATTTTTAGACTGTTTGTCCTATATATTATGGTTATTCTAACAGGAAATATATATTCTTTTATCTTATAGTCATGACATTAACACAAAACTTTCACCAAAATCTGGTTCAAACAATATTCAAACAACGACAGTTTTCCAAATAAAACGCACCTGTATTGATGTCTGACATCGGAAATAAAATGTCATAACGATTTTAAATTTGTTTTCAATTTGCAGAATGAAATCAACAAACTTCAGGACGAAATCACAAAAACCAAGAGAACAGTACAACAGAAAGCGTCTACAGTTAAAACTAGTGTCAACCGTAAAATGCGAGACACTCATTCTCCAAAGTTAACAAGGGGAGATGCTTTCGACCAAAAGGACGGCAAAAACGGCGTACAGCTGCTCAGAGTGACTTTCATCTCAGAAGGCAGAGAAAACACAATCTGTTCATGACGTCAAATAAAAACATAATAACAGGGCTGCACTATCAAAATTAAAACTGTAAGGAGACACAATTTTGTAAAATACCTAAACTGTTACTCTGAAATAAGAATATTCAATTCCTTAAATGTGCCGACTCCACTTCTTCCTTACCGAATGTGTGAAGGTCGTAGTGCAACTACTGTCAACAAAGAAAAACATCATATCATAATATGGTTGTAATCATTTCACAGCAATACTTTAATCGATAAAAGTTTTATACACATGGATGATATGACTGCAGGAGGCCTGACACAACACGTTAGTCACTTGTGAGATATACAACAAGCTCTTGATAGTGATTTGTCTGTGTCAAAGTATTACATGAACTTTTTAAGATTTATTCATATATGTATAAGAAACTTGAGACCATATCTACCATGATGTAAAGAAATTTACTCAAGCTATTCAGAACGATTATGTCTTAAGATCAGTATTTTAGAGCATGATTTTCTGATAACAGCTGAAACATGACTCACCGCATGCAACCATTATCAATTGAAGGTTTTCAGGCGTAAAATGTTCACAAAAAAAAAAAAAAAACAAACAAACAAAAACAAAAAAAACCCTCTGGTTTAGGAGGCTCAAGCTCTGTTACACGCCGAGAGCATAGTCTTAAAATCCTTAGGATACTCAACGCAATGAAATGATATAATTAGTCAAGATCAGATATAGTAAAGCGATTTACGGGTTGTCATCAGTAGTATCCTAGGATTATCTGAATGATGTAACCGGTTGCACGTGCTTCTGATCACACCCCTGATAACAACAACTTTACCTTAGTCATACACCAAACACACTTGATTTTTTAAAATCTAATTTATTTTTTTTATCATAACCTTGATTCCTGAATTACCTGTTAGAAAAAAATACCATCATGTCAACATAATCATAATCCAAACTCACACCAAACTTGTTCGTCTCTCAGTATTGCCTTGCCGCTGTTAATGTGTTGCCATCATACACGTCGTTGTCACGCGATAGTCATTACAATAACAATTTGATTGTCATAACAGTAATAAATTTACTGTAGGGGCAGTTTTTATTTTATTTTTTTTTTTTTGTGGTTTTGTCGAAATCTTTAATTAAAATGGACTTTTTTCAAGGAAGCCGTATATTTAATTTAAGTATTCTCACGTGCCATATAGTTGGTAATACTCAAAACTGGTCAAAACTTTCGCGATGTTCTTTTAAATGTATAAGGACATCTAACGCGCACGTGTCCCATAAAATAAGAAATACTGACTATACGATAATTCTGTTTTTACGATTTCATTCCTTCCTTGAAACTAGTAAAAATAAAACCCCTTAAATTCATAAACGATATTTCAGGTTTTATTGTAAAATGTTTACCTTTTAACTGATTAGCGCCGGTTATCTTTTTATCTTGAATTGTACCATACCTACATAAATTATTATATTATTAATGATCTATTGGTAGATCCCTAATGACTTGTTGCTATGTCAGAATGTTTCCTTTGTTTTTTTCTTTTTGTATGTTGAACCAACATTTTTTCCTACTGTGATATATGTTATGTTCGATAAAATCTACTCCTATCAATGTGTTTTCTTGTTATTGCTGAAAAAGACATCACGTGAATTATCTCCCTTTCAACATTGAATAGGTCCAATGTGTAGTCTAGAAATCGTATTGCAGAAAATATCTTAGTTTCGATGATCCAGACAAAATAAATTAATATACGAAATAGTCCCAACAAAAACCAGTACGATGAGTGTCAAAGTAGACAGATATATAATGTATCGTCTGGTCTAACATACAATTCTGTCGAAAACAGTAATTTCATATTCTCTTGTATTGGAATGCATTAAATGTATTTTAACTCAGGTATTATTTTATTCCTGTAATGGGGACAATGTCTATAGCTGTAATGGTATATCACCAGGGGAAATGAATACTTTTATTACAAGTCTGGATGCCACAACATTCAACACTAAATTTTCTCGTCAAATTGTAATTATAGAAATGACAGATTCAGTTTATTCAGAAATATGCGATACTCTTACAAAGGCATTTTAAGTGAGAAGTGTAGTGTCATACAACACTCTGGAAACAAGCTTGTATCAGTATTTTGTATAGGGCTGTGTGTATTAGTGTAATGCGTCGACATCACCTGCATAACAACCTTCGTCCCACGTACTAAAACCCCATGTAACAAATTACCTGGCCAGGGGATACTCATCGTAATCTCATGTATGGTATGGTCATGTGACATCCGATAACACAAGTCTTATCAAGTGCACACATACCTCGGCACCGCCCTATTCCGTATAAAAGGTCTGTATCCGTGAGTTGGTCACCGAGGTGTCCATCATCCACTGTCGTCGTCTCAAGGTAAGTATTCTCTCGTAGTATTCTACATTTAGTGGGGGGTCAAACTGATCCTTGGCTGTTGCATCTGTCTAAATATCAAATAATAGTAATGTAAATGTTTACTATATACTGTAACATCAGCTTTTAGTTTAGTTATAACAAAATGCAAGAACATGAAACCCTAGTTTATCATGGGTTAAACAAATATATATACATACCATCAATGTAGGAAGTTTTGCCATTCACATTATGGAAAGATATCGATAAAATGGTATTACAATATGATTGATGTTTTGGAATGATACTTATTCAAGTTTTCCCAGTGTTTTATCAGTATGCAACATATGTTCTAATGTTGACACTTTTTGAAGAAGTGAAAAATGAAGTGGCTGAGGTTATCAGTAAAGCATGTGTGTAGTATTGTGTAGGTTAATGAGGCGTCTGCGAGACATCTTTATAACAGCTATTTGAATATATTGATGATATAGACAATCCTATTGACAGGGAAAACTGCAACTCCGTGATAATTTCAGTCTATGATATTTCCAATACCGCGTCCAGGCGCTGTTTATTATATCTGTAAAAAAAGCCGGAGAATAAAAGTCAATGTTTATAGACATGAAATGACCAAGGTTATCATTGCGCAGAAAAATGACAGTCTTTTTATTATCTGTACACAATGTTAACGTCTTAGTCATGATTACCGTTACCGTGACTGAGCGTTGTATTATCTTAAATATATTGGCTTTACAGATCACCAAACCGTCCAACTACCAGCAGGCATGTCCTATCAAATAAGCAGAGTGGTAAGTGAGTTAATATAAGGCGGTTATCCAACTTATGTTACATATATCATACTTGCATACATACGCTATAATGCTTAACAAGTCAAAATTTTAAAAAGTCATGATGAAAATTTGCTATTCATATCTGTTATAACCATCATCAAATGTATTGTGTAAGAATAAAACACATAGAAATAAACACGAAAACGTCATCCATTGCGAAAAATAATCACACGTCTACTTTACAATGTTGTTTTAAACAATTATAAACACTTCGCATATCTGCTTCGTAATGCTGGGGAATGCGTCATAATGCACATCCTATCGTTACATAAGTTAAGGGTCAGAATTATTCGCATATGACAAGGATTATACTTTATTTACATGTCCTAAGCTAGAATTAATTACACAACCATTTCATACGTCATTTGAAATTGTAAACATAGTAAATGTTAAAACAAATGCAACAGCGTTTCTATTACCTTTATCAGCATGTTAATCGGACCAATAAAGTTATTTAGTCTCATACGAAGGTGAGGGAGATGTGTGATATTGACAGAGGACATATTTGAAATAGTATGACCCGTTAGCGGTGTTGTCCTGCATTGGAATGCTTGATAATGCGTCAGATAATGAACCGTAGGCGAAAAGTTCCACCACCGTAATCCCTTCACTTTAATCAGCAGGAGAATCGATAACCTTAACATTGTATTAAATTCTTCCTCAGTCGAAAGCCCTTAAAATCACTTAAAATGTAACAGGAAGATATGGACACGAAAAATATGTTAGGGAAATAATCTAAAGGCAGGAAATAAACTTATTTAAAATACGTGGTCCAATCTGTACAGTATACACAACTGCATATGTCAACAAAAGCTAACCTTGTAAAAAGGACAAAATGATATAATTCTAAGTCGTTAATTTAAAGCTTAATGTCGCATCGATACATGTTTTCATGTGTCGCTGTTATATATTTAAAAAAATACCAACATGTCAACATAATCATAATCCAAACTCTAATTTAATGAAACTAAGCAAAATATAAAAGAAAGAACTACATGGAGACTCCTGATAAAAGTACAAGGAGAGTAAGACCAGGTGTTTCGAACGAATAAACGCCATCTGCTTCATCGACAACACTCGCCATATAAACAGGTCAATCCAAGTTAGTAATATCACTTTCTAAAATAAGAACAAGGTAAACAACCAAAACCAACGGGCAAACTAACGATCATCAAACACGCCTAGCTTCAGATCACACAAAGAAACAGTATATTTCAATCGTATCATTACGACGACCATAAAACTGCCCCGTATTTGTCATCAGCCTTCATCTTTGAAACCCTGTATTATGAGTTTATTCGTCAACTTCTTGTAGGAAAATCGCGATAATGGGAACAGAATCTTAAATATCGAATCAACTATGACATGTTAACAACATATGTTGTGGATTCAGGAGTGTTGCTATTTATACATGAAAAATTCACAAAAACGAAATCATCACGTTTATCAGCTAGGTGGAAAGCTGTCCATGCTGGTTTCATGGTAGGAAAAGATCGAGAAAAGCGGCTGATGTAGAAGACTTGTGTCGTGTCGTGTTTTTTTATTTCCAGTTCTGTTGGATATATATGATGGACGTTGTCAATAAATTAATTGTTAGTTACAATGTCTATCCTACTTGTGCCATAGGGTGGTATGGCGCAAACTCCTTCGCTTGTCCCTGTGTACATTACCAGGTAGTCGGTTTGACGTGGGACATAGACAGAAGTATAATATATGAGGAAATGTCTATGTAAGGACAATGATAAGGAAGGAAATTATTTAGATAGCACGCTCCTGAATTACATTTTCAGTAATATATTTGTATTCATATATCACCTTTAAACCAGTTTGATTTCTGATTTCGTTTGGTGTTTCAAGGTGCCTTTTGGTTGAAATGAAATCTTGTGTACATAAATGACATTTTACTAACTACTGAGGACGCAGTGACGTTAATATAAAATCCGGTTCAGGCTATTTTAGTTCTTTAATATCAGGGCAAACTTGGTGGATATAACATGTGCCGTATGTGACTAACTGCAGGAAGGCAGGCAAAGGTTAGGATGATATATAGATAGCTGGTATCTTTACTAAATGATATAGGTCATTTAAACAGAACCTCGTTGGATTAATTGCTACATTTACCTCAAGTAATAAAGGTGCATAGACTATGTAACTCGTGTAATTATCACTACATTACTGAAGGTACAGATTTCATAGACTATGTAACTCGTGTAATTATCACCACATTACGGAAGGCATAGAAGTCCTAGACTATATAATGTAATTATCGTTACATAATGTAATTAACTCGTGTAATTTTCAGTTCATTTATGAAGATACAGAATTCATAGACATTGTAACTCGTGTAATTTTCACTTCATTGATGAAGATACAGCATTCGTAGACTATGTAACTCGTGTAATTTTCACTGCATTAATGAAGGTACAGAAGTCATAGACTTTGTAACTCGTGTAATTTTTACTTCATTAATGAAGATACAGAATTCATAGACTATGTAACTCGTGAAATTATCGCTACAATACTGAATGCACAGAAGTCATAGACTATATGACTCTTGTAATTATCACCTCATTGCTGAAGGTACAGGCGGAGTTAGGTATAACATTTAGTATTACATGGATTTTGACAAGATGATCGAATCGGATAGTACTATATCACATGATACTGAACAAACCCTGACCAAGATATCTTCCCAGGTCCCCATAAACCCGGGTCTATCTGTAACAAATGGGATATTTATCATACATACTCGGTTATGTGGGAGATATCACTTGCAATGGTATGGGCAGTTTTGTGGCTAGTTAGACGTAAGGTGACCACTCTCCCTGCTATCGTAGACCACTTGTCGGTCTATTTGTATCTGTCAGGTGGCAGAAGGCAAGGTAATTTATCACTGGGATGGTGATTAGAAATTTCTTTTGTGATGAAGTGAAATTCAATTGCAATAATCACGATAAATTAGTTGTCTCCTTGCCATATCTTGGATATCTAACGATATTTTAAGAAAAATATTCAACAACCCCTAAATATCTTAAAAGCAAAGGTGTTCCTATTAGACAGCTTTCTCAGTATTCACCGAATCAACATATTCTACTGGGCCAATGGGACTAATGTCTCATCCACGCCAAATGATACCATTGGTGACGTGTCGGCTTGTACTCGGTGTTCGGTTGATATACAACAGTAAATGTCCCTTACCTTTATAACTGTCTGATATGAATTCTATAGCACACCCTGGAAGGTCATGTTTGCTTAGTGTGTTTACACTGTTGTCTACCAATACAGAATACCCGACAAATATCGCTTCCCATACTCGACAGTAAAAATGAATGTCTATAACTTATCTGCTGCACTAAGCCGTATTGTCTGTAATACACCCCGAACCCAAATAATCATTTTTACTGCTATTGACTTGCACTATCATGCTCAATCATGGGAAGACAAGAAACAAATAAAGACAGTACTTCATGTATGATAGATTCGAATTTGTTCACTGTAACTGACTGAACATGTAATACTTGATATAACTATAATTGCTGGTTAATTATTCAAAACACCATTGCACTTTCCGGAACAACAACGATCTAGTTGATTCAGGAACACTTCAAGCGAAGAATGTAGTGGTTTTTGTTTTTCACTGGATAAGGGTATTTTTTATCTCATACCTATTATGTCCGGTACATACGGTGATCGCCCTGAACCGTATAAATAGAGATTTTCGTGATCCCACGTCTGTAGTAATCGTTTTGATCCTGTGTTTAAAGTGATCATATCGATTTCGTACCTAAGTGATTTATTGATTGTCCTGACTAGTATCCATAGAGATAGTTTTGATCCTGTTTCTTAAGTCCTAGACTTATTGCCGTATCCATATACAGTTTGATCCAGTAGTCATATTCTTGATTCTGTTTCTGTAATGCTGAAATGCCCTATAAATCCCTATATCTTGATGCAGGAGAAAATTGTGACAAATAGACATCATATTTCTGAAAACAGAGTTAGGGTCCAATGGAATGTTGGACTCGAGATACGAATATACCACCAGTATTTCTTTGCAACAATCACAATTTCGCATCAGCGTCTGACAATATCATCTAGTTTACCCTAAAAATAACGTGCTTTTTTCTACACCTTGACAAGAAAATACAACGGCACAGTTCAAAACAAATCAAACCCGAATAAAATGTTACGAATGTAAAATGTTGTTACAAAGAGTACAACCCCATGGCTTTTGTTACAGAACCTGCCAGCAACCTACAGGATTCCAAATGGACTCCATGTAGGGAAACAAATCATCATACGCGGCAGAGTTACCTGGGGCACCGATGTGTAAGTGTTTACAATATTCTCGATATCGTCTTGAATATATCCTATGTGTAACAGAAAATGGATAAAGAAGGTGAACCATTTTTGGCTTATGCACTGGAATTATAAACTGTTGATAAATGATTGAGGACTGGGATAGCAAAGTAACTGTATTTGGTGAATTTTAGGTTTGCCATCAACTTGCAGCAGGAGGAGAACCCCACTGATGGGGAGATCGCCTTCCATTTCAATCCCCGTCCAAGCGCCAACACGTGTGTACGAAATTCCTTCTCCGGGGATTGGATGGAGGAGGAGACCGACCAGCCCCACTTTCCATTCGACGATGGCATGTCCTTCCTTCTCCGTATCGAAGTTGCTGAAGATGCATTCCGAACTTACGTGCACGGCAAACCCTACATCAACTTTGCACACAGGCTTGATTATGGAAACGTCCATTACTTGCATTTGACACCTGGCGTGGAATATTATGACATCACATTCCAGGAGAGATACGTAAGTAAAATTACATACAAACAAGACGCTACTGACAAAAATTACTTGAACTATGTTCGACTCATAAGCATAAATTTCAAAATTATCGTCTTTGCTAATTGTTGATTTCCCGTTGCACTTTTTAGAGTTTCAAAGAAAACGACAAGTTGGAATTTTCAGTGATATTTAATTGAACCGAAGTCTTAAATCAGTATTTCGTGATTGTGTTTCAGAGTCTGCCCTACCGCACAGAAATTCCCGGGAATATGGAAGTCGGCAAAGCTGTTCGTGTGAGGGGAGCTGCTCAGGACAATGATGGGTTCGTTAAACACTGTAGTAGGCCAATCAATGACAAAGTCAACATTCAAAGAATGTCCCTACTTGTAAAAGACATGTTACGTTCAGGTTTCGCAACCGTGGAACCGTTATACACTATGAAGAAAATACCGAAAGCACACTAAGGAAATATATCATTACTTTCGAAGTAGCAACATTAAAAAGTCCATTATAAACTGTAAAAACAAGATGTATCGGTTACTCACTAACAGGAAGTGTTAGTACTTTGCTAAAATTAGTTATTTTTTGGCAATCAAATATAATAAAATCTTTTTCAGTGTTAACAGTTTTAAACAACTATCGCATACTATGATGTGCACATACCATGGATCATTTTACGTTTAGATTTAGCATCAACTTCGGCTGTGACTGCGAGAATAATTCGACGGCCTTTCACTTCAATCCTCGCCCGACAGAGGGCGTGGTTATCCGGAACGCCAACCTTGGAGGATGGGGAGATGAAGAGAGAGATTACGATGCAGAGTTCCCATTTACACCCATGAACTACTTTGACGCAATGTTCATATGTACGGATGACCAGTATGTGGTACGTATACCTACAACGGTCAAACAGGTGTAACTGCATGTATGTCAGTTTCAGAATGATTTCCCTGAAGTCATAGAGAATCCATTTTCATAAACAAGCCTGAATTTCGCCTGACATTTTTCACGTAGATTGATATAATCAGGACAAATTAGAATAATGATTGATTTCAATATAATTCCAACTGTATTTGTACATTAAAAAATACTCGTGTTATAATTTGATGACTGAACAAAAACATGAAAAACGAACACATATATAGAAACATATTACTAAATGCTATGCAGGTCCATGTAAATGACAAGTACTTCACCAACTTCGGACACCGCTGTGGAGTTCCAGATTCATCCCACTTCCATATCCAAGGCAATATGGACATCAAAGACGTCGAGTACTACGAACCCTTGGTATGTCAATTAAGTTATTATCTGTATTCTTTTCAATTTATCTCTTGATAAAAAATGGACGAAAAATATGAATTTGTCCTTATCTAAAATTTACTGAGTTTTTTGTAATTCTATAATATAGGACGACGACTTCGTGAAGGAGATCCCATGCGGACTTGAGAAGGGAGATGTCGTTCTCTTCAGGGGCTTTATGAAGCCAGGTGGTGATACGTAAGTGATAGGATAAAGCTCATTCATTACTTCATAATTCATTCCCTCCTTATGTTTTGATTTTGTTTTTTTTTTTTTACAATAATTGATATTCTAACCCGAACGGCATATATTTATAAAGTCGTACTTGTTTCACAATAGTCCCTTGTATGATATACTAAATTCTCTAGTTTTTACATTCATTGCTGAACAATTTTAAACATGTATTTATATATTTTCTTGTTTATAACTGATATTGCACTTTAGAAAATGATTTGATTTGTGAAATTGTAAAGTGGTTACTTACCTTGAAGATGCCCAGATGTTATATGACATTTCAAAAGCTATTTACAGGCTAACGTTCTGTACCGTTGATTTGTAATTCCTAACGAAGTGAAAATAGTATATTCTTTACTATATTTCATACATTGTTCACATATACCACTAAAGAACCACAGGACATCAAAATTTAAAGATAACATTTCCCAATTTTCAGCTTCTCGGTGAACCTAATGAACGGACCTTCTGCCGACGATGACATCGCGTTTCATTTCAACCCCCGTATTGGAGAGGGAGCACTGGTGATGAACTGCCGAATGGGTGACTGGGGAGAGGAAGAGAGAGAAGACCTACCTTCCTGCTTCTTAAACAACGAACCATTTGAGATCAAAGTCGTGACAAAGAGCAGGAAATTTAAAGTAAGAAAACTGTCCATTGAAACTCAGTCTCCAATTTCCTCTCTTTACTTTCGTGCAATCCGTGTATTTTTATTATGTAGGTATGTGAATTGTCAAAATGCTGTCAAATTAGTTATATAATATTTTCACTTGTAAAATTGTTTAATTCTGTAATTCTGTCTTTAAATAGCTATCGCATTATTGAAATCTTCCTTGTCCACAGCTATACGTAAACGGAAAGAAGTGTGCCAAATTTGACGCCAGAGGCCAAGTAGAGGATATCAAAGGTATAAACGTCAGAGGAGATGCCTTCATATACCAGGCTAAGCTTCAGAGGAAAATGGTGAGAACAAGTGTTACGATATCAGCATCATCGTCGGCATCACTCGCTTGTTCGTTATCAAGATTTGCAGGCTTAATAATGTAGAATTTAACGAAGTATAAACTAAAGAGAGCACTTGATATAAAGTATGGTTTATATATTATTGTTTTTAAATGGTAACTGCATAAAAAGGGTTTATTTGTGATTATCAGTATCAACAGGTATTACAGTCAGTAATTGCTTTTGCGATACCATTAATATATACACTGAGGTAGAATACATCTCTATCCAACTGAAACAGTAAGTTTTATCAGTAAAGTTGCCTTATATAAAAACCAGAAATATAAGATTCTCACTTTATATACTTATCAGAAATCGTATTTTAGCATTATTATTACATTATTGAATTATTTATTTCTTTGTAAACATATATAAATGATAACAGTGGAAACATTTCTGATTAGTAAAAGCATAAGCGTTTTTATATCAAATTTACCTCAGTAGACCTACATGCTTGCCTACCATGTAGGCTTTCTGAGGTAGCAATACTAATTGTAAAGCATCTAAAGATTTGCTATGGAAGAAGCTCTTATGCTTTGCTAATCAGCAGTGTTTCCCATTATATTATTTTCTATATATGTACCACACACTGAGAATTTAAACATTCTACTCGATCACATCATCATTCCATTTTTCGATTTTCGGAAAGCAAGATATCACTGACAACCAATGGGGATTTATCTCCAATTTCTTGGAAATCTAGCATATATAAAAGCTCACATGAAAATTCTACGTTTTAATTTAGGAAAAGCCAGTAGCAATTGAGAGAATTCCTGGTGGTTTCCGTGAAGGCGGATGGGTTGTTGTTCAAGGAATTCCAAAGAAAGGATCCGGAGGGTACGCGTTCTTAAATATTTGAAAATGCATATACAACATAAAGATAAGTATCTTCAAAACAAACGACTTTGTTAATAAACTTAGCATGTTCTGCTTTGCCTCCTTGGTGTATGTGTACAGTTCGGATAGTAATCGTTTGGTTTGGACTAGGTGTAAAATGAAAAATAAATCTTAGATTTGGCTGTGTCGGAGTCATGGATTATTTTACAAATTACTTTTTTTTCTATTAACGGAAATTTTAACTATGTTGATGTATCTGAGGTCAATTTTCCACCGACGAGTTTTTTCTGTATTTTTTCATAGTTTCGCAGTAAACTTGACCTGTGGTGACGATGACGCAGACGATATAGCCATGCACTTTAACCCCCGACTGGAAGAGAACTGCACCATTAGAAACACGTGTACAGGGGGAGATTGGCAGGGTGAAGAACGGGATCAACCAAGCTTCCCATTCGAACTTAAGGATACTTTTGAAGTTGCCATCAATGCTCAACCGGATAAGTTTGTCGTAAGTATCCTACTGAAGAAAATATAAGTTTTCTGCGAATGTACTTAACAAAACAGAGCATGCTCATTACCACTTAGTTTGATTTTCAATTGTTGTATCACAACCAAATTTGGAAAAAGAGAATAAGATGATGGAAACAAAAAGGAAATTTGCCATCCTTGGATGAATGGGACAAAGAACAACAGGAAAATATCAACTTGTCAACATAATCATGGTCGAAACTCAAATTCAATAAAACTAGGGCAGAATATGAACAAAGTAATATAGTAAACCGAGACTCCGGAAAAATACATTCCGGAAGAGTGCAAGCTTCTTCTGCATCATCAACAACACCTGGCATGTAAATCTTGGTCACTTCAAGTTATAAACGTCACGTTCTCAGTTGAGAAAAAGGTATGCGGCAACGTTACCAACAGGCAAACAAATGAGCATCAAACACATCCAGCTTTATAGAGCACAAAAAATCAGGTATGCGTATGATAATGATCTCTTCCGTTACTTTTTTTTTCTTTCTAGACATACGTCAATGGCCAGAGGTACATTGAATATGCCCATCGCCTCCCATTGGACAGCGTGTGTCACGTGAAACTGACTGGAGACGCTGACTTCTTTGAGCCAGAGTTCTTTTAAAACAATCGTAAGTATACATGTTTTTTAGGTTTTAGAAATGTGTGTATTGTGACATTATTGGATATCAAAAATATTTTTATAACATATAGATCGCTTCCTTCCTCAGGGATCAAATCTTCAGAAGTACTACCAGTGGGAATAGAACGTGTGGATGAATTGTACATCGAAATAGACATTATTCCTTGGACCAATGAATATGGATGGACAACGTCAAATTCTTGTGTTTTAACTTGGCTTCTGAACACAATCGCTTGTGTATATTGGCATAGCAATAGACTTGTACCGTGGATCGTTTATACACGCATTATTCAACGTGTGTCTAGTACAATCAGGCTGAAACATTACTACATGTCGTTTTATCTGTGGTCTATAATGTTAAATAAACATATTCTATACATTTCTATCTCTAGATCAATGTGTTGTGGTATTATTTCTATGACCAAACATTAACAGAGAACCCATACACCAACACACTGTTTACCGACTGTGTGACACATGACGGACAGACAGAAGAAAACGTTAGACAGTGCATATGGTAAAATGATTCATTTTCCTCGTTAGCTTTTTTCGTTGATTTACATACTTTCATGAACTGTTATGGGGTCACGTTTTGTATATTTATCCACGAAATAGAACGTAGACAAAGCGTTTTTGTTTTTTCTTCTTTTTTTTCCAAAAAACACAAAAATTTAATCCCACAATAACACAGTGTTTTCAAAGCACGGTGTATTTACTCTCAGAAGTCAATCGTGAAAATATACGATGAAAATTTAAACAGGCCCTGTGATCGTACAGGTAAGCTTTTAAGATCCTGTTTATAACCGTTGCCACACTTGATTTAGTGTTTGGTGGTGAGTAGAACGTCATAACTGAATCCAAAGTCAAAGGATCCGGTTAAAATATTATCTTAGCGACCATCCTTTACCAAATATTTACATTAACAATTCGAGAAACTGCAATAACGCAGAATACATTGTCCGAGATTCCCCATTGACTACATAATTACACAGATGTATTACATATCATCAGCGAATTAACGTAAAATGTTATCTCATGAGTGCGTTCAACGAGATAAACAAGTATAAAATATTTCAGACATTCAAGATTATGTAATTGGAAAAGAGAAAGTACATTTTCTATTTCACACAAAAAAAAAAAAAAATTGTTATTGTAACAAGTTATTTGTAACTGCTGCATAAACATCATCTCAAATCGGTAATGCGTCAAGAAAAAGGACAGCTTAGTATCACTCAATAATAACCAATAAATACAAAGTAAGATATTATGTATACTAGTAAATAAATAAGTACTCCGTGATATTGCAACATTATTGTGCGAATATCTATCGTGCGTGGAATGGATTTATTACATACGGTTATATATCGGGTTAATCACCGATCTACTTAGTAATGAGTGTCATATATAGGAAAATTTATTCAACATATGTATTCTGTTGTTACTTTTGTTACGGTAGACTTCAAAATATAACGATATCGATCACGTGCACAGATGTTCATGTTATTCAATGCTTACATCCGAATCAATACAGTAACTAGATGATTAGCGTGCTCAGACATGCTGCTAACAAACAATTCTAAAATCTATCAAAATTACCTACGATTTGTTTTGTAAAATAACGTCAAGTTATTCATAAAAGGAAATGTAGGCGATAGGTTTTGTATAGAAAACTGGTGTTGCCGCACTAAAAATAACCATCCAATCCGATCCATACACCTTACACTGCTTGTTTGTATATCTGACAAGACAACACACTTTGTACACCCGAGAGCAGTACCCAGGCCAGAGCGCGTTCATCTCACGGACAACATGTTAATCAAACTACCCGTACACGTGAGTATATATCACACTGGGTGACACTAGTTCTAAAATGATACATGCCTTTTGCATTTCGCTAGCAGACGATTTTTCACTCCTGTGTTTATTTCTGTCATGTTGGAGTACTATTACATACGCAATGCAGATAGTCAAATCAACAAACATGGTGTATTTATGTTCGAGATATCTTTGCTAACTTTTCGTGTGTGTTTAGTAATGGACGCGAAATAATGATGAGCGTTCACTTTTACAAGTGTTCTAACGTGTTAAGTATTAACGTCAGTTACACACAATACTAGTAGTGTACTATAAATAGTGATGCATTGTGTATGTATGATGTGGTCATTATATGTTAACATTGCAGGACCTGGGAGGGAATGTACTTGCCATACCGAATGGCCTCCAGCCAGGCAAAGTGGTAACAGTCATTGGAAAATGTGCAGGAAACGATAGGTAGGGATTTAAACCTGTTAGACCAACTGAATGTAAACCCTATGTTTGCATTGTCTAATAAACTAACGCTGTGGTTACGTCAAGGGTTCCGGTCGTTGGTCACGGATAAACATATTTACACTAGACACAGCAATTACCGTTTTGTTCACAGCTATTTACGCAGGAAAATAATGTGTAATATTTTGCACACCGCCGTCGAGAGACAAGATAATAACGCAAACCTTACAATCTTTGTCAGTCAAAACGTTAGAGATGATTAAATTACGTCATCACACTGCATGTCAGTCTCTTCAGATATTCTAGAACGACTGTTTACTGCTAACTACACATGGAATAAACAAACATGCTATCTTTGGAACTAGTATGACGGCCTTGAAGATTGTAGAAAAGACACTCAAGTGCATAGCATAGTTTTACATAAAAATACAACTAGATACAGCAGGATTAAATCATTAATCAAAATATATCACACAGCATCGTCGATTCTCCAAATATTACGATCACTCTCGCTCTATGTACCCCTGGAAAATGTCATGACAAAATTAAAGGTTCCATTTGTGACACCTTGTTAACGAGACGAAAAGACTAGGTTGATCCTTCGATGTACATAAAAACGAATCTCAAGATCGCATAACGGTATATTGCAATGACTTTGTTTGGTGTCTCTCCTTTGTTGTCTTCAAAGGAACGTATCAGCCGGTGATTGGTCTCCTGAAACCAATCCAATTACTTCGTTTGTACCTTCAATTTCGGAAGGGAATGTTTGAAGGTTACAGAGAGCGAACCCTGTAGTATCGAGAATGATTGTCCTTGTACTGTTTGTTGTTCCGTATGCAATCCTTGGACATTTGAGGGAAATTTGACCTTTTTATGCCTCATTTCATTGTTGCATATTATGAACCTTCCCCTGAAAAACACAACCATGCAATTTATTTAATGGTGGGATAGTGTTTTTCCAATTAACACCGATTTATCTCGTTCGATCAATTTTGATATATCTTATTCTCCTCCAAGATTCCAATATCTAGGCCCTCAAAATCACTAACGAGCCAGAGCAGTACAAAACAGTTGTATAATCATCCTCGATATTCCAGGGTTTACAATGACTTTCGCTCTCTGTACCCCTGGTACATGCCATGGTACACTAATGACAGCGATAAAAGGTCCTTGTTATGATATTGCCCTGTTTCGCCACCGTCTTATTTTTCGGCACTGAACTGAAAGAGATCCGTAACGTAAGCTACTGAAAATGTATTAAATTTGGATTTGCACGTTCTTCTCATTTATTTGTGAAAAATCGCTGTATATTTACTGAAAATCCGACTAGTAATCGAGCGATTTCGTCGAAAAGTGGCATTGTAAACTAAGCTTCCATATACAGATATCCACCAGCAGTTAACATTTATCAAGGAAATCGTGAAATTCGAATAAGTTCTTGAAATTGTAATAAACTTTTAACGCATACCCTGTTAGTTCGGAAGTGTTTTTGTTATTGTGAAATGGAAAGAAGAAATCACAATAAAAATGGAATGCTATTGTAAATTAATGGTTTGTATTATTTATAAAAGAAAGTATCTTTACAGGACATAATTCATATAAATGTAATTTTGATTAGTGGAAACGCCGCTAAGACCTGTATCACAGTATTCGTGTATAATGAATAATCAATAAATTCGTATCATTTGCATAATTCTGATAAAATGTTCAAAGCATACTTCAAGTATATTAATTTCATAAGTACTTTATGTTCCACAACAAATTGGAGTTACCTCCCTTTGTCAGTTGTACCCTATTGGATTGATCTATAACACAAATGTACTAATTTGGAATGTGCTTACATAGGCATAGCATGTTGTCCGATGCTATTAACATATGAAAAGTTGATAAAATTTGTTAAAATTGATACTGACTTAGTTGAAACATCGTCGACCGAATTGTAGATATCATTTCTATCCTTTTAATGCTTAATATAACCATACAACGCATCACTAATATAAATAGGAAATAAGATAGAAATATTAAACATTCCTTACAACCCTCCCGGTCAAAATTATGCTTGTCGCTAATAAAGCATGATAAAATCATCAACCAACACACGTCTCAATAACAACTGTTAGCATATAAGATAAAGTAACGTTAATAATTCTGAATAAAGCGTAAGACCTTAAAACCGTATACGTGTATATGGTAACGCCTTCAGACACTAATAAGTGGCTTTTATCTCGGTTTATTGAACTTTGTTTTTTTAACTCAGGATGGTGATAAATTTTCAAAGCCAAGACGGTAGTAACAAGGCCCTCCACTTTAACCCGCGTCCGGATCAGGGCGTCGTGGTGAGGAACTCCTTTCGCAATGGCACTTGGGAAAACGAAGAGCGGGAACAGCCATCTTTCCCCTTCAGTAACGGCTCCGATTTCGCTATCACATTTGTCGTAACAAACGACTGCTTCAAAATACTGGTGAATGGAGATAGATTTTGTAACTTCAATCACCGTCTGTCTCATAGCGAGGGTAGCCATCTTCAACTTGGCGGCGCTGACTTCCACGAGGTCCACGTCTTGGACAGATACGTAAGTATCCCAAAGTAACGTTGCTTAGAATACATAATTGTAGTTAAGACATTAAACAGAAAAACGGTTCGTTGTGTCGAGCGTAAGCACCGATACCCCGGATGTTACAGACTGTTACAGATTGATTTTTACCCCATAATAAATAACGAAAGCTGCGTTATGATTTTCAGTCAGAATCTTTTTTTTTTATTATTTTGTTTTTCAAGATTTTACAAAGGTATGCAACACACGATATATACTAGACTCACACACACATACACACCCTGGCACACATCACACTACACCCATGTACACTCACTCAAAACATGCACTCATTAGTTCCTACTCTTTCCTCTTTGCTGACATGACATACAATGTACTACTGTGTTTCATTCACAAGCCCCAATAATAATACAAACTCAATGACTGCTGTCATCATCATCATCATCATCATGATCGTCATCATCATCACATAGTTATCATCATGATCATCGTATCATCATCACTTCATTATCATGATCATCACCATATCATCATCATCATCACTATCATATCATCATCAGCAGTAACACATATTCAGCATCGTAATCATCATATCATCATCACCACTTCATCATCAACCTTTCATCCTCATTATCACATCATACACTGATCAACAACAGAGCTGTTTATTATTATTAGTGTTTTGCCTCATCATCATCTATCCACACCTAATCCCCAAACTTTATTCAAAATTATATGTTTTCAATAGTGTAATCCCAAACCAGAAGTGCAAGCATGGATTGGGAGTAGCGATTTTCAGTCAGAATTAAACTACGCAAGTCATGCTTATTCACATCACATAACATATATGTATTGTATGATATACTTCCTCCATGACGATTTCTTATGATTCCATATGGTATTGATACGCAGTGACATTTCCGTATATTCTTTTTTATGTTAAAATATCGTATGCGACATGATATATCAAAACAACCTAGTTTTACTGTAACATCAACTTATTATATTAATCTTCCAGTAAGTTACAATAGATCTCCATTCTATCACCAGTGTCCCGTTTAGTCCTAGGTAAACCAGACAGGTGTTTATCAGGCTATGAACGCCGATCTGGTCACGCGTATGAATACAATTTTGGTGGTCAAGGTGAAGCGTCCACCAAAAATAATCCTGATAGATTTAAATGTAATATTTGTATCCGTGTTACATTTGTCTATATATCATTACTACGACAAAGTATAGTGTAGGAGACCGTATACTACAATTTCCAGTGATTCGGTCGTTGTTGAAATTAATAAATCTATGTCTTGATGGTATAATCAGAGACGTATATATACGTCTCTGGTATAATGTACTAATGGGCGCACTTCTAGTTATCTTCCACCCAGCTTAATATCAGCTGTATACCCCCATCTGGTAACATAATATTTTGGGCGGTTTCGTGATATCGATGCTTACATGTTTCAGACCCATGGGCACAGCACACCACTCAATGGCGGACTTAAGGTCGGGAGAGCCATAAGAGTTCTCGGCACGTGCCAAGACAACTCTGGGTAAATAGCAGTTTACAGTTGTTTGCCATCATATGGTGGGTCAGTGATCCTAAGAATGGTAAAAAAAAACGAAACCCAGAACGGTAGTAAGGAAAGTCGAGTGTTCTTAACAAATAGGGAATGGGTACAAGGGTCAAATGATTAATATGGTTAATATAAACAGGATGTAATGGATAAAATCATCACGTGAAATCACCCTTATAATCTTCATCCTTATTGTTCCATCGATATAAACATAGGGTAGAACAAATTTGTCTCGGCTTCTGTTTAGCAAATACATAATAAATAACATTATGAAGACATAAACACTCACCAATGGTTATTGTAATGAATATCTTAATGTATTTTCATTTCTTTATATAGATTTAGTCTTAACTTCATGTGTGGATCTGATATTGCCTTTCATTTCAACCCACGTCCACGTGAAGGTGTTGTCGTCAGAAATAGTAAGTTGGGCGGAGGATGGGGACAGGAAGAAAGAGGAGGAGACAGTTTCCCATTTGAAACTGGTGCCATTTTCGACGCCATGTTTTTCTGCAACAATGATGAATTTACGGTATGTGTATATGTTATCATTACATTGTAAACTTATTAGTAATAAAATGTTTATGAGTAGCATGTTTCAAATATGTTCCTATGAATTTCAGTTTGAAAACCCTTGCGTTGCAGGTTTATGTAAACAACAAGGAGTACATCACCTATGGCCACAGGTGCGACTTGAACGCAGTCACTGACTTTCAGGTTCACGGAAAGGTTGACGTTAAGATGGTCCAATGTCTGACAACAATGGTAACTTTATGACAGCTGTAACATCTTTAAATATGCTAAAAAGGCATTTTAAGGGTTGTTAAGCGTTCTTATTTTTCCTTTTCCTTTTTTAACATTCTATGCGATACCAACTTTCTTTGTCCTATATAATCCAGTGTAAAGAAGGGCCAGGTTATAACCCTTTGTAATCAGACATGTTCTCTCAACGCCAATTCATCACAGGGAATAGAATTGTTCATGCTGGAACAAGTTACTTAAGCTAAAAAACCGTATAATAGAAGAAGAAAAAGCTAGGTACTACTTAAGCGTAAAGAATGAGTTGTGTAACGTACCATGAACTGATGAGTTTATGTAACACAAAACTCATAGATTTCATTCTAAGAACTTTATTGAATTTCTTCGGCTTAAGAAATGGATGTAGAATCGCAATCCGATAAATATTTTGATGCAATTTTCATTGTAGGACGATGACTATGTACAAGTATTGCCATATGAGCTTGGTAACAAAGAACAGCTTGTTTTCCGAGGCTTTATGAAGAAAGGTGGAAACAGGTTCGCTAGAAACATTATTGATCACCATGAACGGATCATAAAGATGTTTTTGTTTTATATGAACTTTCGGCACTGTTTGGTAATCTTCATTGTAACTACATTATTATCGACGGTAAACATGTAAGTGTAACAACATTGTTAGTTGGCGATTTATTTCTCTTTTTACAGATTTGCTATAAATTTCCTGGAAGGCTCCGACGTCGACTCTGATATTGCCTTTCACTTCAATCCACGAGTCGACCAAGGAGAGATTGTAATGAACACTAGATCGGGAGGGCAATGGGGTACTGAAGAAAAGATTCCTTTGCCTAAAGTGCTTGGGACTAATGACGTGTTTGACCTTAAAATTATCACGAAGAAGAGGAAATTTAAGGTAAAATAATTTGATGAAGATTGTTGTGAAAATATTCATTGGAATACTACCCTTAATCATTCTATTGATTCGTACAAAAAGGGCATAGAATAACAAACATGCTTAAACCCTGCGAAGTTCTCTTCCTTAATGGTGTTTGGATCTGTATGTAGATAATTACGTAATTCATAAACCAGGACAGACTTATATGTGACTGTATGTTGAACTCGGCAGGTTGTTCTGGACGGAGAAGTACTGTGCAAGTTTAAATGTCGAGGTGAAATGAGTGCAGTGAAGGGAATCGCCATTGGCAAAGGTGACGGCGTGCTCTATTTAGTGGATGGGCGACGAAGATTGGTACGTTGAAACATACGAATTGAATCATATCGATTATAAGATATTTCCATAGAAGTTTGCGACGATTTTGCATGTTAATTTTTGGAATTATTCATCAAATGCAGAATACTCATTTATGATTTTGTATCACACATAACAACGCATACAACTCGTTTGTTTTATGTTAAAGGAAAAGAAAGAGGTTGTCGTCCTTTCTGACCCACTTGTGGAGGATAATTGGGTCGTAGTCCGTGGAAAGATAAAGAAAAATGGAAACGGGTAATACTGTTTAATATCGTATTAATATTACTAATATCGCTCTCATCATACGAGATAGTTCAGAAATTTTAATCAAATGGCTCGATGATCTCACAAATTTGCATTCAGTCGTAAACATGTTAGTTTCTTTCGGTCATCGAACTGTATGTTTGTCCTTAATGCGTCCACCCAATATATGCGGAGCTCCAACTCATTAGATGATCAGATCTTACGTCAACTGTCTATATGTTGAATTTTTACATCCTCTCAATATACCGTGAGCTTTTACGTCATCAAACTACATGTTGAGTTCTTACGTCCACTCAATATTGGATGAGCTCTTACGTCAACTGTCTATGTGTTGAATTATTTTGTTTACTCAATACGTAATGAGTTCTTACGCCAACTGTCCATGTGTTGAGTTATTTTGTTTACTCAATATATCATGAGCTCTTACGCCAACTGTCCATGTGTTGAGTTATTTTGTTTACTCAATATATCATGAGCTCTTACGTAAACTGTCTATGTGTTGAGTTATTTTGTTTACTTAATATATCATGAGCTCTTACGTAAACTGTCTATGTGTTGAGTTATTTTGTTTACTCAATATGTAATGAGTTCTTACGTCAACCGACTATATGTTGAGTTCTTAAGTCCACTCAATATTGGATGAGCTCTTACGTCAACGGCCTATGATTTCTCCAAATTACTTTCAGTTGGTCCCTTTCGTCCCGAGTCTCTACATCTACTGACTGTGTGTTGATACCCTACGTCCACTGACTATAAGTTGGTCCCTTACGTCCCGAGTCTATACATCTACTGACGGTGTGTTGATACCCTACGTCCACTGACTATAAGTTGGTCCCTTACGTCCCGAGTCTATACATCTACTGACTCTGTGTTGATACCCTACGTCCACTGACTATAAGTTGGTCCCTTACGTCCCGAGTCTATACATCTACTGACGGTGTGTTGATACCCTACGTCCACTGACTATAAGTTGGTCCCTTACGTCCCGAGTCTATACATCTACTGACTGTGTGTTGATACCCTACGTCCACTGACTATAAGTTGGTCCCTTACGTCCCGAGTCTATACATCTACTGACGGTGTGTTGATACCCTACGTCCACTGACTATAAGTTGGTCCCTGGCGTATCGAGTCTATACATCTACTGACGGTGTGTTGATAACCTACGTCCACTGACTATAAGTTGGTCCCTTACGTCCCGAGTCTATACATCTACTGACTGTGTGTTGATACCCTACGTCCACTGACTATAAGTTGGTCCCTTACGTCCCGAGTCTATACATCTACTGACGGTGTGTTGATACCCTACGTCCACTGACTATAAGTTGGTCCCTGGCGTATCGAGTCTATACATCTACTGACTCTGTGTTGATACCCTACGTCCACTGACTATAAGTTGGTCCCTTACGTCCCGAGTCTATCAATTTGTTCATTATCATTATTTATTGATGTTGTTTCCTCCCTTGCCAAAGCTAACCATTGGTCATTCGTTTCCTTTTTAGAAAATTTATCTCTTCTTATCTTCCTTACTCATTTGATGCTGATATAAACGTTGTTTTTTTTTATAAATCACAATCATTATCCTTGTAGATTCGCCGTAAATTTCCGAGTAGGAGATGGTGACGATGGAGATATTGCCTTCCACTTCAACCCCCGAATCAGTGAAGGTTGTACTGTACGCAATGCTTTAATCGGTGGTGGCTGGCAGAACGAGGAGAAGGAACAGCCCAATTTCCCATTCCAACAAAGAAAGGCCTTTGAAATCACATTTCAAATCAAGCAGGACAAGTTTTCGGTAAGATTTTGTTTGTGAAATAGTTTCCTCTTTACTGAATATCTGTAGTTATCCAAATATCACTGATAAAAAAATGACGAAGTTGCGCATGCAGGAAAATCCTTGTATCTTAATCAAGCATTCCTTTGATAAACCACCATTTATCAAACTATCAAATACTGTTCGCACTAGGCTATATACTGTCCATATTCATAAAGATATGCGTTTTGGTAACTGTGTTGACCAATGAGATGTATATAGAAATCGGCTGAGTTCGTCAGAATGCTGTCTATCTAATGTTAAATTCGGATGAAATCTGTGGAAACAAAAACTGATCGAGTTGAAGCAATGAATTAAATCGCTAGACTTTCCAAATGTAGATAAAATCAAAGAGAATGAGAAGTACGTTTTCATTAAGTCACACTTAAAGATAACCCGAATCCGTGTTTGAATGATATAGACATTTGATGGCATTCGTGGTAAACAAAAAATATACTAAAATAGCATAAACCCTGTGCGAACAAATATAGAATCCGTTTTACTGTTGTTGTTCTTACAATAATAACAAGAGGCCTAGCCGCCTTGACGGTCACCTGAGATAAGCAATATAGAATATAAAGGTTAAAGGATAGTTATCAAGGGTCATGAAACAGAGATTGTGACACTGAATATAGACAGTGTCAATACATGCATACCATCAAAACTATCATCCTATACAGATAATTCTTATAAAGTTACTTCCAGTGGGATATAACGTTACGCTCAAAAATACTTTTTTTTAATGAAAATTACATACAAAGTCTTAAAATATATTCCTCCCCAGGAAGAAATGTGAGACACATTTTGGTAATTAAAGCACCTCAAGATGCTTAAATTCATGAAGAGCATTTGATTCTACCATATCTGGGTATTGAGAAGAAGATTTTTGAAATTTAATTCATTAATTGATTTAATATACATGGTGCTGAATTATATCGCCTATTTTGCAGACGTTTGTTAACGGAGAACCATACATCGATTTCAATCACCGTGTCGCCCTAGATCAAATTGGAGCCATACAGTTGATGGGATCCGGCAATTTCTTTGCGCCTGAAATTTTATAGAGTAACGGTGAACACGAATGTTGATGGGAGGTATCAGCGGTACCTATCACTAAAGACAGCATTGTTTTTTGTAGTTCGTTTCATAGGATAATTTACATTTTTTACTATTTTGTTTTCTTATTCACAAAAACACCAATATGATTTGTTAAATTTTACACTGCTTGCTAGGGGGCATTTATTCAATTGCATCTGAATGTCTCTTGTTTAACATTTTATCAAACTTATATTGCGTGATGAGAAAAAAAGCTTGGTTCTGTTTTACTGCATAATTTTTCTTTATCTTTTTAATATTTTGTATGGAAACTGGTTATTGTTATTACATATCCGGTGTTTTGAATTATAAGGAGTTTCGACAAGTCGCGCAATGATGTATTTCTAGTGTTGAATTATCTCAGATGTCGGTGACAACATGTCGATTCCAACATTACGTCGTTATCTTAATGACAACATTGAGTTAATATACTTACGATGATCGAAATGTTTAAATGTGTGTGTTTTTTCTTTTTAATAAAGAACTAATATTTTGGACTTATTTAGGTTTTTGCATTGTTTTCTTTCTTTTCTTTGGTGATTAAATCACACAGTGATATTGTTTAAAGATTGTGCAAAAGAAGACACACAAGTGAATAGCAGCTTAAGATACAAATTGAGATAAGATACAGTTGTTTCGTCCTTCTAGGACTCGTCAGTGATGCTAAAGGCCGAAATTTTCAAGTCTATGAAGAAAGTGACCCAAAGCGTCAAAAGAAAACAAACTCTAGATGGGCAGGTGCATAAGCCTCATAATTCAATAATTCCGTAACTGGAAATAAAGATATATCCAGCAAATTTACAGGAAATATTTAGTTTTGAAACAAGATTTTTCAAATTAGGAATTAAGCATCTTTGTAATCAATTTCATCATTAGACTTTAAATCTGACGGTATTCAGAAGAGATTTTGATCAAAATGGAACATAACGCGTTGACTTTTTAAAAGATGAGGAAGATGTACCGTGAAAAATATGGTGACCTGTCAAAAGTATTCATATCAACGTCAACTTAATAAAAAAATTATTACATTCTTATTAATGGATTAGTGCTTAGACCCGATCTATTATCCCTCCCAATTGAAATACGGACGGAATACAGGGGTATTGCTGTACGTACGTTTTAAACGGGATTCGAAGTTATTTGTGAATTAATGATAGGCGAGTTCTATAAAGGAACCAACTGAAGACTTAAGAACTAGGTTCTGAGAATGAGAGGAAATATTTCACATTCTGCCCACATCACTATGGGGGCCTATTACGATGAAATTTTACGATTTTGCATTTTGGCTATATTAATCACGGTACAGGATGCTTAATACTGGTGTTTGATATTAATTATGTGATTTCCATTAATTCTCATGACTAGATCACATAGAATGTCTTCAAAGCGCGTGAGTAAATTTATATTCCTCGTAATTAAAGCAAAGTGGTTATTGGATCGTTATTAAAATATTAGTTACTTTTTTGTCTTTTAATTAAACAAAATATATTTCCATGTGACAACATGTCTACCTGTAATAGCAAACACGATAACTGTAAGGATAACCCACACTTTGTACATTGAACCCGGTCTATCGCCCGATTGTTGATTCTGACCGTCTTTGTTGTCTAATCTGAATCAATCACTCCAGTATTTACTAACAACGTAGTCAGGCCGCTAGACAAGCCAGGTATAGCCAGTTATAACAAACCATTCTACATTATGAAGTTGTTTAAAAAGAACACCCTTGTTATCCTATTCGGGTTCATCCTTGTTTTCGCTATTTTGTCATACTGGTGTGTCGGACTTAGGATCGGCGTCGAAAGAACCATTAATTACTACATGTCGAACGGTCAACACAACGCCATCGTTTTTGATCAAGACATCGACTTCAAACAGAGAAATCAAGAAATGGACTCCAATCTGAGACGTGAACCGTTGTTTCTGGTCCCAAAGGAGTCGTTCAAGCACCGCATAAAACAGGTAGAGAACCCTTATCATAGAAATTTATTCAGCGTGCAACAATCTTTCAATCGGCGTAGCTTTTTGTTTCCGGTTGGAAATTACTCGAGATATAAAATGTGCAATAATTGTTTTATCATAAATTTTGACTTCCTCATCGAAAATGACATATGTGCAAATAAAAACTTTACACTAGTCTATCTGGTGTTTACTAAATACAGCAATATAGCCCAAAGAACGGCTCTGCGAAAGACCTGGTTATCTGACGTGAGAACATCAAAAAATCAAACATATATATTTGTAACAGGAAGAGGCCCACAAAGTGAAAACGTTCACATCGAAAACATGATCCGTGAGAACAATGAATATAAGGATATTCTCCTTGTAGACTTTTTAGATTCGTATTCAAATTTGACATACAAAACTGTCATGGCTTTCAAATGGATTACACGTCGCTGTCCTCAGACAGAGTTTGTAATGAAAGTCGATGACGACGTCTGGGTGCATAAACCAATATTGATGATGACTCTGCGACACAAAAAATTCCGCTTCGGAGGTTACTGTATGTTTAATTCTTCGCCTTTCAGAAACATGGACAGTAAATATTATGCGTCATATGAAAGTTTCCCAGAACGTGTATATCCTCCATTTTGCTCTGGGACTGCATATCTTACAAAAATCGATGTTATACAAAAGATATTGCTAGTATCGCCAAATGTTACATTCTTCCATCTTGAAGACGTTTACATGGCTCTCTGTCTAAGAGAACTACGCATCGGTGTTTCTACAATCAGAGGATTTAACGCCCACAAAATTCTGGCATCCAACTGCTTAAATAAATCTCCATTCGTTATAACGAGTCACGGCTTCATACCTGAAGAGATGAAACAAATATGGCAACATCAGTGCAACTTCGAGAGGCGGATGAGGAAGGGGTTATCGCACATGAAAAGACAATCCTCCCTTCGAAGGGAATGGCCGCCACATGCACGTGCATGGAACTATGTTAGAATGAATGCAAACAGCAACAAAAGTCCTCCTAAAAACTCGCTAAAAAGACATCCAGGAAGACATTGATACATACCTGCGGTGTTCCCTTCATTATGACTAGCTAGTTACACATGCATGATCATCTGCTTTTTGGCAAAAATCTGTCTGTTTCCACAAGTATTGTAGCCATTTTAATATCTTAAGACTCCAATTATTGACAATGAATATACATCAACACATGTGATTTTCACTTGAAAAAAACAACTGTTCTTTCACTTGTGAGATTAAATAGTATTTATTTGTATTTTGATACAAAGGTCTTTAAAGTGCAACAAACGAGACTTTGACATATATAACAAATCAAATTGGGACCTACATTAAAAATCACAATACTAATACAGGTACTATGGAACAGACAAATAAAAGCGAAATATTGTAACCTTACAATACACACCTGAGACCTTTAACAATTAATAAAAAAACATTGAATACTTTGTTGTTAAAGATCAAGTATTTGTTTATATCAATATGCAACCGGTGACAATATAATTATATTTGTTTTTATTTTGGTGACTATGTGTCATGAAGAGAGGGGTTGGGGTAATTTTGATCAGTTAAATTATAAATATAGTCTATCCATCCACCATGATTCCTTGTCTTTACTTTGATGTGTTATATTATGTAAACAACTCTACAGTACTGTAACTGTCTTTGATCTCTCAATTGAGGATATTGTTAAACTTTGTACCTTTATTATCACAACCTAGACTAAAACATGATATTGTTATGTCCTCACCGAAAAAACATGTTTTTAAGGGAAATAAAATGAGATAGAAAAATTAACTAAGGCTTTATGGCACTAAAATGTACAGTATACTGACACAGTATAAGGGGAAACTATCACGAAAGTTAAAATTTTCCATGTTTCTGCCTTTCACAAATGGGTCGAAGATAACAATGACATGATATAGAAGATCATATATAAAATGTATACGTTGATGTATGGTAGAATTTAACACTGGACAAAAAAGTCCTGGGTAAAATAACACTAGGTGAATGTTTCCCTGTGTACAGTATTCAGAAAGTTTGCTGTCAAATGCACTTAGTTTATTGTTGATTTACATCATAAGGTCAAGGTAGATATAGAACTATCATCTTGTAGTTAGAGAGTGTCTCCTCTCGTTCTGTAGTTGTACATTTTGATTATAAATTGTTTGTTAAATATGCATTTGTGACATTTTTTAGAAAAAAATATATGCTATTACAATAAATAAAATGGGAAATTTTGATCTGAAGATACCATGAGGCTGACACTGCACCATGATGTACTTAATTGACATGCTAATTCATGTACCAAGTAAACATTGTTAAAGGACACAAATACAGGTAGGATATGCAAGATCAAAAGAATATATATAGGAGAAAAAGATTTAAATATTCTCACTTCAAACCATTATTAACGTATATATATTGTTCAAATGCAAAAGGATTTCACTTGCTAATTGTAAAAGAAAAACAAAAATGGAAAAAGAGTATGTTCTAAAATGTACCACAGGATGACTATATTGCACACACTGATACTTGTGATCATGACACTATAATGAATTATTTCAAATAGTAGATATATAAAAGTAGGTATGTAAAAAAGATAATTTCAATATAAATTCAAACATACCGATACTTTCTGTGTTGATAATGTTTTTGAGTACAGATTTTTACATCATTGAATATCTATTATTACTAAAACAGAATATTTTGAAAAATGAAAACTGATAGCACTGCAAGATGTACAGACAGTGTATAAAAAACCAAGTTCCAGATCGCAATTCAAGCAAATCATAAATATTCACAACATTCACTTACAGCACAAAAAATACATTGTCACTCAAAGTACACATATTACAATCTACATGTACATGATGTACATGTGATGTTGGATATTACGAGAAATTTCATGAAAGTAGTAAATCTATTTACTCTATGATTTGAAACCCAATGAAGATTTTTGAAATAATAAATACAAATTACATTTTATCGTTCAGTTAAATGCTCGTTGATATTAAATATACTGACTAGCAATACTGTTGTTCATATTATAGTGTACTTGAATAGGACATTGAATATCATACTGATTTTACCAAAATACAAACAAATCTAAATTATAATTTTGAAAAGGTGTGATTTCCAGGGGAGTTCAGTTTTAACTTTTAAATGGCATTCTATAGAATTTAACTTGATATGAATTTAAATATCAACATTCTAATGTTAACAACAGATCTCTATATGAACAGAAAGAGCTAACACTGAAATTCAAACTAAACTGACTCGTACAAGCACTTCTCTTTTAAAACATATATCCATACCAATCTGTAGTGCATACACAAAGCTTTACATATAAACTCCTTCAATAAAGCATAAATCTGTAGCAAAACACACAAATTTACTTGCAATACAACATAACATGTTTCCTTCTATGTCAATCAATATGTAGATTGAGCAATCAAGACCTACCAAAGCAAAAATATAGTACACCACATTGTTTCTTAATTATAAAGAAATTTTCAAATTTCAGAAAATCCGCTAATCCCTCTCTTTCCTTTTCCTATAGTACTAAGTGCCTGTCATATTACATTTCAAGTCAAATTAAATAGAACCAGTATCTATTAAGGCACAGAAATTCTTTGGCATGACAATAAGTTGACTAACATTTAACAGATGCTGACTGACACATCTGTGAGAAAAATGAATACTGTATATGGTAATCATTAATTATTGTGGGAGTTTTATTTTTATTAAACTTGAAGGTACTCTTTATTCATAAATTCAAATATTTCCACAAAATATTAAATTTGACATACATTATTAGTATCTGGAATTAACAGGAGGTCTACTTATCCATGAAATCATGCGTCTACATTTTTTGAATCGTGATATCTGAGCCCCACCAAAAATATGTGATTTCACAGTAAAACTTTACCTAGATTTAATAAAAAGATGTATAGCTAGTTTATACCAGTTTTCACATCTCCATCACATGGATATAATCCTATAGCTGAATCTTCTGAAATACCAATATGTAACAGACAGATTAGGACTGAAAATGCTAGATATATACCAATAGTAAAAACAAAAATATACACATTAACATTGAACAGGGGAAACAATAAATTCAATTGTGTATTCTATATTCAATAAACAGATGTAATGATAAAAATACTTACACCATCACTTAGAAAATCATAACCAAATATGTTCCTATTGATAGAATTTATAAAAGTTCATTCCAGACCATCAATTTCTTCAGGATGCAGTTTTTGGCAACACCAATAATTCATGACAGGTTTTCCTTCGAACACATTTACAAATTTTTAACTGTTTATGTCTTTAGTCCATGAGCAATTCTAACAGTGCATCTGACCTCATCTATCAGAGTTTTTATAAGACTCATTCAATGTCTGTTTCATAAGTTTGAACAGAAACTCAGACTTTCATATGAAGCATCTATTGCAATTTTTATTTCAACAATTCCACCAGATTTTTCAAAAATATTAAAGAAGTATAATTTTGGGACATCTATTAAGCCTTAATAGTCACCCGAGTCCAAATATAGTCATAGCTGTTTTTGTTGTAAACTGCTATTTTATAATAAAATCAAATATACTCCAAAGTATATATTTCTCTTTACATGAAACTAGTCCCTCTGGGTTATTGAGCTTACTTAATTCTAAGTAATACATACTTTTGATAAACAATCTTTTTCATCGTCATATATGAAAACTGCAAAATTGTATCAAAATCACTGTAACATTTTTTAAAAGTCAGAAATGTGAAAATGTTATCGGGCAATGGACAACATATGGTGCATGACGCTGAGCTTTGCTTAGCCAACCGAAAAAGGCATTATTTTCTAGAACAACTTATTGAATGACACATTTTGGATGAAAACTATTATTATTTACCTGAAAATAAACCCATGTCTGGTATTTAAATAGAAATGCCAACAAACATAGCCCTGTAATTACAGTATGCCCATTCCTCTGACTTACTGGCTACATTAATGTGTTGACCACCAGGCTGACTGCAGGATAAACATCTAGCAAATCTCATTGTATTCACCTCCATTCTTCACACAAGACAATTCAAATTCTTTCAAACCATAACAACTCAATTTCCCAGTTACATATGTCGCAATCTTCACAGAAAATCCATGTCATTTACTTCACATCCAGACAATTAGTTTGAGACCAGAACATAGATCATGCTGAAAAGAAAACAGACCAAGTAAGATAGGGTTCAATGCTGTTAAGGCCTGGGTTCTAATTTGAAGAAAATTAGGTTTTGCCAGATTTTGATCAAATTATATACTGTAAACCTTCAGTCACTTCGAAAAAAATGAATTAAACATTATTAAACCTGTTTGAATTATACGAAACTATGGGAGTGAAAGGTGGGGAGTTAATTATAGTATTATTATTATCTTTTGAAACACTTACTTTATTACAATACATGTTAATGACTGTTAAGAAATCAAAGGTTTCGAAACCAGTTCGTAAAAATTGCATTTCTGTTTGTGTATCAACGAAAGTTTACACTGACATATCAGTATGCAGAGAGTGTGGATTGAGACTTAATATGATTACTGTTTGTTAAAATCTTTATAAATCTTACAATTATTGAGAAAGTCTTGAATGATTATCTTATCAAAATGTGACAAAGGCAGCCTTCATAGAGACAAAAAATTAATATTGTATAATTTCATTCTTTAGCATACAAGAATATTAGCACATTATAAACTCTTCTTCTGATTGTGAAATGTATTGCCATTGAATGGCAACTGGTTGCTTGAAATTTTAAAATTGGTCGCTGAATTTCAGTTTCAATAAAATGTTCTAAATACACCTCTCCATCAGTCATCTTCAACATTTCTGTTTATTTCATAATACTTATAACTAAAAGCCTGATGAAACATCTGGAATATTTTATTGTAAGTCATAAGACAAGAGGCCCTATGGACCTGCAATACTCACCTGATATATATATATATATATAATGAAAATATCAACAGCTCAATGTCCGGTTCAAATATATATATATATATATATACCAACCAAACCATGTTGCTAAGCCTTTTAGTTCATGAGAAAAAGTGGTTTAAAGTTTTTAACAAATTTGATCCCTGTGACCATTAATATGAGCCAAGGTCAATTCTTTTTGCAAACTTTGTCTGGCTTTTATTCTAGGAACCAACCAGCCTAATATCTTGCTTCTATGCCTTTTAGTTTATGAGAAGAAGTCATTTAAATGGTTTAACAAATTTGACCCATGTGACCTTAAACATGCCCTTTGGGCCAGGTGAGCTAAAAACTTACCTGTAGAGATAGTAGAAGAAAGAGATCAGGTAGAATGCTAATTTAACCCATCCTTCCTTTTGAGCTCGACTAAGTTGATCTGCATTCATGATAGTAGTAGGATCATACAAGCCAGGCCCTGACATGATCGGCCGATGTATGTACCTGTCAATAGGTGATGATAAAGTTACTCATGGCATCTTATCTGCCCTTCAAGCTTAGCTTCAATAAAGCATTCATGATTTCATAAAATTTATTTCATGTAAGAATATCAAGAGGTGACTCACAGTTAATTTGCAAACATGAAAACAGGCTGTCATCTCTTTTTTGTTTGATACCTCAATGTGCATTGCAATAAAATGTAATCGATACACATTGCTGAATAAAGAATGACATTTACATAAAGTTTTGTACATCCTGTTTTGTTGTGGCTTTATTTGTACTACCGGTTCATTATTTAATTATCTTTATATCAACAAAAGAACGTTTGTTTTCCTTGCTCAGAGTATTAAGAAAATTTGTCAAATATATCTGTAGTGCAAATCAACTTCAAGATAAATTTTTATAAAAAAACCATCAAAACATTTTACCTTCTGATGTGATAAGTTATGAGAGGTACATTGAGAATGACAGTTTTCCACTGCATGGCAAACATAAACATCACCGTAAAGAATATGTGTATAAAGTATTCTGGTAACACCAACTGAAATGAAAAGATGTATGTGTTATTACTTGGTAAGTATATAGCAACATTTCTCTGAATAACTTGTTGTCCACAATGTCAAATGAAAACTTTTTAAAAGGACAAATCTCTCAATAATAATTATGTATTCAATTGAATTAAGTATGGTTGCATGACTTACCGGGTTTAAACTGCTACACTGATCAACTGGATTCTTGTAGTCTGTTTTTAATTCATCAAATGCTATAATCTGAAATCAAAGATATGTTCAAATATTGATTTATTTCCAATAAATGTTCAAATAATGACATACTTTCAATTTCTAATTATAAATTACTCCCATTACTATAGTGAATCACTAATGGCAATATCATTTTTACACAAACATGTATTTGTAACAACAATTCTTCAACAGTTTAGCAATCCTGAAGTTTCCATCGAATACAGTTTTCAAGCTCAATTTTGAAATGACTGCCATCTCCTAAGCATTCACTTTCATATTGAAAACTTTTGCAAGACCTTGTAACAACAGCCATTTTCAAAAAGAGATATCAGAGAAATCTAATAGTCTTTGCTCTTTATTTGGTCTTAACATTTTTATCTTTATATCCCTTTTTCTTCTGTTCTTTTGCTATTTATGATAAGAAATTGAAAATTTCTCCTAAGAAATAGTGATAAAAATCTTCAACTGTCAAAATCAAAGATGGAAGCCTATCAGTGATTTTAATTTCCTTATCGGTCCTTAAAGTAACAGAGTTCAAGTAAGACCTACATCTGCAATATGAGATAATGCTCCGTCATGTAATTCTAAACAAATAGTGATAACAACTATATGTGTTTAAATCCATTAATATTTCAAACGATCATGCATTACAGTAACGAATTATTTGCTTAAAACAAAAATGCATGTCTATTTTGCACAACTTGTCAAGGGGTCCGAAACTGATGCACCAAGTATATGTCAAAACAGCAATCAAACAAAACCTATAGTAGTGGGATCGAGTTAGAAGGCGGAGACTTCAATTCAATTTTCGTTTTTATGAACGATATGTGATTCCCCTCTCCTCCATTAATTTCAGCGAGAAATGAAGGATGCGAATGTTTTAAAGAACTGTCATCTCAATGACAGTGGAACTCGTGTTTGATAATGACAGAGTTCGATGGTCAACTGAAGTATGTCGTTATGTAATGGCGTATACAATTAGCTTCAAACTGTTCTAATATTATACTTACGTGAAATATTGCGAAAAAAATCAGCACTGCTGATAAAATTAGGGCCAAAATGTAGCAAAATGCCGCAAATGTGAACGCCATTGTTGGAGCGGAAGTGACCTGTGACAAAAATGTACAAACCGAAGACGGTTGTCATCATATCCGGACTTTTGCAAGAGTTTGTCATTCTATCGGATATACATATGAAATATTAGTACTATGTCCTGCCCATTTTATTACAAATGAAAAAGTGTAATATCTACAGATTTCACTATTGCATATCACAAGGTTAGACCTTATGCATAAAATGCGGATTTATCCTAGCATTACATATTCTTTGAAGAATAAGCTGAATTCCGAATGTTAATAATTCAATGTGGTAACCTTTTCTGAGTTTTTCACATCTTTAGGGCGAATTTTCCATATACCAAGGTTTGATCTATACCTAAAACAATCAAATTTTATTAAACGCTGTCATAAATGTAATCCTCATCACTGTCTTATTGATAATCACTAAAAACAAGTTTCCCAATGGACCTGAACTGCTCACCTGTTCTGCAGCTTAAAATCTGCATGCATGAAAAGTCATACCTCCAGAATGTTACTACATAAATACCATGACACGGCCTATTGATTGTTATAAAGTAGTTCTTAAGTTCTAAACACACTTGAAACCAGTGACCTTGAAGAGACAGTCAAACTTTCAAAAATACTTCTTTGTCAGACAAAAGGTGTTGGAAAAACAAAACAATAAAATCAACTACTTATTCATTAGTTTGGAAGACTGACCTGTGAAACCATAGAGCACTCTATATACGAGATGTATGATGTATCTGGCATTAATTCAGACAAGATCTGAATGCATTCTTCATATCTGTTTATATATTCATATCTAACGATTTAATCACATTTGACCTATGTGACTTTGAAAATTGGTCAAGGTTATTTGTTGGAACAAACTTTGAGGCGCTTCATTGCAGCATACTACAGAACCATTATCACTACACTGAGCCTGTTCATTATTTAGAATTTGTTTGAAGATGTTAAGATATTTTAACCTGTGACCTTGAAAGCAAATTTGGTAGCTCTTCTTTCCAGCATGTTATGGGTCCAATATCAGTTGTTTAAAGGATAGATGCTGGTCACAGCTTATGTTAACATCCCTTTAAGCAGGAGAGCTTATATTGATAAAAATAAATATCCCTCCTGATTTAGTACCTGGTAACTCACACATGTGGAAATCTGTGCTTTGAATACTTTGACCAAAATCACACATTTAAAAAAAAGATACATTATGTCCATCGTTTGCCTGTTTAATCATAGCACAGACTGATTCAAGCAAGGGAAAATTGCTAACCTCTACATTAAATGGTTTGACAGAAGGTTCTTGTTCCAGCGTTATTTAAAGGAGATATATAACAAAAAGACATTTCTAGTGCACTTGTACTATAGGCAGAGGTGAAGTCTGCACTGCAATGCACTTATTAGAAAACTGACTGACAGCATGCACTTTAATTTATCATGTTAGTTTCTTTTGAGAACTGATTTCAAATAAAATAAACTACATGCATCGGTGCAACATGAAAACTTGATTATCAATAAACAACCCTGAACCAATTTTAAATAAATTTTGCAGAAACTTTCCAAAGCCAAAAGTGAATCAAATGTAAATCATATGAACTCTACCATCATCATCGGATCCCTATCTTGAGAATCTGAAATGAAGAGTGTTTTTTGTTGTTGCCTATATTGCCAAAATATTTGAAACTCTTTTTAATATTTAAGAACTGTTCCTACTTCTACAACTGGAACAATATATATAGGCATTTATAGCAAGATAACTGCTAAAGCAACACATGGTCCTTTTGTCTCTATTCTAGATGATGATGTGAGAAACAAGCTATTCTCTGAGAGTCCGGTTTGTATGACATGAAAATGATAACACAAGAGACAAATTTCTGTGTCAACAAGGAATTAAGTAACCATTCAATCAGTGGAAACCAAGTGGGAAATATTTACTATGAGCCTATTAATGATGCTAAAGGATCCGGATATCTTGCGCTTGTTATCGTCCCCATGTGTCGGTTATCTTTATCTCCAGTAGAGAGTGGGGATTATAGCTTCAGTTCACAAAGTGAGGAAAATAAGGTTTAGTACAATATTTCATTCTGACACATTACTTATGTGTATTTTAGTGCAGATCAAATTAGATGTAGAATTAATCAATGTAGCATCTATAAGTATATTACATTCCAGTAGATGGATATGTAGCAAACACTGACACAACAAACATGTTAAAATAAATAGGTTTTATTTTCCATTGAGTTTCATTTATGAAACTTGGCAAATGATACATAAATCGGAATACTCAACATTGGAAATTTGTACAAACAGTAAAATACCCAACATTGGAAATATATTGATTGGTCATGACAATTACAGTAAGTTTTGAAAGTTTTATTAACATGTAATGCAACTACATTATTTGTAATAGTTAAGATGATATTCATTATGTTGATAGCATGAACACATTATACATGTATTGTGTAATTTAAAATGGTTACCAATCTGGCAAAAAATATTTGTATTCTCCAAAATCTACTCTCAGAATTGATTTGTTCCAGAAGGTAAACCTAGTGGGACCAATGAATCTGTTACAATGTAATTGTCCAACATTATTTATCCTCATGGTCCTTCTTTATGCAGGTGAATACACACACTATTTACCAAATGATGTGATATTTTGAAAGATGTGGACACCACAGTATATGACATTTGCAAATTTACATTGAAGTTGAATATCTGTCTGATATTACATTCTTCAGTGCTAATGATGTTGTAAATTAGAACAAACTTCCATAAATACAAAGGAGTTGAAATTACAACACAACAGGTAAAACAGTTAAACAGTATACGTGTCTTTTGAAATATTTTGTTTGTATGTATTGATGCACATGTATTACCATATTGAACTGACATGAATGACTCAAAGTAACTTTGAAACCTTCTTCATTATCTAGAATCACTAACTTACACCATATTTCATTTGACTTCACACATGTACACATGTTCTGTTCCTTACTGTAAAGCCAGGAACACACACCAGTCACACCATATCACATCTATAATGTTGCACAGGGGCCAGAAACAAAGTAAATGAATATGAACATCTGTACACTGTATATTGACATCACTATAGGTCTGCTTTATTAATAACCTAAGGGAGACAGAACTTCTGTATCACTCTCTAACCAACAGGATGGTTTTCTTCAATTAGAACACTGTATGAAACAGAATCTGTCAGTTGCACTACTCCCATACATATGAGTGAAATAATCCAGTCTGAGACTCCCTTGACCCTCTCACAGCAATCAGAGGATGGTGTCTCCATAGTATTAGGTAGAATTCAAATAGTCATAACTCATGATTTTGTCACCATCCAACTGATACAGACTTTTGCAATAATCAACATGGCGAACTGAGGGTATTAATAAAGTAATTTAAAGTTGTCTCATACACGGTTAAGTTTTGTGACAACCAAAACCCTTAATGTCTGATCAAATGAGGTACACACACATAGCCCCTCCTTGTCAGGACTCCAGTCTAGGGAGCTGATTGGCTGTGTTGTCATAGTGATGTTCTGTAGAAGGTTCAGAGTTCCAGGTACTCCCATCTCTCGACCTTCGCTGTCTTTTTCTACTCGTTGATGAGGGTAGGAACTAGGAAAGATAGAGCATTACAGAATATAAACAATTTGTCAATGAAGTGCAAACTAAAGTGGGTCGTTGAAGTCAGAAGAATTTGGTAGAAACTTTTAACTGGTGATGTCAGTGTCACCATACAATAAACATATAATGAATATTGTATCGGCTTCAGTTTGATATTCAAGCTAAAAGATATGTTTTTAGTAATAAGACATGGGTAAGTATTTAACTGCAGCCATAGTTTCCAAATGTACAGTAGCAAATTGTCTTTAATAAATTTCATTGATTGTTCCAGACTGTGTTAACATGTTCTAAATTGACTTACTATTTCCACAAGTAGAGTGATCCGTTTCCTCCCATAGACATAAATATGTCTCGGTTCTGTGGTAGATGTCTGATTCCCCATACGGTTGATTTGTGTGCCTGCAATGGATACAGAAATCTATACAGAAAAACAGAATACACTACACAAAATTTAACTGTTCACCATACTAATTCGTCTTCAACCAGTTTAATCAATACAGACAGTACACAGAAGTCTGTAACAATTCCACATACTTCTATACTAAACAATACAGACAGCACACAGAAGTCTGTAACAATTCCACATACTTCTATACTAAAATTGGTTTTTTAGTATACTATAAGAGTTTGAATTATTGTTTACATCAAAATCACAAAAACAATTATATATATATGATACTATGCTAAATGTAATTAGTCTTTGAAAATATACAGGTATTTTAGCTTAAATGGGATGGTAAAAAGTCATACTGAAGCAATACCATACAATATTGAGATGCAAATAGAAAAGATTGATACTATGAGTAAGCTATATAATCTGCCTCAATGACCTGGCCATTAAAAGATTGATGATGTGAGTGGATAGGACTACCTCCCTGGTCAACCAGGCCATTGAAAGATTGATGATGTGAGTGAAAAAGACTATCTCCCTGACAGACCTGGCTGTTAAAAGTATGATATTTTAAGTTTGACAGATGACTTTGCTGGTTGACTTTGCCATTGAAAGATTGATACTGTAAAGCAGACCATCTCACTGAATGACTTCACCATTAAAAGACTGATACTGTACCTTTTCTGTTACACTAGCAAATCCTTTTGTTGGATGCTGTGTCCTCATATCAAACACATGGAATTTGGATTCTAATGTTGTTGCTGCTAACTTGTTCATACTGATATCCTTTCTGTCAAATTCAATGCCACAGACCTTAAAGAGATAAGAAGGTACTTGAAATCTTGTCTAATTTCCACAATCCATAAACGTGACTTAGCAGTGTCTATCAAAATAAAATAATCACATAAACACCTTGGACCATAAAATTGATTTTTCTTCATAAAAAAGACACCTACATAGTCTTACTTCAAGTATCTAAAAAAATGTCTGGGATAATCATAGAAGCAGACCTATCATATTGACCTACATGATTGCAATACTTACACCATTCTTTACATTGTGTTCCCAGCGAAGCTGCATGTTTCTCAAATCAAATAGCTTGATATCTCCATTATCATATCCAGCACAAACACATCTATCTGCCTGGTTATAGGCATGACCTAGCAACACAACAACACCATCATCAGTCACATCTATTATATACTTGAAGTCTATTACATTTAATCAACAGATATACACATGTTCAACACAAAGGAACACTTCAGAAGATGTTGATAATAATGGAAGCATCAATTTATACAAAATGTTTACTATGGTAATCCTGATTACAGATTTATTTACCAAATGCCACAGTCCAGCAGTCCCGTTTATCTTGACCTTCTCCTGGCTCCATGGTAGCAACAGGTTCATTCTTCTGACGAGGATCCCAAACTTTAACTGCTCCTGCACAACATAAAAATGAATGAGGATGTACATTAAATCATTATCATCACTGATGGTCAATATCGATCACCTTTACCAAATGTTTTATTACAGTCTCACATTAACTTTTTCCATATCACATGGTTTACATGCTCCTTGTTTTGAGGTTCTTGTTTTGTATAAATGGTTATAAAGACTGATGCCATATAAGTAGATATCAACCCATATACATGTAAGTGTATGACAAATTATGTACCTTTCTCTGTATAAATTTTCATTCACTGAACAAATTAAATTTTAACTTATTTCATGGCATAATCACTATATGCAGTGGGGTTGGTGAAAGAGAACATTTAAATACAAAAAGAAGAGGATTTGGTGATGAGAAAAAGTTGGAGCACAATGAGCAGAGGTGTTGGTGGAAAAGAAAGTTTGATAAAAATGAGCAGAGGAGTTACTTAAAGAGCATATTTACGCACAATAAGCAGAGGTGTTGGTGAAAGAGAAAATTTAATCACAATGAGCAGAGGAGTTGGTGAAAGAGAAAGTTTGATAAAAATGAACAGAGTTGGTGAAAGAAGAAGTTTTTTTAAGTACAATGAGAAGTAGAGTTGGTTAATGTAGAATTTTCAGCACAATAACCAGGCAAGTCTCAAAATGTCCTATGCAATTTCCAAGCTTGGAAATATTACTCACAGGAATTTAGATGATAAAATTCTTTTAAAATTGTTATCTGACAATCTCAACCTGTGACATTTCCAGGTTGTAATCATCTCATCTAATTATTATACAACTTGAAACTCCCTTCAAGTCACAATATTGAACTGTAATATGACTTACCATCTCTACTTCCAGTGACAATTTCTGGTGCCCCCTCACCAATTCCTAAACCACCAACACCATCAATAGCATTGATGATTTCCTTGTGTCCCTTCACTGAGTATATTGGTAGCTCTGGTTGTTCAAGGTTCCTGTATAACACATGGAAAGTAATTGGTATTAGAGATGCAATATTCACCTAAGACAAAAACATAATTCATGTAAAAGTTGACTTTTAAATCTTCTTTTGATTGAAGACATTTTTCATAACTAGTCATATTCAAGGATTTCCTTTAACTTCATACCTAATTACCAAACTGCTTCAATCTGTTTTTACTTTGGGATAATTTATGAAATAGTAAGTTCAACATTTGTTAAGAGATAAATTGCTAAAATACTGACCATTCATTCAGAATTCTGAAAATATATCCTTTATAAAAACTACTAGAGACCTTGACTACAAGATATATAGCAAATGTAACCAGAGTGGGAAAAGATGTGTCTGTCCAATATCAAAGTGACACAGTTTCTTGTATCATCATGTCAGAAGAATCGATAAAGGGATATTCAGCACATCATCAAATGATGTTTTTATGAGAATTTTACAAACAATCTATTTTTTGTTCCTATAGATATTCCACACCTTAATTAACCATAAAAAACATGCCAAATTTGATTTGTGGAAATTCCATATTGATCAAGCAGAGTGGATTTACAAGCAGTAGCTTGACCACAATCTAACCACAACAGGTTTGATTTTTATAAGCCAAATAGTGTGAAATATTTGTGTACATTCAAAAATTGACAAGAAATAAGACGAACAAAGCAATGAAATTCCAATCCCAGCAAAAGTTATAAAGGAACAGTGTATAGACCAGTTTACCCAATATGTCCCATTAAAGAGTTTTAAAAAGGGTTCCTTCAAAACAGTCAGAAATTTGCTAACTTCTTCAAGATACCCCTTTAAGTCTAAGTCAAAATGCTGTTTGAGAAGCACACCAACATATCTTGATAAGAAACTGTATCAATGGATGCTGATGTAACAAGTGGTAGTAGATGGTGAGAAGTAAAGACCAGCAGCTGTCATATTAGTGGTTCCCTAGGGTATAGTCATTGGACCTGTGCTATTCCTGAATTCCATCAGTGACCTCTGACCCAAAGTGTGATCCACTGATAGACTGTTCTCTGATGACTGCCTTCCCTGGCTTGGTCATCCAGATAATGGAGGATGCCAATCCTGCAAGATTACCTAAACCACCTCCAAAATTTGGAAAGACACCTGCTGATAAGTTATTACCTAGGGAAGTGAAAAGTGATACAGCTACCAACATCTAAGCACAAGATGGTGCAGAGTAGTTACAGGATGAATCCTTGTAAGGAATTGCCACCACAAAGGTAATGGAAATATCCTGGATTCAGACTGAGACTTGACTAAAAAACTGACAGGGGCTCCCCCCATATAGAGCATACTGAAAGAGAACCCACACTGCAGCCTTTCTCTGAAGAAACAACTCTTCATGCCCATTGATCATCAAGAAAGGTTTTACAAGACACTGATGAGTTTGCAGTTTAAAATATGCATCCATAGATCGTTTGGGATTTTTTCCAAAAAACTTGCATCATTTCCATTGAGACAGTGCAGAGGAGTGGGGGCACAGTTCACTAAAGAGTACAGGGAAATTAAAAGCAACCAGAAGTGAAATCAATAACTGCTTAAAAAGTATTTGATATGTCAAGGTAAAATTAAAGCCTACCAAGATTCAAGGCTGAAACAGGAACATTTATGACAAAGTTGTTTAAGACAGGAAAATTCTGTCAACATATTGTTGCTGAATGTGTTTTTTTCCTCGCATGCTGGTCTCAAGAATTTAAAATGACACCTTTAGGGTTGATGGTCATCTTGAAAGCCAGCTTTATTTCTGGCATGTCTGATGTTGGTGTTCATGCACATGTTGGTAATATGTGGGCCTAATGGCAATTTGATAGAAAATAGATTAAAAACATTCTTTTTTACCATATGTGCATTTTGCCTTCCATATCTCCTGTGGCCAAATATCTCTCCTGTAGTTTGGAGGCTCCAAATGTGCCACATTTAAATCCCTTGGACTTTTCCACCTGAAGACATACATGATGTATTAAGTTTACTCAAAATGATACCCAAAATGTTACATGTCATAAACTGATGACTAACAAACTAGTCAAACGTCTTGCATAGTTTATAAAGTACACATATTAAAAGACATATTAACCAAAAAATGAAAAATAAATCTATGATAGTACAAAACTTTAAGATACCATGTGTAATTTGTAATTTACTAGATATAAGTCTTTATATCACAACAAGCGAGAAAATTATGAGTGTAACTTTAATGCCTACACTGTCAACGTCATCACACAAATGACCAGTATGGAGAGCATTTGCACTGAGGTATCACTTTACAAGATGATAATAAATGCATCTAATAAATGCATGTAACCTTATGTGCACTATGGTGGAGAGTATTAACGGTTTAACAAGATAATGATAACATGATAATGAAATGCGTTCATACTAATGATCCAATGTCCCAATCCATAGTACCTGTAGTGGATAGGTAAAACAACATTTCCAAATGGCAAGTGTATGTAAGATTATGCTGTAACCGAAAAGTCCTGAGGATTGATTACCATCTCGTATGCTGTATACCTTGGTGCATATACGCTTCATACTAGTTATTTGTTCGGTGAAGGTTATCGTTTAGCCATCGAATTTTTTATCGAACTGGTTGTAGTATCATGTATGAACTTCTGCTCAGTATATTGTTCCAAGAATTAAAATTCACTTCTTAACACATAAATATGAAAAAGGCAACTTTCTGTCAATATATATATACAATACAAAAATTACAAAACAACCATCACATCACCTCCTTAACGAGTCCAACATCTCCGTGAGAAACCTCATATATCTGGATGGCACCGGTTCCGCGTGCATGGTTACCGAGGACCACGAACTTAGCACTAGACGGTATCCATTTTGCGTCGAAAAGTGTGAAGTTGACCGACTTTTGGATATGCAGTATTATTTGCGGTTTATCCATGGTTATATGTTTGTAAAATGATGTCAATTTGATTTGATAATAACCACACTCGACAAGACAGGCATAAACAAGAAAGCGAGATTCTTCTGGAAGTCGAACGGAAGTTCGAATATTTTTACCTCCAAACCAAAAGAGCGATGTAAATATTGTAGGAGAGTGCACATGCTAGATCACATTACAAACTGATATATATATATATAGATATATATATTTATGTTAGTTTACTAGGTAGGTTATACAAACTCAATTGCAATATATAATGATTACCCATATATGTTTCATTGCTGATGTATTCGACTCAACAGAGGAAAATTTCTTATAAGCGTACATTATACAGGCTTCCGGTACACTGCTCCCAAAACACATCTACACGTGCACGAAGTGTCCCAGACCACAGGTACTAGCCTCGTCTGTCAATACACTCATTATATTAATGTATAACAGTCGACACTAATATGTTGGCAGCATCGCACGTATTTGAAATTCTGAATGTAAATTGAGATCTAGCATAGGCATGTTTATCAGTTTATATATGTGAAAGACCGGGGGAAATACACTTATGTCGAGTGCCCCGACCAGGAATTTGAACAGGGATCGGTTGCGTGATAATCAATCGGCTCTACCAACTGAGCCAAAGCAGCATGCTGAATGATGAAAACCGTATTTAAAACTATGTACAGGCCACATCAACCCGCTCCTATTACACTGCTCCCTCATTTTTCTTTAGATTTCCTAACCTCAACAGTAGACTTCAAATGACTCAACTCTTGGGATTTTGTTTAAACATTACGGTCAAGTGCCCAGACCAGAAATCAAACCCAGATCTCTGGCAAACTGAGCCAAAGAAGCATACTCCATTAGCTGAGTGACTGAGACCATACTCAACTGTCAAATGACTCAACTCTTGGGATTTTGTTTAAACATTACGGTCAAGTTCCCAGACCAGAAATCAAACCCAGATCTCTGGCAAACTGAGCCAAAGAAGCATACTCCATTAGCTGAGTGACTGAGACCATACTCAACTGTCAAATGACTCAACTCTTGGGATTTTGTTTAAACATCAAGTTCAGACCAGAAATCAAACCCAGATCTCTGGCAAACTGAGCCAAAGAAGCATACTCCATTAGCTGAGTGACTGAGACCATACTCAACACTATATACAAGCCACACCAACTCCCTCTGATTACACATATATAAATTGATGATTAGTGTGGACCTCAGTTGTTTACATACCAGACACAAGTGCTTGTTGCAGACAGAATTTCAAACATCTGTGACAGGAGTGGAAAAAATGTGCTGCCAGACCGAGGTTTAGACCTGGGACCTTCTGAAATCTAGACTCTACCTACTGAGCTCTATCCAGTTCCACTACATCCCTCCCTCCTTATTTTTAGTCTTCCCCTCCAAAGACATCACATCAAACAACCTAAGTTCGGGTATCCCCTTGTTAAGCATTTACTGACTGCTTGAAACTAGATTTGGTTTCATCACCAAATGTAACAGGAGTAGGAAAATGCACGGCCAGACAAGGGTTCGATCCTGGAACCTTCAAACTCCAAAAGGATGCTTTACCTACTGAGCTAACTGGTTCCTGAAGATTGACCTCATCCAGTTCCGCTACACAGCAATGGTTGCATGAACCATCTAGTAGCTATATACATTCTACATTTTCTATTCTGTATACTACAGTCTTACATATGATAGGCCTAAATTATGTTATCCCATTACGTTTGAAAATTTAAAGAATAAATTTTGATCCCATTGTAAATGATTGATTTAATGATGTTTTAGTAAAATATTTTATTATTCATGATAGATTCCTAGTAAAAATATGTCATTACAGATGTGATATCCTTGGTAATAATATTGATGTTAAAGTAATCAATTTCACTACAGTTGTGAATGGATAATATAGGTAAACTTATCTTTGACATTTAAATTAATGAAAATAAGCAAACATTGTAAACTTGTTATCCTATCCCACATGTGAAACGTGTGATATTGTTGAATATTGAATAAAAAAATACTGTTTATCTTTATATTGTAGAAATTCATGTGCTATGGATCAAGATTTTGATGATGACAGTGAGGGTCAAGCCAGGGGTAGATTTAGAGACAGTGGTCAGATGACAAAATTAAAAACAGGAAAGAAAAAACATAAAGATTCAGCATCGTTGAAAATGTCTGATAAAACTGCAGTGACAGTGATCCCTAAAAGTAGTGAAGGTGACTTCTACAGTAGTCAAAAGAAAAAAAAACTAAAACAATTTTCTGGTCTGGGCAATGATGAAATGACTCCTGGAAACAGCAAGACAAGTAAAGAATATGAAATTGAAGAGGATGAATATCAGGCTTGTTCTGAAGATGAGGATATGGAGGAACAGTCTGAAATGGAGTCTACTGATGAAGATGTCAGTAAAGAAGAGTATGTAAGTGTACAAATTATTTTCACATCATGACTTCAGGCTTGATGTCATTATAATCAAGTGCTTAAATTGGAACAAAATCTTTATGGCAGCAAATATTTCTTCTTTAAAATTGAAATTACAGAATTAATTGTGTAAACATTAATTGTGATCAAATTTGAGGATATATTTATCTGGCAACAATCCCATGCCTGGTAATAAGCTTACCCACATTTATTGAAGTTTCAGTAGAAATGCCAACATATGCAGTTTATGAGTCATTTGAAATAAGCTTATATATGGCTGCCTATCACTGTGTTATCGTCTGTGATGATAGCCAGAATGTTAAGTTTTTAATACTTCCCCATTAACTGCTATGTGGGCGACTATCATTTGCCATACCATGTTGTTTCTTGAAGTTTATTTGCATGTGTCATCATTGTTGAATTAATTGATTCTTTTCTGAACTTGTCTCCTTTTATTCACAGGCAGCCATGCGTGAAGGTAAGATGTTTTCACAAAATTACAAATAATTCTGATGTTCACTGTACATATTTATAGTGAATTTTATTAGAAAGCTCTAAAAACCTGGCCTTTAAGTTCAAGTGTACATGTGTCTGTTACTTTATTGGTGTTTGGGATCACCTATACATATCAGTTCAATGTAAAGTTAATAAAAAGTTGTCTTTTATAAACATTCACTGCCAGCATGAATTACACATCCCTAGCTGAAGCAAGAATTAAATTTATTTAGTCAAAATTTCTTTAATTCAATTTGTGTCCTTGCCACATTTTCAGAAATTGCTAACATGCCATTTGAAGATTTGATAAAGCTAAAAGAAAGAATTGGAACAAAAGCGTAAGTATCCTTAAAACTTTTCTGATTGCTTGGAAATTCCTATGGTATGAATTTCAGATTGATGGAATGAACCTTAAGAATTCTCCATTACAGTGATCTTCTCAATCCTGAGTTGAGCTCAAAAGAAAAACAAATGTGACAAATTTTCATAGATCAAATGTGAAATGGAAACAAGTTAATGATCCCTTTTTTCCAAATATCAGAAAATGCTCTTTTTCAGTGTCAAACTTGAAGCCCTCATGGCTCTGTATATGTCTACGTCTCCATTTTGACATCACTATGTAGTGTGCAAATATGTGACATCATTTTATCTAGTCCCAATGTCATAGTAGATCATTACATGTGTTCATATGAATAAATATACGACTTGAATATATTCACAGAATAACATATCAGACATGTGGTGAAATGTTTTCAAAAGTCTACAATATCAACTATGCATAATTTAATTTTCATAAAACCATCTATAATTTAAAAAGTTGGAGATCATCTGTAAGTCATCTGATGTTGTCATACTGACTTTGTGCTGTTCAGCAACTTCCAACAGAATACTTTCTCTTGTTAAGCTTCTGCATTTTATTTCAGATACAAAAAGGCAATGCATGGTGATAAACACCTAGGTGTGAAGGGAAAGCGACAATTTAAAAGGAAAAACAAAAACAGGTGTGGAAGCTTATTACTTGATAATGTGAATGTCAGCAATTTGGGTTTTTTCTTCAGTACGTCATATAACCTGACATTAACAAATTTCACAACAGAAAGTTAAAACCTGTCAGTATTGTCTTTTTTGCTTTAATGAACTGATTTAGCATAAATGATTGACTTCACAGTGTGTGAGAAAATTACTATAATCAAAATGCATCAAGACAGTCTGAATTTTTTGTGTTGAATAAGGGCTTTTGAAAACTATTTCCAGACCAATGGAGATATCATCAAAGAGACGGGTACCTGCCGTAAGAGAGGTTATTCCTGTAAAGAAAAAGGTGACAACTTTAGTAAAGTAAAGGTTACAGAAAATATTAAATGCTCGTAAACATCATCAAATATGACTTTCAGAATAAAAACATATAAGTGCCATATTGGTTTTGCTGTTCAGGTATAGAGAGAAAGAGTTTTCTTCATACTGATAGTTATCATGCAATTCAAATTCAGTGGTACTGAAAATGTAAATAGTCTTTCACTCCAGGATTTGACATATATTCAAGTAACATCAAAGTTATCATTGTGGAACTTGAACTCGGTCAACATAGCAATATCATTAATTTTTTGTTGTTTGTACACAAAATGCAGCGATTCATCTAGATCTAGATCCCTCCACTTGATAATTTGTAATAAAATAATCCTTAATTAAATTATCATATTATAACCATGTTATTTTTGTGTTTGAAATTAATTAAAAGCTTTGATTATAATTTTTTTAGTTTCATGCTGGTATGAGAGAAAAACATTTTTTGCAAACTGAATGAATGCACGTAGCTTCAATGAAAGTTATGAGAGGCAAGTTTTTCAGACTGACTTTCGTTTCATACCACTTTTACAATATTGCATTGCATTTGAATTGTTAATTTTGTTCTGTAGAGGTTGAAGTCACTTCTAATTTCTGATGAAATAAAGGAATTATTCTACCTTTAGCATAAAATTTGTTTGGTTGTACATGTATGTTCCTATTTCAGATTAACCGTGACCCCAGATTTGATGACCTTTCTGGAGACTTCAGGGAAGATCTCTTCAACAAATCTTACTCCTTCCTTAAGGACATAAAAATCAGGGAAAGGGAGGTAAGTTAAACTGATATACCAATGATTTGACGGTGCTTCCTTGAATACTTATATTTTTTGAAATGCTTAATTCTTTTTTTTCTTAAAAAGATAAAAATGCATACCTAATAATCCTCCATATTTTGTGGAGGAAAAAACTTTGTCGTGTGTTTAAAATTGCATAGATACAGTGTAGGTATTGTTACAATATATTATGACAACTAGGTATAAGGTAGTGTTTTTTAGTTTTAGGGTATATTTTTTAATCATCTTTACATTTACACAGAAAGTGCAAAGAGAACTCAAGAGAGTAAAGAATGCAGATAAGAAACAAGACCTTCACTATCTACTTAATCGTATGGTAAGTTATAAGTAGATGTTTAATTGTATGACACATTACTGATACACCAATAGTTAATTAATTGTTAGAAAGTTAATAGATACTCACTCTTATGATGAAATACCAAAGATATCAAAAGATACAGTAAGATCGAAAATCCATATTTAATAGTATTGTGCAATACTGATGGATATTGTAGGTAGATACTCCTTTATTTGGTGAGATATTCATATATAGATACTCCTGTGTATGGTGAGATATTTATTTAGATACTCCTGTGTAAGGTGAGATATTCATATATAGATACTCCTGTGTATGTTGAGATATTTATATAGATACTCCTTTGTATGTTGAGATATTTATATAGATACTCCTTTGTTTGCTGAGATAGATATATTTAGATACTCCTGTGTATGGTGAGATATTTATATAGATACTCCTGTGTATGGTGAGATATTTATATAGATACTCCTTTGTATTAGATATATAGATACTCCTGTGTATGGTGAGATATTTATATAGATACTCCTGTGTATGGTGAGATATTTATATAGATACTCCTGTGTATGGTGAGATATTTATATAGATACTCCTTTGTATGTTGAGATATTTATATAGATACTCCTGTGTATGGTGAGATATTTATATAGATACTCCTGTGTATGGTGAGATATTTATATAGATATTTATATATATACTCCTTTGTTTGCTGAGATAGATATATATATATAGGTGATATGTGTAAGGTGAGATATTTATTATACTCCTGTGTATAGATACTCCTGTGTAAGGTGAGATATTTATATAGATACTCCTGTGTATGGTGAGATATTTATATATACTCCTGTGTATAGATACTCCTGTGTACTCCTGTGTGGTGAGATATTTATATAGATACTCCTGTGTATGGTGAGATATTTATATAGATACTCCTTTGTAAGGTGAGATATTTATATAGATACTCCTTTGTTTGCTGAGATAGATATTTTGATACTCCTGTGTATGGTGAGATATTTATATAGATACTCCTTTGTATGTTGAGATATTTATATAGATACTCCTTTGTATGTTGAGATATTTATATAGATACTCCTGTGTATGGTGAGATATTTATATAGATACTCCTGTGATATTTATATAGATATGTTGAGATATTTATATAGATACTCCTGTGTATGGTGAGATATTTATATAGATACTCCTGTGTATGTTGATATTTATATAGATACTCCTTTGTTTGCGGAGATAGATATATTTAGATACTCCTGTGAGGTGAGATATATATAGATATATAGATACTCCTTTGTATGTATGGTGAGATATTTATATAGATACTCCTTTGTATGTTGAGATATTTATATAGATACTCCTTTGTATGGTGAGATATTTATATAGATACTCCTTTGTTTGCTGAGATAGATATATATATATTTATATAGATACTCCTGTGTATGTTGAGATATTTATATAGATACTCCTTTGTTTGTATAGATATATTTAGATACTCCTGTGTATGGTGAGATATTTATATAGATACTCCTAGATACTCCTGTGTATGGTGTATATAGTTGAGATATTTATATAGATACTCCTTTGTATGTTGAGATATTTATATAGATACTCCTTTAGATATATGATACTCCTGTGTAAGGTGAGATATTTATATAGATACTCCTGTGTAAGGTGAGATATTTATATAGATACTCCTGTGTATGGTGAGATATTTATATAGATACTCCTGTGTAAGGTGAGATATTTATATAGATACTCCTTTGTTTGCTGAGATAGATATATATAGATACTCCTTTGTATGGTGAGATATTTATATAGATACTCCTGTGTATGGTGAGATATTTATATAGATACTCCTGTGTATGGTGAGATATTTATATAGATACTCCTGTGTAAGGTGAGATATTTATATAGATACTCCTGTGTATTGAGATATATTTATATAGATACTACTGTGTCTTTTGAGATATTTATATAGATACTCCTTTGTATGTTTAGATATTTATATAGATACTCCTGTGTATGGTGAGATATTTATATAGATACTCCTTTGTATGTTGAGATATTTATATAGATACTCCTTTGTTTGCTGAGATAGATATATTTAGATACTCCTGTGTAAGGTGAGATATTTATATAGATACTCCTGTGTATGGTGAGATATTTATATAGATACTCCTTTGTATGGTGAGATATTTATATAGATACTCCTGTGTATGTTGAGATATTTATATAGATACTCCTGTGTATGTTGAGATATTTATATAGATACTCCTTTGTATGTTGAGATATTTATATAGATACTCCTTTGTATGTTGAGATATTTATATAGATACTCCTGTGTATGGTGAGATATTTATATAGATACTCCTTTGTATGTTGAGATATTTATATAGATACTCCTTTGTTTGCGGAGATAGATATATATAGATACTCCTGTGTATGGTGAGATATTTATATAGATACTTCTTTGTTTGCTGAGATAGATATATTTAGATACTCCTGTGTAAGGTGAGATATTTATATAGATACTCCTGTGTATGGTGAGATATTTATATAGATACTCATTTGTATGGTGAGATATTTATATAGATACTCCTGTGTATGGTGAGATATTTATATAGATACTGTGTATGGTGAGATATTTATATAGATACTCCTTTTTTTGCTGAGATAGATATATATAGATACTCCTTTGTATGGTGAGATATTTATATAGATACTCCTGTGTATGGTGAGATATTTATATAGATACTCCTTTGTATGGTGAGATATTTATATAGATACTCCTGTGTATGGTGAGATATTCATATAGATACTCCTTTGTTTGCTGTGATAGATATATAGATACTCCTTTTGTTAAATTTAAATTCTGAAGGTGATGGAGATATGTTGAAGGCTAGCATGCTATTTATTTTTCTGTATTTAACTGTTCTGAGTGGAATAACCGAAGTGATCATAGACATTTTGACTTTTGAGTTTTGTCATGTTTGTTTGTATGTCAGAATACATGGTCTCTCTAGAGGAAAATACCTTTAAAAGGATAGAGAATATAAAAATATAAAAGCATAAAGTGACTTTATATTTATTAACTCCAGAAACAACAAGAAATGGCTACAGATCAGAAACAAAAGAGACAAGACCTTGAAAAGAAGTGGAAGACAAAGGAGAAGGAAAGAGTGAAGGAAGGAAAGAATCCATTTTATCTCAAGAAAGGTAAAAGACACTTGTACATTGAAAACTTGTAAAAGTTTGTGTCTCACAGCAGCTAAAGTATTATAAAGAAATAACAATGCTATATTTATATAGCAACATTACTTACAGACTTAAATCTTATTGACCAGGATTATTTATTGTCATATGCTGATGATGTAATAACTAGGGTATATCACCATTAAGCACATACATTCCCTCTGAAACATTTGTGATATACTGTATTATCACCATAATACACATACATTCACTAAGAAATGTTTGTAATATACTGTATCTTTAGGGGAAATAATATGAAGTTATTATGTCTCAAAGACAAAAATGGAGGAATTTGTACATATTCTGATTTTTCTGGTATATCTTATTGACAATAATATCAGTAAAGAAAATTGAGATATGTTGCATTAATATAAATTGTATTCGATACGGTTTTATCAATGAAATGGTGCGTTTTTGTTAAATGGTTGTAACTAACGTAATGTTCAACTTTCATAGATATACCATTGTGTTTAAATCTGTTGTGTTGTAATCTTTTTCAGGAGATTTAAGGAAACTAGAATTAGCAGAAAAGTATAGAGAGCTCAAGAAATCTGGAAAAGTTGACAATTACCTTAGTAAAAAGAGAAAGAAAACTGCTTCGAAAGAGAAAAAGAAGTTACCCTTACCAGCAAAGCAATTTGGATTCACATAATTGGTTTTCAATAAAATTTCATTTAAAAACAAGTTCTTGCTCACTTTATGTTACACATCCAGAGGTCTCAGAGGGATCTTGGCAGCCAACTTCACTGTTTTTCGTAAGACTGATTATTTCTTTAATGTGGTAACATGTTAAGGTCTGTAATGACTTCAGATATGAAATTCAAAATGCTTGAATGTGGCAATCTTGAATATACAAGCAAGGCTGAAAATATTACATGAATGATTTGGTTTACTTTCTGAATGCGTCTATAAAATTTCATAGGTTTTAAAACTACAAATGTCAAAATCCAAAATGACAAGCCATCTTTTAATATTTTGTATTCAAAATGTGTGACTAGAACAGATACTAGACTTGTCCTTGAAGAATATCCCTTCAGTTATTTTTTAGTGCTCTAACACTTTCTATGTCAAAATCATAAGTACAGTTGTAGCCACTGGCAGCTATCTCAAAATTGAAATCATACTCAAAATACGGTGTACTCAACTAGGAACCATACAGATTATGTTGGTATTGAATTTTGCGATCCCTGCAGTATTTCTTAATCAACGACGACCACACACTTCAAATGACAAAATCAACAAGAGTGCCTCCCTTTGTATGAAAGGAGGTGTACAGTATTAGTACATGTACTGGTTCTTCTCACCTTTTTACTAGGTCATACTTTTGAATTGTAAGAGATACCATATATGATCTTTAAAGGGCGCATGCCCCTATAAGGGCACTTGTACCTTTTTTATCAGGAACATTTCTTGGCCAAGTGTCCACTTGCATTCAGAAACGATAAAATTTTTTACTACACCTACCTTTATATTTAGAATATATAGATAGGCCTATTCTGAGGATTGCTATGACTGCACTGTGGACATTAAAAACAGACCTGATTTCAATGTCTAGGGCTAGTACAGTCATAGTTATCATTCAGCATCGTCCTTATCACTGTCTGAGCTGCTAGCACTACTCATGGAAAGTACAATGTTCGCATTGTGCACATCTGCACTTGTATAATCGAGAACAGTCTAAGCTACAACAACTTAACTTTTCATTGTTTTCGGTTGAATTGCTTTCAAAAACATTTTCACATGCCAATTTTCTGTATAGACTTGGTCTATAAATAACATCAAATGGTTTCGCTGGAATTTCTACTTACCCTCAGTTGAACTGGAAGCTGTCTGCTACATACACATCGCCTATAGTCTGTTTCATAAAACTTGCCGGTTTTTAAGTCTTATTTAGGGCACCCTCACGTTCAATTACCTGCGACCTGCGTCCTTATTAGGTCATATACAGTATATCTTGAGGAAACTTGAAATACAATTATTGCTTACAGGCAGTGTGTAGTGCACTGATAATTGGTCACTTTGACCATCACCTCAAGGTTAAAGGTTGAAAAGGAGCAAAATTTCCAGTCCAGTGCATTTCTGCTTGTCCATGCCAGGACTCTGATATTTTAGCATTTTTCTCCATCAGGTCAGATGAATATTTGAGGTGCATGGTTCAATATCTACTCATGTTGGTTTGTAATTTTCAGAAAGCTGAAATATGGACTGGTCTGCGCTGTTGTGACCTTTGACAAGACACTTTACACTAATTGCTCTGTGTGACATGTGATGGGCCTGCTGTATGTTGTTTAGTAAGGTAGCTACCAATTATTACAAAGAGACCCTGGTTGTTTGTAGGATGATGAACTTAGCAAACATTGTCCATGCCACAACATTTGAACTGTCAAAGATATCTTTATTAACTTGAAATATAACTACATCATCCACAAGTAGTGAGCGATCCAGTGAAATTAAATCATTGTAACCTTCATGTTAAGGTTAAAGGTCAAGTAAGTGAACTTTTTCCTATACATTCTTTTCCAATTGGCCATATCTTGATGAAACTTAAATTCTATATTCATCACTCATAGGTGGTGTGGAAAGCACTGATATTAGGCCACTATGCCCTTCATATATGAAAAGTGATTATGATGGCAATTTTACATTGGCATTGCAGCTGTGCCAAAAGGAACTAAAACAAAAACAAAAGAACATGTACTAAACATATTTTACCTAACATCTGATGGAATGCATGGTAATCATTTCAGTAACTGCAGAAGATAAAACTACACAGGTAAAATCATGGGGCTTCTTTAAATGCATGTTTGGCACTAAATTTTTTCATGATACATATAGTCACTTTGTCAAGATGTGAATTTCCGACCCAAACTAGGTTGTGAGGATATGTACTTCTTGCACCTCGAAAAGGGATATCGCATGTAATACCCCATCCTAGATTTTTCTCATCCGATCTGTTTATTACCTTATCGGCGTTTTCGTGGAATTTTTTATGCATAGGTGTATTCATCCACATGTAGGCATAGGTGACACCTACATCCCTGCATTTCTACTAAAACATAGGTTATGATGTTGCTAAAATTTCAACAATTAATCATATTTAAAATGGAATAGAAAATTGGCATTGTAAAATGTGTTGTATTTTTTGTAAGTGCGACCTACATTGTTTATGTGGCACTATTCAAACATTGTTTAAATGTGAAGAGGCTGTTTGGGTAGTTTGAGGCTCCCATGGGATACACCAAACTCTGATGAAATATTGAATACTTTTCAGAGTATTAGGTGCAAGAAAAAATCTATTACCTGTAACTGAGCAAGATCGGGGAATCTCAGTATTGGGCTAAGATCCTGTAACATCCTCCCAACTGAAGCGTTGGGTGTTTCAGGATCTTAACTTGAAACTGAGATACCCCGATTTCGCTTGGTTACAGATACCAGATTTTATTGATGTATTCAATGGTAAAAAAGTCTAATAAGAATTCATTGTAACTTGTCCATAAACTGATCACTAACAACACACATTCAAATCTTCCATAGACTTTATTGTAATCAACATAAATACATATGACTTCATGGCAATAGATATACAGTGTTCATCTTTGAAGTACATGTGATTGTGAATCTTTTTCTTTAACACAAAGAAAAATTACCTTTAGTAGCAAATTTTACATAGCCTAGAAATTTGAATTCTATTGCAGGTACCATATCATCACATTAATGCTAATAATGCAAACACTTATGACTGGGAGGTGTGGGATATTATTTTGGCATGTAGAATAACCTATTAATTTCATTTTCTGATACAATTTTAATTCATTCTATAATTCATAATTCAATTTATTTTATAGATAACTCCAAAGAAATTCATAGCACATGTGTGCCGTTAATTCATTTTTACATAGTTTCTATATCACAAATGTTATTTGATTTCCAACATAAATGTGAGTATGTTAAATATGAAATATTTCACTAAGTCAATTACATGGTAATGTATAATGAATATCTTTTCACATGAATCCATAAACAAGTTTATCATGTCTTGTACGTGTACATCATGAATTCATGCTTAATAGCCTATTTATTGATAAAAAGTTGATTAGATGGTATTGTGTTTTATGAATAAATACATCAATGACAGCCTTGTAAGAAGGTGGTATGCTCAAGTGTTCCTATCAGAATCCATGAAAACGAAAAATCAAATAATCTAATGTATAGTTTCACCACTTAAATTCTGTCATCATCAAACAGATCCCTTACCTTTTACCCCATTTCTGAAATAATTAAGACAACTCCACTGATACTCATTAAGGAACACAGTATTAAACAGCAAGACAAGCTTTAAATTAAGTTGTTAACAAGTCAACATTTCCAGATCCTTCCCAAAAGTGGCATTGTCTTCTTTCAACAACTCAGCCTCCACTGTCACAGGTCAAAGTTTTTATATTCTTGATTTATATGTTATGATTTTGTGTCTTTTTCTTTCATCCTTAAAAACTTTGCCTCCAACTCTGCTTTTCGTTTCAATGCTTGTTCCTCTACTACCTTTTCTCTTTCTATAAGAAATTGTCTGTATTCCTCTGGATCAAGGTCTTTCACTACTTGTAATCCTAAAGAATGAGCACTGCCTATTATCATCTTACAGATATTTTGAAGGCTGAATCTGTCCAATGTTCCCTCAGACTGCTTAATCTTGGCGATTTCATAGACATGTTTCAGTGTTATCTTTCCTGATATTTCTTGACCTATAAAAAAAGTGAAGACTCATAATATTGTTCAATTCATAATACATATCAAATGTTTTTTTACCTTTCCTACAGGATATTAAAGCAGATTTGTATAAAATTCTACCAAAAGGTAACAGATACGGGTTAGCTTATTACCAGGCACAGGCTTACCGTTGCAGACAATATTTTAATACATCGGTAAAAGAATTAGATTTGCCTTTGACAAATGATTAAGTACAACAACACAAAACATTTTCTTCCATAACTTATATACGATATAACAGCAGTAGTGGTATTAACAATTACAAAACTGGCAAAAACACTCCTCATTTCAGTTTCTCCAAATTTCAACAAAATTTCAGCTAAAATGAACTTGAGAAGAAGTTTAAAATGTGGTCTTCAAGATGGCAGCCATGGCAGTCAAATTGGATTTCGAACTGACCCCCAAAATATCATCAGGATCATCTCAACATCAATTTAGGCAAGTTTCACCTGAATTCCATTAGTGGAACTTGAGAAGAATTTAAAACAGGTGTTGTTCGGAGAAACTATGATAAAGCAATCATGTTACAAAATGACCATAATGGCTGTCATTGGGAAACTTTAGACAGGGCCAATAAACATCAATACTTTGTTGGCTTCCTTTCCTTAACAGTCCCACCAATTATCATGTCTGTAGACCTATTAGTTCCTGAAAAGAAGTTGTTTAAATGTTTTAACAAATTTGACCCTAGTGATAAATATTTATTAGTCATGGTCATTTCTTTTCTCAAACTTGGACGAGCTTCATCCTGGGAACTTACCAGCCAAATATCCTGCCTCTAGGCCTTTGAGTTCACAGGGAACAGTCATTTAAGGGTATTAACATATCTGACCCCTGTGACCTTTAATACAGGTCAAGGTCATTTCTTTTCGCAAACTCTGTCAGGCTTCATTTGAGGAACATACCAGCCAAATATCAAAACAATTGGTCCATTAGTTATTGAGGAGAAGTTGTTTAAAGGAAAAAGTTGATGGACACTGCACCGCAGCATAAGCTCATTTGGTCCTTCAGACCAGGTAAACTAATAAAAAAACAAACCTGGAGATTGGGCTCCATTTTTTATTCCTGCAGCACTACAGAGAAAATATGATGTCGTTGGCATAGTATGCCTGATGTCAATACTGCGGTCCCCCTTGTGAAAAACAGAAAAATCACAAAGAGAAATCAGCAAGGTTATTGTGTATTTTTTTTCAAAATAACAGTCAAAATATTATTTTGAGTTTAAAACTCATTTAACCCAACAGATCTTCCCTATAGTTCAAGGTCAATTATTTGAACAAATCTGTAGCCCTTCAACCACTTATATTACAGAACTAATATCAACAGCCTAGACTTTTTTGTTATTAAAAAGAAGTATGAAGGTTTACACGCATTTGACTCGTGACCTTAAAAAAGAGAAAATGTTAATCACTTTAACAAAATAGGTAACCTTTCATTCCAGCATGTTACCAGCCAGTTATCAGTACTCTGGGCCTTTTGTTTATTGGAAAGAAGTCATTTAAAATATTTACACATTTGTTCCCTGTGAACTTTCAATGGAAAGTTTACACACAGTACACAATGATGGATGAAAAGCATTGGCAATAGGTCATCCTGACATTTCATGTCAGATGACCAAAAAAGCAACAAATACAAAGCCGCAAAATGGAACCATTTAAGACTGTTGCCAAGACATTTTCCAGGGTGCAGAGAGCAAAAGTGATTGTAACCCCTCGAGTATCGAAGATGTAATTACTTTAGAGATTATCAATTCGACTTGAAAGTAAAACCTGAAGCTACCTAATGCCAACGTACACCACTTTGCACCACCCATGCCACTCCATAGTACCTTGCACCACACAAGGCCATCTTATATCATCCACACCAGTGTTGCTATTCTACACAACCTTGTTTCCTCTTGCTTCACCTACACAACCTTGCAACCCTTTAAGCCACCATGCAACCCACCTCTGTTGGGTTACAATTAAGTAATGAAAACAGTCAAAAGCATGATTATGTAATCTCCTGGTCATTTTTAATTTATAAGATATAGGTACCATCAGGTGGCTTATCAAATTACCATATAATAACGAAGAAATATTTCCAGTTTTTCTGTAATATGAAGTCTCAAAACACATACATGTAGTTTTTATCATGGGATGTCATTAATGGAGAAATTTTCTAATATAAACACTTACTCTTAGTTTAATCCATGTTGGTAAAGGCAGTCCTTCCTTGATATTACTTGTCATGTCATTAAACTGCTTACAAAATTCTGAAATCTGTATTCCATGCTGTAATGAAAAACAGTAGAATAAACTAAATAAAATTGAATTCAAATTGATATGTGCTACTTTAATGCAAATAATTGATATACATGTATGGAACACAAATCAAAAAGTACAATAATATGTGATTTCATAAACAGACCAACATTTATTAAGAATAAGAAATCAGCTTCTTTAAGTTTAAGTCTTATGAGGGCATTGAGGCATTTTCATCACTAAATCCCTGGGCAATTTGGGTACCCATCATCTTATGATAAAAAATTGCAAGTTTGAGTTGTTAACATACTTACCTGTTGTGTAAACAATTTTGGTAATATGGTACCATGTTTACCAAGCAATCCCAGATGGATCTTGGAACCCACGATTATATGATTTTTATTTGTTCTTAAAAGTTTTGGTTCTTTTTCCTTCTTTTCTATTACTTCTGTGTTTTACTCTTGCTTATATAAAATTTGCTAATTCCTCTAAGAAAGAGTGATGATAACGTCATCTATAAGTTTTGTAAAAATTTCAAGAAACACTTTCCAGGACTTAGCGGATGAGTTACCTTCCAAGTATTGTGGACCAGTCTACTAAAGTCAATATCTTGTGGAATCTATTAATGTTGATAAAGAAAGGTGTCCCTGACACAATACGAGAAAACAGGTTGATATGTGTGTTTCTGAGGCAGATGTCCACTTTGACCAATAAATTTCTGTTAAATTAAAATATCCAACAATTTAAGAGATGACTGACATTTTTGGTTGATACTTCCATTATGAAATTTCCATTTTGACTGTGGTAATGTCTGTAATTAGCATATTGTGATGTTGTTATGTCACGCTTAACTTGATGAATACATTTGTAATGTTAACTTACCATTTTTTTTTAAATACCTTGCATTCTCTAGCATTATTTCATTCTTTTATTCAATATCAAGGATACCGAGTGATCATACTTTGGTCCCATCTTATCTACCTTGACGAAAATGAGTGGTGACTTTCATATTTTGTTTGTAGGATACTGTTTTAACATCTTGTTTTCATAAGGTCAGATATTACATCATTTAACATAATCTGGATGTTGACCCTTGCTTGGCATTACTAAAATTTTGCATTTTTACAAAGGGAAATCTGACTTTTGACCATGACTTACACTAAAACAAAATTATAAAAAGGCTGTAAAAACACTTCGGACGAGTAAGAATCAAGCGAAGTTAGCATGAATTATACCTGGCGTTTGACATCAAGGTGAAGGTCATGGTGAAAGGTCAAGTCTTACTGTTGATACATATTATAATTATAAATTCTCATTTTGAGTAACAAGATATTAAGTTTATAAAATGTGTTTTAAAGGCAAAAATAAAGTTCAGTTCTTACTCTACTATATTTTGGATGGATAAGATTAATAATCAGAAAAGTCTAAATGTTTTAACAAAAACTCATCAATTGTGGTTGACCTCACCTGTCCTAACATCGGCCCTAATGGTGGAGAAGGGGTAGCTTTACCCGCTTGTATTGTTGCTCTCAGTACTGAACCTGTTTCCACGTTCGCGATTTTTTTTAAGCTTTTCGCACCCTTCGCTATTGCTTTGCCTTTAGCACCCATGCCGCCGGTTTTTCAAATTAGAGTTATCAGCCTTAGCGGAACAGCCCTTAGTTTACCTTCGTTTCAAAAGCGTGATAGGTGATGTAATGAATTCAACACTAATTATAGTTTAGAGTATATCGACATTCAAAATGTGTTTTATTCAATAACAAACCATATTTTATTTTTGAATCAAAAAGGTTAGAAAATTAATTTGAACCTATTGAGATTGAGGTAATCATAATAATCAAGATGGCGTCCGTTCCCACACCGGAGGAGCTGAAAAAGTTGAAAGTTGTCGAATTGAGGGAAAGACTTTCAAAATTAGAACTCCCAACTGCAGGTAGGTTGCTGCAATAAACTTAAATCCATACTGGATTCATTCCTTGACCTCACGTCTATTGTTATTCAGAATTTTATCATTTTCCACATTGAAAATCACGAAACGTTTGTCCGACGCCGCACATTATGCCACATGGAGTGCAGTCGGACAGTGATCGACTCCAAATAATACGTTTTTGTGTAAACGGATAAAGTGACTGGACCAGATCGTGACCGCGATTGGACTGGAGAATATACGGCATGTGGAATTTTCATATTTGCTTCTTGCAAAAATCATTGTCGGTGCACAAAGACGCCTGGATCTATAACGTAAACAACTTAAGTGAAATCCAGGCAAATCAGCATCCTTCAAGAGATAGTAAACCATTTGGTTGGTTCGTTGGTTACAGTTTTCCGTCTCTCTGACTCGTCCCCTCTCTAGGCATTTTCTCGCTGACTTCTTGCCTGTTCAAGATCATCGTAATGATGTCCGGAGCTTAAAAATAAACATTTGGATATATTTACACTGCCAACAGTAACAGGAGCATTGTCAAATCTGGATATATAGGCAGATTTGGCTATATACTCAAATCTGACTATAAATACATTGGGTAAATGTTAACAACTAAGCCATACCTCTTCACTAAATCTGCTTATATAGCAGATTTGCCACTGCTCCAGTATCTGTTGAAAGACAACTTTATTACTGATGTTTGACTACCTTTGTTTAACAATAGGAACATTTGTCACATCAGGTTTTGTTGTGAAAGGTCACTCTTTCTTCACTTGGTTTTCTTATTTTGTTGATCCAGATGAAGACAGACCTACTGATAGCAAGGTGTGATTTCTGCTACTTTAATAGTATATTTCATAGTATATTTTTTGATGACTTTTTATGCATGAAATGTAACTTGATAACTAGTTCTTTTGTTGACAGATTTTTTATCTGATGTTACTATGACAACTGCCATAAGTTGGCCCACAGAAAGTGGACGTTCTCTCTCTCTATATATATGAAATATACATACATAAGTAGTAATTACAATACATCGTATACTGCTAAAATAGCAGGACTCATATGCTCATGTATAATATAGGTCCGATCCTCTTTGTAACTTTATAATGTGGCATGTCCCAGTGGCTACAGTTTTCAAGCTAAAGAAAAATTCTCCTAGCCAGGCAGTAAACTGCAGTTACCTGTTCCCATCTTAATATTTATCAGGGTTGCATTTTTTACTTATAACATGTCCAATAGATATAATCTAGACTGTAAGGTTATGACTTTATCTAGCCATGGTTGACATCAATTTCTCATCAAATCTGAACCTATTTTACTACCAATAAAGAGTAATTTCTCTTGTGAAGCATTCATCATTTGACATATATATAATGGCACAGTCATCAGCGTCATGATCATGAGATAGGGTCAATTAGATGATAGTAGGTATAGTGACCAAAAACAAAAACTAAAATCACATCATGGAAATATGTATTTAGAATCCTTGAGACTATCACGAAGTCAATAAAGATATTCTGAATTGGGTTATAATAAATGATGTTAATTATTCAATTACAAGTAATGTGTTAGCTTATATTCTGACTTGATTTGGGAGAAAGAATGTTTTCTTAATGAGATTGGTAAAATAGATGAGAAACAGGAAATATTACTTTGCAAAAGAACAGGATAAAAAACATTTCCTTCAAGTATCCAGACAGGAATCAAACCAGTCCACATTGTAGTAATTCATGACTCTACCACATAAGCCAAAGAAGCATTGCTCTATCAGTTGAGTTAAATTAGACTGTATTTAACAATCTTTTACAACTTCAGCCTATTTTACAGTATGATTCTTCACATAACAGTGTGAATATCATCACACATTTTTTCACATCAGACACACACAACTAGCTGAGATTCTAATATAGCTATGCAGATGCACTTGCTACTAATCCCACTTCATCAGGTCTAAAAACAAATAAACATTGAAACATTTTAATTAATTTGTTACAGGTTTGAAAGCTGAGCTGATTGCACGCTTACATAACCACTATGTCCAGGTAAAAAGAAAACTCATTTTGAGGAAAAATATATATGTACTCTTTGTTAATCAGTGCAGTGCTCTTTCTACAGTGTCAATGTGTCATTTTATTTAAGTCAACATTGTATGTTTCCAATGTTCAGTGCCAAATTTATCCTGTATGCTGTGGCTCTTGATAATTAGGCTTATTACCAAACAGGCTTATTGTTGGATAAATACAGTATATAGAATATTTCTTAACCTGTTTTTAAATTGAACAATAAATTCTTGAAAAGTTTTGTAAGTTTGAATATCTATATTTAAATTCAGGAAAGTCTCAAGCAGGATGCAGTGGATTCGTCTCAATTGGAAGAAGGTAAAATAAATTAATTTTTGATCATGAAATATAGAATTGATAACAAGTACTTCCGTAGATTGTCAATGGAAGATGAACTTGTAATAAGGAACATAGTGCTGTAATTGTGATCATTCTTGTTTTTTCATTCGGTTAAAAAATTTAGTATATCAGACTTGACCAGATGGAAAATTGTTTCACTTTGTTATTTTGATATTAACTTTAACTATTGAAATATATTTTTGCCATAAATGTCTTATTGCTGATCAAGCCTCATGTTTTATCCCCAGACTCTCCAGATGAAGAAAAGGAGGTATGTTGCTGTCTGTCTGTCTGTATGCACAAAACTTTGATGACTTCTATCTTTTTAATGTTAAATGATAAGGCTTTTATATTTAGCATGTTTTTTCCTGAGGACAGTACCTATAATTCCATACTAAATTTGATTAGCTTGACTGCTGATTATGACCTACTTATTACTTTTATGCTTAATTATAGCTAGATTATTTTTTGGCAGATTTGGACCAAATTTGATATTGTCCATTCAGTAATAAGATCTCAGATTTGTTGGATATTTCTTCAAAATCTATAAATATTTGCCAGAGTTATGTAACTTCTAAAATATGTGATAGTATTTACTTAGTGTCCATCAGATAACTTTAATTTAAACTGTAGGATTTGAACCAAATTGGGTATACAGTTTTACATCAAGAAGATCTCAGATGTGTGACATTGGTCAAAACTGCCAATATTTGCCTGAGCTACTGAACTTTAAAATAGATAATTTCTTTTTTTATGTCAATAACTTCAAGATTGGCTTCCAATTGAGGAATAGTGCTTCTCTAACATATCTTGTGTAACTTTGATTTTAGTGTAATGGTTAACCTTAATTTTGTTTTTTGATGAAATGGACAAATTAAATACTGGTATGAATCAAGTAAATTCTGTCTGCTTTCAAAATTTGATTTATGGTGGTTAAATTAGCATGTTATTGTGAAGGATATCACATCATAATTTCTATTATCAAGAACATTAACCGTCAGTGTACTATGTTGCTTTCAGTTTGCTACTTCCAGCGAAACAAGCTTGTTAAGTTCCAGGTTACGAAATGATTTTTTTTCAAAGTTATAAATCTATATCTATATACATTCCCGATTGCTCGTTGAGCTGTAAATGGAAAAAATGATATTTGACCATTTTTTTCTGGCGGTATAATTTTATTTTGGGTTTTTTGTAAACTTAAACTAACACTCTATAGAAGTTCTTATGTTCAAACCCTGGCACTATTAATCATAATGAAAAAGATACCCTTTCCTTAGCCTCATTATTACCCTTGTTATATTTACAGGAAGAGTTGCCTTTGCCACCTGTACCAGTACCAGTACAAACACCAGAGGTAAGTTCTGGTTTCCTGGCCTACATTGATAACAAGGGGCCTATATTTTACTAAATGCCTTTTGCTTAGCCATTTACATTACATGGATAGTTTACTATTGTGAAAAATAAACTATGAAATAATTCTCTGCATGGGGAATAACTCAATCAGTATGACTTCGTCTTGAAGGAAAGTAGGATACTCACAGTGGGTCTGCATTTCTAAACTGGATATAATGTAGTGGCACTAACTACAACAAGATCTTCGAAAGAATATTTTGCAAACTGTAGCATAACCTTGCCTTTTCTGCTAGTTCACATTTATAAATCTTGAGGAACACAATATTAATATATGAAACTGTGACTAATTTTTTCATCCTTTATGATTATTTCCTTTAATTACTTTCAATGTTTGCATTCCAAATAATCAAACAGAAAATAGATAATGAGATATTTCAAGAAGTGTACCTGGTACATCAACTCTTGTCTTTGTTAGTAACGGAAATTAAATCTTTTTATTTTAATTAGTCTTTTGAGTGGACTGAATTTTACATTTTCATTTTTATTTAAATAACTGTATTACTATATAACCTCTAATGGAAATGGGAAGATGTTCCATTGCTGTCTTGAAATGCATCAGTAATATCTGTAAAGGCTTTATGACCCTTTTCAGAGGTCTCACTTTGGTACAAATTGTTTCTAATGAAATTGATATGAAAATTACATGTACCATGGTATAAATGTTTTGTTCGGTCGAGTGTTGATACTTAGAAGTTGTTTGTATTTAGGTATTTTAAAAACTATTTTGTCATTTTCTGTCTGCGTTCAATTGGATATAAATGAATGTAGACAAAAGATGTTGATAATCTTTATTGTTTCTCAGGTCTCTGAAAGCTCTGGGCCATCACGATCTGTAGATGAAGATCTCCAGAGAAAAGTTGCTCTCCAGCAACAGATGTTGGTTGTAGAACACCAGCAAGAGCAGGAGAAGAAACTATTGGAACAACAGAAGGAAGCTCTGGCATTGCATGCCCAGCAGCAGGCAGCAGCAGCAATGATGATTCAACAACCTCAGCATGTGGCTCCTCCTCCCCCTCCTGCACCTGTGTCTGTACCGCCCCCTCCTAACATAGATCTGATGGAGAAGGTCAGGCAGCAACAACAGATGCTTGAGGCAGAGAAACATAAACAGATGATGGAACAACAGCAAAAGGTGACATGTTGTTTTCTTGATTGTAAAATAATTGAAATTTGAAATTAAACCACTGCAGAAATATTTTTGTGAAAGAAGAAAAATTCAAAATTGCGATTAATTTCTGATTACATAGATAAAAATTGCGAAAGCTAGTTAAAGTTAATATGAAATATTGAGAATCAATCATCTCAACTATATCACAAAAGTCTGTATATATTGTAAATACACTTATTACAGATGATACAACAACAGCAGCAGCAACAGCAACAACAGCAGGCAATCAGTCAGGCAGAGGCTGAGCGGAGAATAAAGGAGGCAGAGATCTTCAGACAGCAGAAATTTGCTCTGATGGAAGCTCAGAGAGAGGAACAGCAAATGAGAATGCAGAAGGAGCAACAAAGACCACCTAGTATGTATGGCATTATTTGGTAAATGCAATAAAGTATTTATGAATATTTAAATTGGTTAACATTACTTTTCACGACTCTAGCTGTCTCGTAACTATAAGTTATTGTATTGTTGCAGCCCATCAGATGCCAGTGCCCCCTCCTGGCCTCCCTGTGATGTCTCATCCACAACCTCCATCCACCACTATACAACAGCAACCTCCACAGGCTCCCCCACCTGTTCAGATAACAACCACATTACCCCCACAGATGCCGCCCCAGATTAGTGGACCTCCTCCCCCAGTAGGCCCCCCTCAAGGACTTCCGCAGCCAGCTCCAGCCCCTCCAGGTATAGGGCCACCACCAGGTCGTTCAGGTCCACAAGAGCTTATGAGCTTGCCTCCACCCCCTCATGGAGTACCTCCCCCACAAAATATTGGAATGATGCCACCCCAAGGTTCTCCTATGCAGACTGGTGCTCCTCCACCTGGGATGCCTCCTCAACAACAGAATGAAACTAGTATACAGCAGATGATACCACCTGCTCAGCCAATGATTCCACAACCACAGGCACCTCCTCCAGTATCAGAACCACATCATGAAGGACCACCTCCACCGTTGCAACCAACATTGAGGCCACCTCCTCCACAACAGTCACAGATGAGTATGCCACCCCCAACAATGATACAACAGCCACCTGGACAACCATCCTCCATAGTCCAAATGGGTGGTCCCCCCCAACAGCAGTCTGGACCACCACCACCACCACGACCTGCAGGCATGTTGTCCGGAACTCCAATGTCAGGGCCACCACCCCCAGGGGTAGCCCAGACACCACCAATGGAAAAACTTCCATCTCCACAAGTATGTAAACATTGTATTTCAGGAAAACCCTTTTGACTAATGTTTTGGTTTCCTGCCATGAGCTTTGACATTTGAGTCTTGACATGTCCGATCTATTTGATGTGTGCTTGAACCCTCAAAATTTGAAACTGCTATAAATTGAAAGTTAAATGTAAGACTTGTTTTGATAGGAATACTGTGAATTATGCTCATAGAAGAAATATTTTAGAACTGTGTATAAAAAGTTCTTTATGATAATTGCATCATAGCTCAATATTTAGTAAATTCACTACAATATTGGCAAGAAGGAATGCTGACAGTTCGGGGCTTTGGCAAATATGGCAGTGTCTGTGAAATCATCTCTGGGGACTGCTAAACTTGTAACATTACACTTTATCAAATGCAGTAGGATAACTGAAGAAGTGATATTAATAGGTTTTGTTACTACAAGAGGGTATTGTTGACTTCATGTTTACAGTTGGATCCTCCCCAGCCTCAGCCCCCTAAAGAGATAAAGCTACCGCATGCTCTGGAGAAGATTCTAGCTTTCAAGAATGTCCGAGCTCAGGAAGTGGGGCTTACTCCAGAGGAAGTTGAGACTATGCACCAACCTGAAGGTAAACTTTCCATGTTCCAGCTGTGTTTATGTAAGATTAATCAAAGGAAAGGAAGTACATTAGGATTAAAAATCTTTAACTATTGCCTAGGACTGTTTTTGTGTCACTGATTACAAGTATTTCTGAACTGTTTTTTCACACTGGTACATTAATTTTTATTTAAGCAACAGCTTAGTTATTTTATAATTACTTGTTATTTTGAATGACAAATCTTAACTATCATTAATGAGAAAATATTGTTCTTCAAACCATATTTCAACACAATTACGCAGCTTTTATTAAAATCATTTCCAATGTTTTACTATGATCTGAACTTGAGTTGTGTTGGCCGAGTGTGACATAGACAAGTTCAGTTATAGAAACCTTAGGTTGAATAAGTAGTGTAGTCTGACAATAATATGAGAAGTTATGGTCTTTGTGTCGGTTTCCTATGATGACCTGTGTTTTGTGTTACAGAGAGAGAGGATGTGGAGGAAATGGAGGGCGAGGAAGATGAGGATGTTGGATATGGTACTTATGACATGGATGAAGATGCAGACAAGCCAGAGGAGGTTCCTGTAGAAAAAGAGGTGGGTAGCTGGGATTTTCCTATGGTGTGTTAGCAAACATTTGGTGCATGGAATACCATTGGATTTAGAAAAGATTGATTATATGAATTAGATTGGTTTACATTGAATTTTAATGACAAGAAAAATGGTGAATATAAGATATTTTCAATATTGAAAGAACCTGATTAAGATGCCTAGGATAATTTTTAAAAGTAATTATCTGAAATTTTTGTATTACATTCAAATTTAATGTGCAATATGGGTCTGTAATGTAGATTACATTGCTGTCAAGTATAAGTTGAACATTGCTGTGTTGAAATGCATTGACATCATTTATTGTAAATCTTACATTAGATATTGTTCTTGTTTTCCACCAGTCCAAAAATAAGAGACGAAAGAAGAAGAAAAAGAAGGCAAAGAAGAATCGTCAGCAGCAACCGACTTCGTCAGAAACTACACGGAAGGACGACTCTGAGGAAGATGTACAGATTGAGTATGTTCTTTACTAGTGCTTACTCAAGGATATTTTTCTTCATTGTGTTCAAGTGTGTTTGACTAGATCTATGAGAATTACATGATTGGGAAAACAAGTAACTGAACCATTATGTCACAGAGCTAATGTATCGTAAAACAATAAAATGTCAACTCACACAAATTTTCTGTACTTTGGGCAAACATTTGCATAATCAGACTGTCCTGAAGAATCCCATTGTACATGTAAAAGTAGAAGACAGGATTTATATTGAAACGAATCCTAACTGGTTATTCCTGATGAAAACATTGTATGTACTCAATAAAGAAGTTTTTTAGTCCCGTTTAATGTTATACACTTTTCTAATGTACACTGTGCTAATTTGTTTTAATTAAGGACAAGTATATAATTCTTTTCTATCTTTCCAGGTACATACAGGAGCAGTTAGACCTGGAACCTTCAGATCCAAACTACTTCACATTTGCGAAGATATTTGAAGCATTTAAGGTATATAAGTGATATCTGTTCAAAATATTCTTAATTGATATTTTCATGGAACATAATTCCTTTTAGTTATTTTTCAATTTGTTTCATTTTCATTTGAGATAGATGGGTCTTGTCACAGTTTTGCTAAAATGAAAAATTTCTGAGTATAGTTTTTACGAAAAGGAAACTCATGATTTGTTAAGTGCTTTTCTCTATAAATGTGATATAAGTCACATTAATCAATAACATGCTGTGTTGAGGTTGATCCTGAAATCTGAGTCTTGTCAAATTCAGCTTTCATATCTGAGCTACACAAATGATACTGTCTGCAAACTGTCGTCTTATCAAAACCTGATATAGAACTCGTGTTTTTTTTAATGTGTGATATACAGATTTCTGAGACTGAAAGACAAAAAGAAAAGAAAGAAGAAAAAGTTGAAGAAAAGAAAAGAGAGGAAATTCCAGAACCAAAAGGCATATTTGATGAAGATGACAGTGATGAAGAAGGAGAGGTTTGTTTTTTATCAAAATGTATTTAACAAGGAAAAACATTTTGGGATATTTTAATCAATGTGTGATATCATGTTTTGGGTTAGATATTAATTTTCCAACAATTGAAAAACTTAAATGATTTTCAGCTTGTAGTTGTCTTTCAGATATGCATACCATGTTATAAAAATTGCCATATTTGACCTAACATGTTTACTGTGTATTCACCAAGAAAATGTTCGGAGTGAAATTTGTGTTTGATAAAAGGAAGGATTGTTTTAGAAACATGATGGGAGTGTTTTGTCATCTTTTGAATAAAGTTGTTAATATTTCCGGTACGTCGCAGGAAAAGAAATTAGATGAAGATGCTCCTAAGATGTCGAAGAAGAAGCTGAAGAAGATGACTAGACTGAGTGTGGCTCAGCTGAAGCAGTTAGTAAGTCGCCCAGATGTTGTAGAAATGCATGATGTGACAGCCCAGGACCCACGTCTGTTAGTACAGCTGAAAGCCACTCGCAATACAGTGCCTGTCCCTCGGCACTGGTGCTTCAAACGTAAATACCTACAGGGAAAGAGAGGAATCGAGAAACCTCCTTTTGAGCTACCAGAGTACATCAAGGCCACAGGCATCATGGAGATGAGAGAAGCTCTTGCTGAGAAGGTGTGTGAATTATTCAGGATACTAAGCTATAGCTCATTTTCTTAGAATATGAAATTTATGTTTACTGGATACTAAGTTTGATAATGATCTATGAAATTGAATTGTAGGATTCAATACATTTTGGACTTACATGATAAGTGATAAGAGCTGTAAAGTTGAGTGAGTGAATGAATGATATTTTGGATAAGGATATGATTTTCCAAAAATGAAAACATTCAGTGAGCAACTAATATTTTATTAGTAATACCTTGTTTATTGGGCAGTAAACCTTACCATGTTTATTGATTTTCGGAAAGTAAAGATGTTGATAAATATTCTCTCATTAACCTGCAATAAGCTTAGTCAGATTTGATGTCTTGGTTCCCGTGGTTTACTGTTGTAACTCTTAGTTTTTGAGGCTATTCTTGTTGATTTCAATAGCATTCAGTAATTATGCTTTTAATTCTTTATTTCAGGAAGACCAAAAAACATTGAAAGCAAAAATGAGAGAAAAAGTACGACCAAAAATGGGGAAAATAGACATTGATTATCAAAAACTTCATGATGCATTCTTCAGATGGCAGACGAAACCTAAAATGACAATACATGGTGATTTATATTATGAGGTATGTAAACCAGTACTCCAGATGCTATATTAAATGCATGTTTTTAAACACCATGTCATGTTTACTTTGATTCTAAATGTTTATAGGAATACTTATTATGTGAAATGAATGAAATATTAACAGTGGAAACTGTGGTAGCTAGATAACTTCTGAAAGATTTCTTTTCCTCTTAAATAAAAAAAACCCAAATTTTTTATTCCTGAATGTTGCAAATTTATATTATGCAATTATTTTCTCTGAAATCAGTTACTTTTGTTCTTAGTAACGAGAATTAGCTGTTCCTTAAAATTTTTATTATAAGTATTCAATAAACCTTTTGCTCACTGATGAAATTTAAATGTGATAAAACATTTTGCTCACTATCGACATTTATTAAATGTGATGGTCCGTTTCTCATAGCTTCAGAGCTGTGAAGTTATGGTTTTAGACCCTCACAGAGAAATCCATGCCCTCCACCGGTGAGGATGTGGAGTACATTGCTTCACCCAGGAAAACTGAGGACACGGTTGTTCTTAATAGCTTTACTGGTTTTGCGGATGTATACACAATAAATTTACATATAGTGTATCCCATTTTCAGACTGATTCTAAAAACAGCATGGCCAACAGGCAGCGATATTTCATTTTGACAGTAATGCATATAAATCAAATTCCATTATTGGGAATAAAAATAACCAGACTATTGAAGTAAGTGGCAGTATGATATTAAAGATATGTTGATTCGTTCTCCTTATAACTGTGTGGCATTTTCAACAGGGTAAAGAATTTGAAACACGATTAAAAGAAAAGAAACCAGGAAATCTCTCTGATGAACTACGAACAGCTTTAGGCATGCCAGTGGGACCAGTAAGTATTTTGGATGAAATGATTAACTCTATTGACATAGTCTTTGAATTAGACTGTTAAAAGAACTTAAGTTCTTACATTCTTTTTAGTTTGTAGATGTGGATGTTAACCTCACATGTAGTTTCACTAACCTGTTATGTATAAGATAGTGGTACCTGATTTATATGTCAAAGAAATTTATACACACCTGTAATTCCAATCAGTTTACCAGTGTATTCTAGATATAAATTTATTATGGGCAAACAGTATTTCAAAAAATTAGATATTTGTATTGTGAGGAATAAAATAACTGATAGATCGTACTACAGTTTGGATGTGGAATAAATTGTGGATTATAATAGAACACTGATGCTGTGTTAACAATAACTTCAGTGTGGACCAAATTTTGAAATATTCATTCAGAAAGATTAGATTATGTATGGTTTGACCAGGTATGTAAATCAGGATCAGGCCTTGCACTGAATTAACTACTATTGTTACATATATAAATGTTGGAATGTTGCATTAACAAAATGTAGTATATACGTTCAGTCTAATGATGTCATTTCACTAAACTGTTAGATTAGGGAAAAAATCGTTTGTCAGTGAGGATTCCTGTTTACAAGTCAAAGTACATAAAATGTTTTAATAATTTACTTTTTTTTTTTACAGAATGCAGACAAGTTTCCTCCTCCATGGTTAATTGCTATGCAGCGATATGGTCCACCTCCTTCCTATCCTAATTTAAAAATTCCAGGACTTAATGCTCCAATACCTGAAGTAAGTGTCTGTGAAAATTTGTCGAAGAAATTGTCTTTGTTAATGCTGTATGAGGATAAAATCTGAAATTGTCTATGAATTCACAATATGGGGTGTTTTGAGAATTTACAATATGGGGTGTTTTGAGAATTCACAATATGGGGTGTTTTGAGAATTCACAATATGGGGTGTTTTGAGAATTCACAATATGGGGTGTTTTGAGAATTTACAATATGGGGTGTTTTGAGAATTCACAATATGGGGTGTTTTGAGAATTCACAATATGGAGTGTTTTGAGAATTTACAATATGGGGTGTTTTGAGAATTTACAATATGGGGAGTTGTGAGAATTTAAATTATGGTGAGTTGTGAATGATTGTTTTTGTAATCTTTTGTGTACCTACCCGATCCTTTGTAAACAGTCTTGTGATAGTGAAATGATTTTGTTTGCAGGCGACCTCCTTTGGTTATCATGCAGGTGGCTGGGGGAAACCTCCAGTGGATGAGAATGGCAAACCTTTATATGGAGATGTTTTTGGCACACAAAGTGGTGACTTTCAGGCAAGTTCATTAGGTTGATAGAAAATCAGATTATTTACACTTTTACAGTAATTAAAACACTTTAAGAGTGCAGTGTTTACCTTTGGATGTTAATACCTTGTGGTGTCAAGATATAAATTACAAGTAGTCAAATTATTTCCTGTTTAAAGTGGACTCAGAAATTGGGGGATGTGTGTAGAAATCATTGATATAGTATTCAAATAAAAAACAACCATGAGTTTTCTTACTTGTTATTTCATTTTACCAGATGATAAGTATATGTACATCTATATTCAAGATGACTTAAGTTCATTTTCATCATTGTTGTCACGTTTTACCATGAAGTACATGTTATAAAGACACATGCATGTAATATCAGTATCATTAAGTTACTGGGTATGTTACACAGTGGTGTTGGTGGAGAGGGCAACTTGAAAAAATCCGTCTTTCCTCATGTCCTATCAATACAGGGAAAGGGTTTGGAGGATTTTCACAATTTTCTCTCAAGTTATATGATTAGGCAAAATTTTTGTGTCAATTTGATAAGTCATTGTAAATTGAATTATAAATGTATATCTGATGACCAGATCAGAGCTTATTATCTACTGGTATTCTGTAAATCAGGTCGTAGTTGAAGAGGAAGAAATAGATAAATCTCACTGGGGTGAGTTGGAGGAGGAATCATCAGAAGAAGAGGACTCAGATGAGGATGAGGAAGACGAGGAAGACATGACAGGTCTAGTCACTCCAGGAGGTGAAGGGTAAGTACTAATGGATTTCCTGTACATATACAATGTACACTGCTCACTTACACTATTTTGTTAGGCTGATGCTTTATTTGAAAATAGTGGTTTTACTTTTCTGCCAACTGTAGGGTAAGCATTCTCTGTATAGATTTCAAATCAACTTCTTATAAAGGTGGACTCCTCAGATTGCTGTTATCCATCAATCTCTGCTTTCACTCTATCCAAGAAGTGGACAGATCTTTCTCCAGTTTCATCCATATTTAGGTTCCTCATGGTCCTTTGTTTCATTTTAGGTCTTTTAGATTTTAAAATTAGATGTTCACCAGGTAATTTTTCATTTCAACAGTTTATTGTTATGCTAAAAATAATGAGAAAATAACATGTCTGTAGTATCACATTTGTCCTTTATTAGTGTTAACTGGCAGTCAGCCGTCTTGATTTGGACAGTAAACTCTTATCTCTATTCAATTTTTAGACTAAAAGGAAAGAATAACTGTTAGGCAGCCAGTATTTGGTAGTTTACTAGAAATTTAATGATGTTGATGTGATATAAGGGCCTGGTGTGGTGCTTTGTTTTATCTAATTTTATCTAAATTTAAAGTGGCATCAGTTTTGAAAATTGATATTCCCTCTGATATCTTTAATAACCTGTTGTGTTACATAGATTGGTAACCCCAAGTGGCATCACATCTGTACCAATGGGTGTAGAGACACCAGATATGATAGAACTGAGGAAGAAGAGGATAGAAGATGCTATGGACCAAGGGGGAGAAACTCCTGCTCTCTATACAATCTTACCAGAGAAAAAGTCAGCTGTGGGTGGGGCAATGATGGGCTCCTCACATATATACGACATGGCAGCCGTAAGTCTCGCATCTATTTAAATACTTCCCTGAACTTTTGTAATGCTGTTTAAAAAATGTTTATAAATATGGAATGGTAAAGGGTTCTTTAAATATTGTTAATTAATTCTTTGATACAATTTTATTTGCATTTCTTTCTGTTGGTGTTTCTATTTTTTTTAATATTTTGGTTGAAATGTATATACTTGTTAATTTTATACCAATTTCTTTACAACAGGGTGTGCCTGGGAGTAAGAAGACAGATAAGACAGCACCAGAAGGGATTGAAGTTGCCCTGAATCCAGAAGAATTGGATCTTGACAGTGCAGCAATGCAGGCCAAGTATGACCAGACGATGAGGGAACAACAGTCACAACTAGAGAAGGAAGATCTCAGTGATATGGTCGCTGAACATGCAGCCAAGCAGAAGGTCAGTTACAGACCACGTCATTTCTTTATCCTAGAATTATCCAAGGGGACCAACACATTACTTCTTTCTCAAGACAGATGGTGGGCATAATATAAGATGGTGAAATAAAAATTATTTTCTGTTGGTACTGAACAGAAAGGTATGTCAGTGGGCTTATCAGGCATGGTCATTTTGCCAGATAAATGTTATTATTGGTATTCATTTATCTACTTCAAATTGATATGTTGTACGACGTGTGGCCAACATTTTTTTATATTTACATTATCTTATTTGTTTTCAGAAACGAAAGAAACAACAACAGGACAGTGGGAAAGCTGCCAAAAAATACAAAGAATTCAAGTTTTAATGTCACAGTGTCTGTCTTTCTGTGGTAACATGTGATGCTATATGTGTTCATGGACAAAATATTTACTGAATTACAAATCATGTAATAGTGTGTTAGGTTTGGAAATAATAGGACTTTACAGTTATGGTTGGTACTTATAACTACTGGAAAACCTGGTCATTGATGGTGTATGGAAATTAGATAAAGATTATGTTGAAGTGCTGACTATATCTTGTAAACTCTTCATTTCTACTGATTGAGAGATATTTGAAAGATAATGAAAGGAATAAAATTTTAAACATTCATTTTTTCTTGTTTTTATTTGAAATACAATCTGTATTTCCATATGTTTTCATTTAAATATTTGTTATCTTAAATATATACTTGCACATCATAATGGAGAACCTCACTTATGGATAACCGATAGTTTAAGGCTTTTGAGTAATCAGATGTCAGTTCTACTGTGGACAACCAATGTCTGTGAATGACATATTTCATACATTTCTTTATCATAAGGAAGACATTTACCAATTTACAGCTTTTATACAGGTACAAGATCTTAAGATTGATTGATAAGGTTGATTGAATGACAATACAATTTGTCATTTAGTTTTAAGAAAAACCAAAAGAAACAAGTTTCAATTTTTTTTTGTGTGGGGTGGGGGGCATTTTCTTCAGATTGGAAGTGTCAATTGTTCTTATAACACTACCAGCAGAAGATTAAAATGTGGCGTTTCAATCACTACACGGTCACCTTCATCAGACTAATGACCAGTGTGGAGCTACTAGCACTGATGTGCGTACTGACAACAAAACATAACAGAACAACTCTACCCAAAAAGCGCCTGGTAGCTATCTTATCAAAAGTAACACAATAAAAATAAGAGAACACACGTAGAATGTACTGCAACATTTAGATGTGTGTGTGTTAGTGGATGTGAAGAATGATACATTGTGTATATAAATGTGTAATGTGTAGGTGTAGCGTCATCGCTCTCCCACACTACACACACCTGTATCCCACTGTAGAGAACACACGTAGAATGTACTGCAACCTGTATCGCATTGCTGAGAACACACCTAGAATGTATTGCACACCCAAGATCCACAAAGAAGGTAATACATTACGACCTACAGTGGACCACTATAATATCTCCAGGTCATTAGCAGACATTTGAGGACCCTTGGCGGGAAAATTTGAACATCGTGTCAAAATCTCGAAAGACCTTGCAGCACTTACCCAAAACGATCAGGAATTCATTTCACACAAAGTAATGTCTCTTTTCACCAACACAGCCACTGACAAGACACTTGGTATCGTTGGGAGCCACCTAGAGTAAGACCGGTCATGGCGAAAGAACACCCATCTCTATATCAAAGACCTCATGGATTTATTTGAATCTGTGCTTACAACATACTTTGCCTTCCGAGATACCATCTCTCAGCAACGGTTTGGCACAGCTTTGGATAGCTCCGTGTCTCTGACTGTGGCCCACTTGATCACGAAATACACGTATGAAGAGGCTATAGCCACAGACCCCGTAGAATGCAAGATCAGTCTGTGGAAGTGGTTTGTTGATGACATTGAAAATAGTAAACAAAAAAAAGGGTCACAGAAAGATTTGACTGAGCATATCAATAGTGTAGATACCGCCAAATTCACACGTGAGGAAAAATTAATTGCGCTTTTTCATTCCTTGATACCCTCTAATAAAGAAAGATGACGCTACTATCAAAGTATTGGTCTATAAGAAAAAGAAGCACACAGACCAATACCTCAGCAGAGGTGAAACGATTGTCACAGAAGAACAGGACAAGAAACAAAAACAAAATGACATCCATATCGCCATGAAAACATGTGAATACCTTGACTGGGCAATCCAGAAAGTTAACAATGACTTTCATGCAAGCAAAGAGACTAAGAGACAAAACACACAGGGAAAGAACAAAACGAAAAGACAAGTTGTCATCCCTTACATCAAATGCCTGTCAGATACCATTCAGAGGATTTACCATGGTCACGGCATTGCAGCGGCGATGAAACCTCACAAAACACTCCGAAATATCCTAGTCTTAAGGATAAACACCGAAAAAAATGTCGCAAAATGCGTATACAAAATCGGATGCAAGTACTGCGACGCATCATATATCGGAGAAACAGGCAGGAGATTCGGGATCCGACTCAATGAAAGTCAGGAAGACACGGAATCCCACGATGGCTAAAAATCGCTTGATCAGAGCAAAAATATTCACAGTCCCAGATCAATAAACCGGCACTTACAGATCATTCCACACAGCAAAATCATATCAATGACTGGGAAAATTCCAAAGTAAACTGGCGGTTGGTTAAGGAAGCCATCTGGACACATCGCAGCGTGCCAGTATTTAATAGGGACGAGGGGGCTACAGATTATCGCAAATCTGTGACCAAGTGTTAAACTTAATCTATTTTGATCATCAGATTGTTCCAGAGTTTTTTTTTTCTATAAATACAAATGCCTCATAAACCGTCCTCTTTGAAGTAAACTACACCATTTTCGTTCCAGTCTAACATTATTATTATTTTAATTTAAATACACAATTCTTTGGTCATGGTTGTGTCGCGTTAAATTGAAAGATTCCACACAATACTCAGGAAATATTGTCGAGGCTTTTTCATCAATTTCCATCAGATCCAAACATATTTTCATAGCATAGTAACGATGAATTCCTCCAGATGGAATCTTGTCCGACAGGTCCGTTTTAGCGGGACGTTTTTTCTTCTTTGTCTAAGTGATTCCTTTCAGGATCTAATATTTTGATTACATTGTGTCCTAAACCACGAGTGATAATTTTTTATCATGCACATTTCACAGACGAGCTGTAACGTAATGCTAAATTTAAACAAGAGATCCCGGAGGGATTTTGGCGCCCACCATTGTTTGATCTTTATTGGTCTTCTCTTCTCTTTTCTGTTTTTGCTCTTAATGATTGGACATTCCTTTGTAGAAATAGCGATGATAATCTTTTTTACCTGCCAAATCCAAAATGGCCACCTGGAAGTCGTGTTGTTTCTTTTGATCAATCCTAAAATCAAACGGACAAAAGGAGAGGCCATTGGGAACATACGTATGAATTTTGAGAGATGTCTATATAGTTCTTCTTAAGAAATAGTCATAAACTTTCGAAATTAAAACACAAGATGACCGTCTGTCTACCATTTTGTTTTTCTGATCAGTCCAAAAATCAAACTGACAAACTAGGGACCAAGGGGAACCTACATAGGCAATTTGAGAAAGATCAATCCATTACTTCTCAAGAAATAGCGGTAACAATAGCTGTTTACGGACGGAAGGACGACGGACCACGGACACATGGCGATTTGAATAGCCCACCACCTGCAGGCTAAGTATAGACAAGTGCAAGGGTACTTATTTCCAGTAAATGATGAGTTGTTACTTTCGGAACTCATTGGCGGATATCATAGACACAATATGAAAACATGAAACCCCTCGATTTGACCTAAATTTCACTTGATACAAGACCACGCATACAACTGAGTCAAGTAAAACGTGTATCATCTGTAGAGGCACGTGAACGACAGCAGACTGCATCAAGTAACATGGAAAAAGACGCTTCTTCTCTAGCGTTTGGTCTGGTCGCAGCTTCAGCGGCTAAATTTCTGTTGTCGGCATGGATACGGAATAAAAGACTGGAGATGTTCGAGCAGATTGGTACGGTGACCGATGTGATTTATTACCCTGTAAAGTCTTGCCAAGGGATACCATTGGAATCGGGCACTCTCTGTCCTCTCGGAATCTACGCAAACGGAATGGCGGACAGGTGACTCGCGTGTAGCACACGTTGTTTTACTTTCGCTTTCGGATTCTGTATTGTACAGTGTATGGGTTTAATAATATAGTCACTCTTTGATGTTTCCTTCATGACGTACAATATTCATACTATCCAGCTAGAGAAATGGACATAGTTACCAATAAATTGTAATAATTTCTATGATAATGCTCACCTGTGATACTGTTATCCTGCACAGGGAATTTTTATAATAATAAGTAATAATAATAATATACTGGATGCAGGCTTATTAAGCCTATATATCCAAATCAGAGTTAAAAGAATTAGTATCCCGGATATGGATCAGTGTGTTATTGTCTAGTTAATGATTTTAAACACATTCAATTTGCCTCCAATGTTTATCCAATCGGGATTCGAAAGTTTTGATTGTTGGTGGCGTTACAAAGGCATTAGGAAGTGAATTCCAGTGGTTTACCACCCGTTCACAGAAAGAATACTTCCTCAGATTTAGTCTGCTCCTTCTTTTTAATAATGGAAAACTGTGCCCTCTTGTTATTGTTTTGTATCAGGAAATCCTCCACATATGTGTCATACTGTCTAGAATATACATAGACTTGACAGCGGTATAAGGGAATTAGAATTGATTTGACAATGACTTGAAGGACTTGACAATAACATGGAGGACTTCACACGTATAGGACAATGATGTGGAGGACTTGACCTGGACGTAACAATGACATAAAGGATTAAACAGGGATTTGACAATGACAAGGAAGACTAGACAGGGATTTGACAATGACAAGGAAGGCTAGACAGGGATTTGACAAGGAAGACTAGACAGGTGTTTGACAATGACAAGGAAGACATGACAGGCATTTGACAAGGACAAGGAAGACTTGACAGGGATTTGACAATGACAAGGAAGACTTGACAGGGATTTTACAATGACACGGATGAATTGACAGGCATTTGACAATGACAAGGTAGACTAGACAGGGATTTGACAATGACAAGGAAGACTTGACAGGCATTTGACAATGACACGGAGGACTTGACAGGCATTTGACAATGACATGGAAGACTAGACAGGCAATTGACAATGACAAGGAAGACTTGACAGGCATTTGACAATGATACGGAGGACTTGACAGGCATTTGACAATGACAAGGTAGACTAGACAGGCATTTGACAATGACAAGGTAGACTAGACAGGGATTTGACAATGACAAGGAAGACTTGACAGAGATTGGACAATGACAAGGAAGACTTGACAGAGATTGGACAATGACATGGAGGACTTGACAATGATGTGGTCACAATGAATTTGAAGACGAAAGTTTCTAGTGTAAACCTTACAATAAAGTCAGTTATTGTATGTTTAATACTCTTGTGGCTATCATAGTACAACATAAGATGTTAAATTATAGTCAGCCAGAGAAAATCAACCAAAATGCTTCAATATACAGGAAAAACATCATCTACAGTCACCAGACGAAAAAATGTTTATTTACATATATTACATTTGCTGTTTCAGAAGCTGGATGTTTACTCGTCCTGATGGTTCATTCCTAAGTCAGCGCCAGTGTCCTAGGATGGCACTCATCAAAGTCAGCAGTCATGATGACTTCATCCATCTTGATGCCCCCAAGATGCCAACTTTAAAGTTACCAAAGTATCCAAAGGTTGACATGTTTAGAGTTTTTGAATGCAGGTACAAATTTCACTGATGGAGAATGATTATAGTTAAAAAGATAAAAGGGATTTCAACGATTCGTGAAAATGATTGATAATGATTAGATCAGTTGTTAAACTAACCATTCACAGTATAGAGGATCTTATAGTAGTGTCAATGTAATATGGAATTTGTAAAAAAAAGTTAAATAATTTGATTGGTTAGGAGCCTTTAAGAGAATGATGTATCAAAGTGTTCAATAAGGTATAGGAAATAGAGCCAACATTGTTGATATATACTAAGATAGGTCAAGGTTATTCTTCAGCTGTATATCCAAATGTACCTAGAGTAGATCAGTACAGGGTAAACAATCACAACAGCTTCTGAGTCGTAATCTATTCAGAACCTATCAATCCGTTTCACCCTTTAGCAGGCTTCATCAAGTTTATCAAATTTATTTAATTCCGTATTTTAGCAGTATGAATGTAAGATACTGTATAGATCCCAGGATAGAGCCAAATCCATTACTGTGACCAGGGTTAGGTTGGTTTCTAATATCCTGTACTTAAATGTTACCCAGTATATAGAGTGATTGGAGAGTAGGGACTTAGTAAGAGCAGTAGAAATCAATTAAAACAAGTTTGGTATAAGTTCGTTCTTATTTGTTAAGAGACATCCACTGGATTTTGTCAGAAATAAAACTTTTTCAGGACCCTTACCTTAGCTTTGTAGGGTGTCACCTACAGTTGTGTGGTGAACAAACTTTGTTGTGTAGTGTGTCCTCCTGACCTTTGTTCTTATGGTCTGCCCCTAACCTGTGTTATGTAGGATGTCTTCCTGACCTTTAGTTGTATATGGTGTCCTCCAAACTTTTGTTGTGTAGAAGCCGCTTTCTCTACACTTCGATGTGTCTAGTAGAATGTAATACCTAATTTTATGTGATGAATTATGAACAATGACATTTGACCTTTGTCTTAGAGCCATTGACCTTACAACACCTGTTTTGTAGGGTATGGGGCCTGCCAATACCAGGGATGGATTGTGGTGAAGAGGCAAACAAGTGGGCTTGTGACTTCCTTGGACAAGAAAACTTGCATATAGTTTTCTCAGCCCCAAATATGAAGAAGAAAATTATTTCTGATGAATGTCTGAATCCATGGACAGACCTTGTTCGTCCTGAAGATCAGGTGGGATATTCAGACACAAATCACATTTCCAGATCAAATGTCAGCTTGTCAGCTTGATAATTTCTGCTGAGCACATACATATATGATTCTATCCTATGGATAAAGTACCGGCTTAATATTCTATCTCTTTTTGGGATGGAGATTTAAATAACTGTACAGAGTTGTGGATATGTGTCTCATATCCAGGGATGAGAATTTGTCTTTTGGTTTATAAGCACGACATCAACAATTCATTCTGTAATTCAGTCTCATTTGAAAAAAAATATGACTGTGATTGTAAAAATTCATATAAATTTACAAAGATGGGAGTTAATATAAAACCATCAGTGGGAAAATAAACAGTAACTTGTAGAATATACAAAAAACAGTATTTTTTCTTTTCAAACAGAGCGTCTTTTCAGACTTAACTTCTTACCTGGTTACCACAAATAAATCTCTTGATGCTGTCAACGAACGTTTAGAAAAGCCTGTCTCCATCAGGAACTTCAGACCAAATATTGTGATAGATACCACTCAGAAGGCATTTGATGAGGTAAAACAATTAATTTACAGGACCATAGATAGTTCACTTACAGAAATCATAGACAGTTAACTTTCAGGACCATACACAGTTAACTTACAGGGACTATATACAGTTAACTTACTGGTACCGTAGACAGTTAACTTACAGGTATCATAAACAGTTAACTTACAGGTACCATAGACACTCAACTTACAGGTACCATAGACAGTTAGCTTACAGGTACCATTAACAGTTAAATAATAGGTATCATAGACAGTTAACTTATAGGTACCAAAGACCGTTAAATTACAGGTACCGTAGATAGTTAGCTTACAGGTACTATAGACAGTTAACTTACAGGTACCATAGACAGTTAGCTTACAGGGACCATATACAGTTAACTTACAGGTACCATAGACAGTTAACTTACAGGGACCATATACAGTTAACTTACAGGTACCATAGACAGTTAGCTTACAGGTACCATAGACAGTTAACTTACAGGTACCATAGAGATAATTATTGAGGACTTAAATACTTGTTAATATATTGTTTTCAGTGTATCCATTTTTTCTGTCTGAATGAGATTTTATCGGATCTGTTTTTTACCTAAAAATAATGGTTTGTGTTATACTCTATCTGTAACAGGATTTGTGGGGTGAGCTGCGGTTTGGGGACAATGTATTCATGAGGTGTTTGCATCCATGTCCTAGGTAAGATGTTCATCATTTAGCATTAACAGAAGGCAGATACAAATCAAGTAAGATTGTTTTGACATTTATTGAACATCAATTTTAAACAAATACTGTCAAATCACTGCAACTGGCAAGTTGGTATATACTCTACACAAGTATTGCAGAACATGTAGACAGAAGGGGAGGGAGGGTGGAGGAGAATGTGAAGTCAGTTAATGTTGTTGTCATACAAGTACTACTTTGTCTGTGGTGCACATTTTGAAAATGTAATTTCAGCGTAAATTCCATCTATTGAAAGAAGTATCACAATTTCTGGATGACGTAAAAGATTTCAAAGGATAAAGAAGTTTGTTGAAACTAAGCTGTTAAGAATAGAGTATAGTTACAAAGTTTCGGTTTAAGGAATTTTAGATTTCAAAGTTACAGCATGACAGATTTAATATATATAATGAGATGAGGTTTAGTCAGTTGTCTCCTGTTCTACAGGTGTATTCTGCCAACAGTTGATCCTGACACTGGAAAGAAAGATCCCTCCTTGGAACCATACAAAACACTGGAGAAGTAAGTTACTGCTGTTGTTACCATAAACAGAAAAAACAAATGTTAATTGCAGTTAGATTAAACAATATTAATCAATAAATTCTACAATAATATGCATACTTACATTGCATATGAGATGAAAAAAGAAGCTTAGAGATTCTATCAATTCTTCTAACTGCACTTTTGATAAAGGGGAGCTTATTAACAGGTATGAGAATTTTGACAGATATACTGTAAATGTACTAAATTTGATACAATCAAATTGGTAGATTAAAGCAATGATGAATTAGTGCATCCATTTGGATTACTATGTAAATGACATTCAGAAATTGTAATAAGTGCAATCATGTTTTAGCACAATGTTTTTAGTGCAAGAGGCACTCAAATTAGTTTACTGTTAAAATATGTACATTTACAGTATTTTAAACAAATGTTATATATAAACTTTCTTTATTTTACAACAATTGCGAAACAAGCATATATTAATCACTCTTGTTGGCCTGAATGGTGAAGCATTAGGGGGTTGGGGTCTTACTGTGGAAGGAAATCGAGTACTCAGGGGATAAAAACCCACATGGTTGAGCAGGTGATCCCATACCTTCTCACTTCCGTTTCAGGAATCAAACCATGATGGCGAGGTGAAAGGCATATGTGTTATCACTTTGAAACTCTGCTACATATACAGAATTTTTTTATAATTGACACATATGGTGACTTTCAGTCCATTTGATATAGTGCTGATAATTCATTAGTATTACCCCAGGACCAGGACTCCAGACCAAAACTTCTTGGCTTATAAACTGAATGATAGGTTGCACTCATTATTTTGCATCAACAGATATTATTAACTTTGGAGTCTTCATGACCTGAACAGAAAATGCCTTGTGAAGCCTCAGATGGACATGGGTGGTGTTAAACATCAGGATTAATTTGAGTTCGGTTTTGAGGACAAAGTTTTTACACCTAGCTGGGGACTATTTTGATGTGTTAATCAAGTCAGTATCTAACCATTACTGTTGTGTTGCAGATTCCGATGTAAACCTGGTTGTGGCGAAGCTCCTTTCTTCGGGATCAACGCTGCTGTAGATTTTCCAGCTGATATTCATGTTGGAGATCCTGTGTATGCCAGGAACAGAACAAACTAGTTAATAATGTCGTAAACTTTACAAAATCCTTGGTGATTCAATATTTTAGAACATCATAGGCAAGTCTTTCCAATTTAACACCCAGCAATGACTTTAGGAGGAATGATGCTGGAGTTGTTTTGTTTATATGAGGATGTAGTCTAGTCCAGAGAACTTAAGTTTTCATTTTTTTCAAACTTAAGTGGCCTCTTTTACAAAGTTTATTAAGCCTACTGCTTTGATATGAACTCCACAGATAGGATTTACATGCTACATGAAGTTGTACTTATTTTTAATGCAGGTATTAAATTGAAGTTATATCCCTTCGTTTAAATCCTCACTAAGTTATTGACTTATGATTTCATATCATTATAAACGATATTTAGAGCCAACACCGTTGTGAAGTCAACTCCCGGAGGTCAGTACAGCTTTCGGGATTGAATGGGAGGAGTGTCATGACTAGTTTGGATTAGAACTGACTAAATTATTACAGAATTATTGGTCAGAACGTATTACTGCATTAGCTACTGAAATTGCTACAGCTATGGGAACTAAAATGGCACCTAATTATGCTATAATTTTTATGGATTTTGTTGAACGCCGATTTCTATCCTCGCAAGGACTAATACCATTAGTATGGTGGAGGTACATCGATGATATTTTTTTCATCTGGCCACACTCCCGAGAGGCACTATCCTCATTCCGTGAGGCCATGAACACGTTTCATAGAACTATTAAGTTTACTTTTGAAGTAAGTGAGTTTGAAGTGAATTTCTTGGATACTACTATCTATAAACTTCCTGACGGGAAGTTGGGGAGTAAATGGTTCAACAAACCAACTAAGGCAGAGTCTGTCTCGACTGTATGCCTTGATGAACATTAACTTTTTACACTTGAACTATTTCAATCATTAATTTTGTTAATTGATTATTTCATGTATTAGTTTCACTTATGGTTTTCATTTCATAGCTTAACCGTGAAGGACTACTTATGATTCAATGGACATTAATTATTAGTGAGTTATCGTACTTAGCACTGTTTACTGTATACAATCTATATTGAGGGTTATCGTTCTTTAAATATTACGTCACAGTTAAAATGTAAATTTGCCCGCCCTAGAAGTACTTTAGGTGTCAAAATTTGATGGTAAAATTGTCCTGATGAAGCCCGGCTTGTAGGGCGAAACCGGTAGACGAACTACCTTAATAAAAATTGAAGAACCCGCCTGGAGTCTGTTGGATTGATCCATATATACCTTCATATCATTATGTTGCAATCAATCAATATTAACGTGATAGCCCTTCGTTTAAATCCTCACTAAGTTATTGACTTATGATTTCATATCATTATGTTGCAATCAATCAATATTAATGTGATAGCCCTTCGTTTAAATCTTCACTAAGTCATTGACTTATGATTTCATATCATTATGTTGCAAACAATGCATTTTTAACATTGATCTGACTTTAATAAAACTTGCTACTATGTTTTATGGTAGAATGGAAGTTATTTTGTCTGATAATGTGTATTGTTCTAGCTTTATTTTTTATTTGTTGTTGCTTTATTTGAGATTGTGTTCAGTTGTCTATGAATGAACTAATCATATAGAAAGAAAGACATTTCATCCACATGCTTTTACTTATGCAAGGATTTTGTTAATATTTGTGTTTGATTTCTCTTTGTTGTACTATTTAATTACATAGAGTTCAATAAGAAATGTGTGTTATTGTTTAGGTACATGAAACAGTCACAGAAACGACATTGCACCTTAGATTGTGTAAAGAAATAATGGTTTTGTTTACTATTTCAAATTTTAAAAAATCTTTAAAAATTGTGGAGCAGTAATATACTGTATTCAAAGTATTGATATTATCATTGACCAATCAGGGATTGCCTGAATTTTACAGCAGGAAACTCTATATTTAAGGTGCTAATATTTTGTACATCTTTGTAAACTTGTCAAATATAGAAATAAGTGTATTTATGTCAATTTGCCAAAAAAAAAAAAAAAAAATTGTATGTATATATATAAAACTACACCATTTAGCTATGGTTCTAGTACACTCCGATTGGTTTAATCTATGGATTTTGTTTGGTCTACTTGTGACTGGTAAAGTGTTTTGGCTTTGATATATTGGTCATTAGTAAAATCTGTGGGCTCTGACATTTCGGAGACTGGTAAGATCTATGGGCATTGTTTGATATATCGGAGACTGGTAAGATCTATGGGCATTGTTTGATATATCGGAGACTGGTAAGATCTATGGGCATTGTTTGATATATCGGAGACTGGTAAGATCTATGGGCATTGTTTGATATATCGGAGACTGGTAAGATCAAAGGGCTTGTTTGATATATCGGAGACTGGTAAGATCAAAGGGCTTGTTTGATATATCGGAGACTGGTAAGATCTATGGGCATTGTTTGATATATCGGAGACTGGTAAGATCTATGGACTTGTTTGATATATCGGAGACTGGTAAGATCAAAGGGCTTGTTTGATATATGGAGACTGGCATTGTTTGATATATGGAGACTGGTAAGATCAAAGGGCTTGTTTGATATATCGGAGACTGGTAAGATCTATGGGCATTGTTTGATATATCGGAGACTGGTAAGATCAAAGGGCTTGTTTGATATATCGGAGACTGGTAAGATCAAAGGGCTTGTTTGATATATGGAGACTGGCATTGTTTGATATGCATTATCTTTCAAAATACAACTTGCAGTGTTGTTATAAAGAAAATATTTTTTAATTGGATAATCTTTAATATAAATGGATAATTATATTGTTGATACTGTATGATTTTTATCACTGTAATGTTTTCATAAGTATTTCTAATCTTAACATTTACCATGCAGATATTTCAAATAAATATATTTAAAAAATTCGGCACATTAATTTCATTTTATCATTTCATCATGCCAGATGTAGTCCTGGTATCTCTTAATCTTTCTTGGGTAAAGATCTGATTTGTCATTTGACCAGGAATAATTTTCATCAGAGGGGAACATTTTCATTTCAATGTTATGGGGAGATTCATTTCTCCACAGTGATCTTGGAACATACAAACTACATACATGTAGATTGTGTACAGGCACCATGGAAACACAGTTGCAATATGAACTTGAATTTTGTTCCATACCATGTTCTGATCAATATTGTATCAAACATAAATATCAGGACCACACCTATTAGGTTTCATTATGCCCTTTATTCAGTGCATTAAATCTCAAGTCAATGACTAAGCTTAACACTTCTGAAACTAAACTGAAAGCTGCAGACCTCTGTACCAATAGCACAACATACAGAGGGCATTATGGACCGATACCACAAGTCTTGTTGTGGTAAGCATATTAAAATCATAATGAGAGAAGAGAAAATTTTAAGTAATTTCTTTTACTTATTAAAGAATCAATCTTTAACTATTTCTGTTTTAGTTTTCAAAAAACGTTTGAACTTATGGATCATTAATTTGTTAAATTCAAAAGTATACATTGATTAATGCATAGTCAACCATTAAATGAAGTTTTCAGTCATAACATATAATGATGAATAGAAAACATGCATACAATTTCTTGCTTTTAACCATCAAGTACAACAATCTCACTTTATAACCATTCCATGATGGTTGTCATACATGGTTAAAAACTATGGTTTTCAGAAGCATATAATGAACCCTTCCTCTCAACAAAATCAACATTAACAAATATGAATTATCTATCAGGTTCAACAAATTCAGTTTTTACTTACATCAATAACCACTTCTGTTCAATAAGGTAAACATGACCATGTTGCATTTCCCCAGTATGTGTGTTTAAAATGAAAGATAGATACCAGTTTCTGCAATATTTCCATTATAACAATGTCATTTTGGTATTTTATCTATTTTGTATTTGAAATCAATTCTTAACATTTTTTATCAGCAGAATCACAATTAGGAACATAAGAGCTCAAATATATAATAAAATAGTAATAACAAATTTGCTATTTTTCAGTAATATCTTTCCTTTTCATTTTTTTCTAATTTTGACAGATCAAAATCTGTTGGAAATTTTTATGAAGTCTATTTTGAGAAAACATAAGTATAAAATACTGGATGTTCATCAACTACAATGCAATAATAAAGGAACAGAAAACACTGTGGTGTACACATTCAAGTTCACAAAATCAGTCATAAGGATTCATACAAAACAGAAGAAAAAAAAACATTGTCTCTGAACAATGACATTGGTCCTGGCAAGAACCATTCTGGTTTATATCAAAAGCTACACTGCCCCGTCATCCAATCGAAATGATAGCAACATTAAAGATAATAATACAGTATACAGATAGTTACATGAATCATACATTCTAGAATCTATCTGGTCTTTACATTTCATAAACACAAGATCTCCCACCATCTAGCCATGATTACTACCGAGAAACGCATCTATAACCATCTTCACAAATGATGTGCATGATCGTCATGGAGAGAAGTAGATATTTGTGACTTTGATCTTTCATACTGACTATGCATTCAATTTTGGAATAATTTGCCAAGGTCTTTCCAACTTCTATGACCTTATCTACCATATCTTGAAGTGTTCATAAATGGAGCTTTAAGTTGCATATCTATCATCCTCAGAAACCTATTAAGGAAACTGAGACACCACCGACGTCTAAAGAAAAAATATAGCACAAGTTACAAATGTTGTGGTGGAGTATGAAGTAGACACAATGGACGAAAAAAGAAGATACCTTTAAAGTATTTAATTTTATTTAGACAAGTTTAGTTACAACAACAGCAAAAGAGGTATAGAGGGCTAGTCCAGGTAGGAGGCTAGAACCTCTAATTTCTCAATCTCAAAGATACTCCAGATAAAATTTCATCAAAATCCCTATATCTCAACAGAAGAAAGATTTGTGAAAGATATGCAAGTAGACAGCTCCTGCTATCAGGCCCTGCCCCAAGCTTCCAGGTGGTGTCAGACCACTGTTTTGACCAGACAGGCATTTCAGTTAGGTTTACAGACAGACAGGATTCTATGGCATAAAACTCACAGGGTCTTTAGACCAGGTTTACATTTGGTCCTTTCAACACAACTTAAAAATGTCTATTTATCTCCCTGAGTTTACAAGAGGACTACTGTTTCTTTATACCAAAAGACCATCATACTTTCTTCTTTTGTAGCAACAATAAATAGCCATTTCATTTCACTTTGAACATTGCCAAAGGGGATGATGAAAAAACAGAGTGAAATGGGACATCTAATTTCTATTAATGTCTGTACAACAGAACCAGATTATAGCCACATATTAATTTATCAAAACCAGGAAACAAAAAGTCAAATCAGGACTATCTACATATGTTCTTCTGATCCAATGAATTAAACACTTGATAAATCAACAGATGTCATTACTACAACAGGACCAACAGTTGTCTCCATTGTTACCGTACCAACAGATGTCACTGATACAACTGAGCCAACAGTTGTGTCCATTGTTACTGTATCAACAAATGTCACTACTACTACGGGACCAACAGCTGTCTTAGCTGTTACTGTAACAACAGATGTCACTGCTGGAACAGGACCAACAGTTGTACGAGTTGATACTGTACCAACAAATGTCACTACTAAAACAGGGCCAACAGTTGTCTCCATTGTTACTCTATGGACAGATGTCACTGACACAACTGGACCAACAGTTGTTTGTGTTTTAACTCTACCAACAAATGTCTTCTCATTTTTCCTTTTAAAAGAAGTGATGTCTGCTTTGTAAAAAAAAAACCTTTTCTCGTATATACAAATGTACCATTATCTTTATCTATTGTATTCGGCTTTAGTTAACAGTGTACTGTTTGTATCTGAAATAAAAGATCAAAGGCCTGACGACAAACATACCAATTCTGACTTCATTTTAAGAGGCTGGTTTATTGTAGGACAATGAAAATGCATTAGTATTGTTTTTATATATGAATACTTAAAACAATACAAGAAGCTAGGTTCCTTAATTCTATTTTTTTAATTGCTGAATGTTTTTGTCATATAGACTTCAAACTGAATCTCTTCATTTACATATCTATAGCCATTATAGGTTAACTTAGTTCCAGGCATGGCTTTTGCCAGATAAATATGGTACTGAATGCGGACTCTGAATTTGTTATAACTACACCATATCTCCATCAGTTTATTTGGAATTGAAATTTAAAAAGTCTAGATATCTGAAGTGAAGACTGTTTTCATATATCTAGGTTTCTCTAAAACACACACTTATATATTGTTACAGCGTCTCTGAAATGCTTTGTAGGTTTGCTCTGCTTGTGAATTTTCCCTTGACCATGGGTATTTTAGTTGACATCTGCTCTCTTCTGCTTGAATCTTTTTACGTGCTCTTTTCGTACGTCCATACACTTTGGCATGCCTCTTCATATTTCCCAAGACAGTAATTTCTAAATGTGCCTGAGCCTCAGCAGGCCTTGGCTGTATGGGCAGCAGTTCCAGCTCCTCAGTTGTTCGGTTGACAAATACCACTTTTACAGAAGCATCTTTTTGAGTACCAGATTTATGTTTATGCATGATGTGAACTCTGCAGCTTGGGAAGCTGTAACTGAGCAGGTTACAATAGGGACAGAAATACAATGCCACTTGACTCTTTGAACTTGGTAAATAGCCTTTTAGATGCTGTGTTTTTTTCCAATGTTTATGTATTTCTGAAGCACGACTAAATGACATATCACATGTTCTACATGTGTTAACAACTGGGAATGGGATTGTTTTAAGGGAAGCAACATTTGCCAAACTGTAACGGGTAGAAATATTATTATTATGATACAACTGGTAGTGTTTTGCACATGACCATATTGATTCGTGTATTTGGTTACAAGATTTCCATGGACACATTGGCACGATATTGTTAACAAGAGCAACATGCTTGTCTGTAGATGTCATTAGAATGCTCTCCTTGAGAATAGATATTGCCTTACCAGTGTTCTCATCTGACATTTGAATTTTAGCTAAACTTGCTGCATTATGTTTTTTGTCTTTGAAATGACATTTCATCAAATCTGCAGCCTCTTCATTATGATGATGTAGCTTGTGTGGCACCACAAAACCACAATAATCACACACCAGACCTTGACTGAACTGAACACGTGGTCTCTTGGATGGTCCACTGCCTTCTGTATTGCTGCTTGAGTATTTCCTTTTAACTTGTTTGTTCTTTGATTTTCTTGTGTTTGATTCCTCCCTAACTTCAACTTCATCGCTGTCATATGTCAGGTCTACCTGTTGCTCAGAGTCAGATACAACTATATAATCATTTAACTCTTTGTCGTAATTTCTTGTCATGTATATTTCATTGTCTTCTCTGGAGCCTCTTATTGAATCTGTAAAATCTAAATAGCCAGGTTCTGAAGATCCTAAAGCATCTTCATACCATAAATTGTTATGAAGAACTGGTTTTGTTTGAGACATATCATTGAAGGACTGTGAGGAAGAATTTCTGAAATTGTTTGAGTTGCTGTCCCCATGGTGTTCATTGTATCCATCAGACCATGGAAAGGTATATCTGTACTTCAAAGCATCTTCATGCCATAAATTGTTGTGGGGCTGTGGAGTTGGTATATAGCGAGAGCGGAATTGGTTCCCTCTATGGAAATTTGAATTCAATCCACATTTAAACAAGACTTGTTGTATATGACGGTTGTTTGAATTCCTAATGCTGTATGCTAGAGTGTCTTGGGCTCGCTGTATCATGCGATGCGAATAAAAACCGTGGTAATCCATTCTGTCACAAGTATCAACAGCTTCCTTTATGTGATTACAGTGACTGACCTCATCAGTGATGTTTCTGGAAAATATACAACACCAGTAATTATTGCAGAATTTCTTTGAGTGAGTCCAGAACACCATTTCCAAAATTGTAAACACAATTTACTTTTTAAGAAACATGTCAGAAAAATGGTTAAACTTGTACTAGTAAAAATACTTGTAAATTTCAATAAGTGCCATAAAAAGCTGGAGATTACTTACCAGGTTGTAAGTATTGTACAATTTTACTCACACAAATACACTGATACACTTGCATCTACAAAACCTTTGACTTGTTTTTGTTTGCTTGTTTGTTTTGTGTTTAGTAACAAATAAATTTACCTCAATTTTGGCAAGATATTTTTAAAAGCATACTTTCATGTACAGTATGATTACATACATGCTAAGGCATGTTTTTCAAGGAGATTTTTTCAGCAATTTGATTACTTGTTCTAGCCATTAACAAATCTGGATAATGTTGAAGGCACTATATATTTCTCTGGACCCAAGTTACCTGTGGACTTTCCTTTTTTCAGATTGAACACACCTGTATATGCATAATGATCCTGCAGAAAGATAGATACTGCTTTGTGTTACAAATTTGTTACACAAATGGGGGATAATTTAAGATAGAAACACATGAAATTAATTTACACCGTTGCGACAAGAAATGGCATAATTTTTTTGGCATGGCCTTATAACCAATATGAAACTGTAAAATTTGCATAAGAAATATTCATTTCTGTTAACCAATTCTGTGTTAAAATGATAATTTTAATAACCATTTTTTCACCTATGAGTACAGTTTTCCTTTGGGAACATTAGAGCAAATGTCATGGGTGAGCATGAATGACATGTGTTCTACTTTTAGTTACATTATAAAATATCAGCAAAGGAAATGAAAAGTTTGTGATTTCAACTGAATCATTCATTTTTGTGTACAATTGTGCAATGTTTATTTGACCATCGAAAAAATATGGATCCCTTTTTCGTTGCAAATGCTTAAAGAAAAAAGAACTTTTTGTGTTTCTATTTAAAATTATCCTGCATTTGAGTAATACATTTACCACTGAAATCAGTCTACCTGTCACTGATCAAATGCCGGATAATTACGTATCATAACAGTGCACTTTGTCATAAGCTTTAAGACAAGTTTTTTCCGGTTCGGGACTTATTAAAGTCCTCTATACCAGACTAAAAAAAAGTAATACAAAATATTGACACATTGAAAATATTTGTTATTTTACAGCTTTATCGTGACAGCTGGACACAATAGAGAAGTATTTCATAAGCGATCTATAGATATCATCAGGAAAATATCTTTCGGTAAGGACAGTGTGTATTTGGAATGAACTGCCAGAAAATGCTCAACAACGTTAAATGTTCTATCCATTCAAAATAAGGTAGATGATCAATGACAAGAACTCTTCTTTGATTACAAAAGCAACAACTAAATACTAGACATCAATGTATATACACACCGGAAAGAAGTATTTGTAAAATGTGTTTATTTGTTTATTGCGAGCCTGGTATGAAGGACTCTGTTAGTCCTGAGCCAGAAAAGTTATAAGGCACGTTTTTATCTGTCTATGACAAACAAAAGTATATTTAACATCTTTGATTACATAAATAATGAAAGATGACGTTGGAAATATACACATATATATAACTTACAGTTTGGGTCGCTGCCTCGTGAAAACGCGAAAACCCTGAAAGCACGAGGAAAAGGAAGTTGCAAAATTGCTGCAGAAGGGGAATAACTCTAAACGAATTTCCGTTTATTTGCGATCAGTTGTATGTTCCAGGGAACGCGTGCTTCTCCATATAGGCTACTCTACACTTTCTGTATGCATGTTACCACTGATTCGATGAAACAGAAGTTGTGATATTTACAATTCAAAGCTAAAATGGAGTTATCACAAGTAATTCCTACACTTACCGCAGCTGTTGAGACAATAATGAATCCTGCTGCGAGTGCTGTTGATAGAATGACAGCACACAAGGTAAAAAAATAAATAACTATTTGGTAATTGATCACACAATATAAATATGTAAATATTATATATTTAACAGTGTAAAGGAGAATGAAAGCACATGTAAAAAACATATGATTTATAACCAGTTGTAATTCGCATCAGCCATTTTCTCTCGCTAACATTAGATAACTAGAAAGTGCATTTTAATTAGTGTTTCAATGCTGTATATCCTCAATTTATTGTTTATACACAGATCTGCGAGGAGTTCAAGGAGACATCCCCTTTATGCATTGAATGCGGACTAGCACTTTCCCAGAGACAAAACTCTTCAATTGTCAGGCATTTTGGACTTCAACTGCTAGAACATGCCATCAAGTAAGATGTACCAGTGTAGATACACATCATTATTTGTTTTACTTAATGATCTCATTTCTATAGGCACAATTATTATGTATGACATTATTTAGTTGTCCTCTTGATTGATAAAATAATCAAATAAAAACAGATTGTTTACTTTTAGTACCTGTTCCAAAAAATCCACAGTTTATTAATCAGTTACATCTACAACCAACAACTCATTGTACTCTTTTTATAAAGTGACCACTGTCATGTATCCCCAATGTATGGTCACCTACGTATAGTGACCACCATCATGTATCACTGTAGTCTGAAGAGCTCTAACTGTCTATCCGCACTTTTATTTTGTCTTGGTCGTGGACTAACAGTCAGAATTCCATCTTATATATAAACACTGAATACTCATGCAGTATTTTATGTAGTTTACAACAGTATGATGGTTATAAATTATGCATCAATGGAAAAGATTAAACATTTTCCCACAAACTTGCAAGTGTGTTAAAGCAATTAAATGTTGTAAACCAAGTATTTCTATAAATTTTCCTTGATAAGTTTACTTTCCAACATATTCACAATAGTGGCACTATGCAGAATCTCTCTAGACTTGCAGTTGTAAATCTACCCTTCCTGCCAATGTCATGAGAATTTACTCTTTTGTTATTTACATTCTATAAATGATAAAAGTAAAAACATGCTGTATAAACTTTAATAATTTTCCATCTGATAAGAATGAATTCATAATATTTTGAATGTAGGTATTTATAATTTTTGTTTTGTTTTTTTGTTTTTTTTTTTTTTTTGCTAACAGATTTAGATGGCAGGTATTATCTCTGAGTGAGAAGGAAGTGCTGAAGAGAAGTGCACTGGATTTCATTGCAAAGGTAATGTATCCTGGCCTTCTAACACAACATATTGATCACAGCAAAGTTATTTCCATCTTGTATTTGGCTTTCTCTGATGTGTTTCTTTATTAAGGTACAACCATGTTTACATTGATCTAAACTTAATTATTCTTTCTTGTGTATTAATTAAGACAGTTATATTTTCACAAATCTGGACATTTTATACATTTTTTAAGTAATGTATATGGAGCTATTTTGTATTTTTTTAAAGATAGTTATAAATATGTTTTTCAGTGATGTAAATTGAGCTATTTCATATTTATGGGACATGTATATATTTTTCAGTGATTCAGATGGAGCTATTTTTTTTATTTATGGGACAGATTTCTATTTTTTTTTCAGTGATGTAGATGGAGCTTTTTCAGTGATGTAGATTAAGATATTTTGTGTTTAGGAAAAAGAAACACTTTCAGTGATGACGAGGATATTTTGTATTTAGGGAACACCTACACTTTCAGTGATGTATATGAGGATATTTTTTATTTAGGGAACAGCTAAATTTTCAGTGATGAAGATGAGGATATTGTGTATTTAGGGAGCATCTAAATTTTTCAGTGATGTAGATGAGGACATTTTGTATTTAGGGAACAGCTAACATCTTGGAGGAAGAATATCACATTAAGGATGGTGTATCTCGGATCACAGTTGAACTCATCAAACGAGAGTGGCCACAAAACTGGCCGTTACTCCTCAAAGACCTGTATGACCTGTGTTTGATGGGGGTAAGTACATATACTATTTCATAATGAATTTTTTCTTTTTGGAATGTTTCAAATGATTATGATATTTACAAAGATAACTCTTCCTTTTGTATTCAGTTTCTGTGAAACCTGTTACTGTTTATCACCAACAGGTGTACATGTGTACTACACCCTGTAGTATATCAAAACACAAAAATTAGTTATTACCCTTTTATGGACCCATCAGTTTTGAATTGCCGTTATACAGAGACAGCTATCTTAAGGATCTATGTGGCATTTTCTATGATATGTTTAATAACCATACATATTTTTGTAAAGCCGACCCAGACAGAACTGGTCCTGAAGACCTATCTACGATTGGCAGAGGATGTGGTGGTGTTTCAGACCATCCCTGCAGTACGACGACGAAGTGTGATGCAGTGCTTGACAGCAAATATGGGGGACCTGTTTCAATTGTTCATCACCCTCTTGCAACAACATACAGTAAAGGTAGACTCAATCGCACAATATTAGTGTCTACCAATGTTATAAGACTTCAAATTGAAAAGTGGAATAACAATCTTTCATACTTTAATATGGACAATCCAGAAAATACATTCAGTTTAACAAAATTTATATGAAGAAAAATTTACTTTTAAAATAAGTTGCTAAAATTTGCATTTATAACAATCCAACCATATAGTTTGAACTCTATTATTTACTGTGAGAAAAATGAATGGAGATAGGTATCATTTGGCAAGATATTTGACAATAACTTCAGATGGCTGTTGTAGGTAAATGAGGACACTCCTGATGCACGAGTGGTCAGTCAATCCAACTGTAGAGTCAGTCAAGCTCTACTGACCACCCTTGCCGGCTACCTTGACTGGATCAACATGGACCATATATTTTCTCAGAATGCCTTGCTGCTACAGATTCTTTGTTTGTTACTAAGTGACAGCAATCTCCAACTTTACGCAGCAGAGTGTTTGCTGATTATTGTCAGTAGAAAGGTTGGTGGTATTTTATACATCAACACAGGTAAAGATGTATCATTTTCATCTAAATGTTACTTTAGTGATTTGGTACAATCCTAAATTTTTATAGCAATTTTACTTACTTGCACTGATTTGAAGACAGTTTAAAAAGAGAAGAATAGAGTTATTAGAATGTGAATATATCAGTGCTGTTTTCTTTGTTTAAGGGCAAGGTTGAAGATAGAAAACCCCTCCTGGTACTGTTTAGTGAGGATGCGATGTCAATCATCTGGACAACCACTCTGTAAGTACTGTACACGTTTGTATAATTAACTCATTCACACTGTAATTACACTGTACATGTCTGTAGTACACATCAGGTCCACCACTCTGTAAGTACTGTACATGTTTGTATAATTAACTCATTCACACTGTACTTACACTGTACATGTCTGTAGTACACATCAGGTCCACCACTCTGTAAGTACTGTACATGTTTGTATAATTAACTCATTCACACTGTACTTACACTGTACATGTCTGTAGTACACATCAGGTCCACCACTCTGTACACACCTGTATCTATTTACTGTACAAACCTGTATATCTAAACTCTACACACCTGTATCACTACACTATACACACCTGTATCACTACACTGTACACACCTGTATCACTACACTGTACACACCTGTATCATTATACTGTACACACCTGTATATCTAAACTATACACACCTGTATCACTACACTGTACACACCTGTATCACTACACTGTACACACCTGTATCACTACACTATACACACCTGTATCACTACACTGTACATACCTGTATCACTACACTGTACATACCTGTATCACTACACTGTATATACCTGTATCACTACACTGTACACACCTGTATCACTACACTGTACACACCTGTATCACTACACTACACTGTACACACCTGTATCACTACACTGTACACACCTGTATCACTACACTGTACACACCTGTATCACTACACTGTACATACCTGTATCACTACACTGTACACACCTGTATCACTACACTGTACACACCTGTATCAATACACTGTATATACCTGTATCAATACACTGTACATACCTGTATCACTATACTGTACATACCTGTATCACTACACTGTACACACCTGTATCACTACACTGTACATACCTGTATCACTACACTGTACATACCTGTATCATTACACTGTACACACCTGTATCACTACACTGTACATACCTGTATCACTACACTGTACACACCTGTATCACTACACTGTACATACCTGTATCACTACACTGTACATACCTGTATCATTACACTGTACACACCTGTATCACTACACTGTACACACCTGTATCACTACACTGTACACACCTGTATCACTACACTGTACACACCTGTATCACTTCACTGTACATACCTGTATCACTATACTGTACACACCTGTATCACTGGGATGTACACACCTATATCTCTGCACTGTATATACCTGTATCATTACACTGTACACACCTGTATCACTACACTGTACACACCTGTATCACTACACTATACACACCTGTATCACTACACTGTACATACCTGTATCACTACACTGTACATACCTGTATTACTACACTGTATATACCTGTATCACTACACTGTACACACCTGTATCACTACACTGTACACACCTGTATCAATACACTGTACATACCTGTATCACTACACTGTATATCAGGCATGTGAAATTTCCGCCAATTGGCGGATTTCCGATTTTTTAACAAAAAAATCCGATTTTTAGAAATATTTTTCCGATTTTTTTCGTCGGTAAAAAAATCCGGATTTGTGGTGTCCGTTTTCGTTTTGCAGTTTATACTTGCCTGAAGTAGATCGTAGAAACGCTTGGATCAACGTAGGTAGTCAAAGCATCAAGTACACACTGATTTAAAGTGCCCGTATGTTACATATCGACCTTGACATGATAATGTTATGTTTTAAAAGGACTTAAGGCAATATGAGTCACCGGAAAGATATAATAGAACGAGGTAGTGTGAAGGACGTTGATGTCGGCGTGCGAAACGCATGGAAATGGAGTTGGCTAGAAAAAGAAGTTGAAGGCAGTTTGTTGTCAGCGTGCATCTACAAAATTGAAGAAGCTGGGAAAGCATATTGTCGGCTTTGCTCGAAGGAGATAAACTATGCCAGTAGGGGTTACAAGACCATAGAGGCCCATGTTAAATCAGAGAAACATCGAAAACACAAGGAAGCAAAAAAGAGCAGTTATTCTTTGGCCGGTAAGTTGTGTTGCAGTTTATTGTTTTCATTCGAAAAAACGAAAAAAAAGCAAATAAAAAATTTAATCCCAAATAAAAATTAAAGACGATAATGATAAGATTTGGTATAAAACGGCTAAAAAATATAAATATTTGATATCAATAAAAACAGCTAAGCAAGATGATATAAATAACTGTACATGTATTTAATAAATATAAATAAATAAAATTAAAACGTATTCTAATAAATAATACAAAAATTAAAAGGCTCAGTGTTATTTTCCCGTATTCCCTATTAAGATTTTATTTATAGAAATATTTTATAATTCTTAAAAGTTTATAATTAAATCAATGCAAACTTGGGCCTAAATTAAAACATATTCTAATAAATAATACAAAAATAAAAAGGCTCAGTGTTATTTTCCCGTATTCCCTATTAAGATTTTATTTATAGAAACATTTTATAATTCTTAAAAGTTTATAATTAAATCAATGCAAACTTGGCCCAAGTATACAGGCATCAGCTCAGTATTTGTTCTTTTATATTTTACAGGATTATTTTCATCTGGTGCCAGATCTAATGACACACATGAACCTTATGGACTACACCCATCGCTGAACGGAAAATTGTCAGGCTCAGTCACCAGTCAGTCCAGTGACATCAAAGATGCACCCAAGTTGTTAGTGCCAGTCAACGACAGACTTATAAATATGGAAGCGACTATCCTTGGTTTTCTTACTGAAAATAATCTCCCATTCAGCTTGACAACAGATTTGATTGATCTGACAAAAAAACTATCAAAAGATACCAAGGCTCTTAGTGAACTACAGATGAACAGAACAACAGCTTCATATAAAATGACCTTTGGATTAGGAAAGACATTAATGATGAACTTGACGGAAATTTTAAGAATTTCAAAGTTTTCACTAAACATCGATGAGGCCACTAGTGATAACTTTCACAGGGTGTTGGCTGTTCTAGTTTCTTATTTCTGTCCAACAAAGAAAGAAATTGTTGTTAATCATTTAGCATCCTTAAGTGTAATAAAAGTTGACAGTGCCACTCTTTATAATGAACTGGTAAATGTTATTGAAAGTAACAACATACCATGGACAAACCTTATGTCAATATTAATGGATTCATGTAATGTGATGAGGGGATCAAAGTCTGGCCTAGAAGTTCGTATTCGAAGGGAAAAGGCACCACACTTGTTGGATATAGATGGGGACTCATGTCATCATGTCCATAACGCTACAAAGGCATTTTGTAAACCATTTGGCTATGTTGTAGAGTCACTGTTTAATGATCTACATAATGATTTAAAGTGGTCTGCAGATTTGAGAGACTTTATGCAAGAAATCTGTGTCATTTTAGGTGTTAAATACACAGCTCCCCTCAGGTTTGTAAACCACAGATGGCTTTCAGTGTACACTGTAGCAGTTGACACATTACGTCTGATGGATGTTTATAGTGTTTTCTATGCTGGCTTTATCACACCAGACAAAAAGCCAAAAGTGTTTCCTATTGTACAAGAGATCTATAGAAGGATAGGCGTAAGTGATGCAGCAAAGGAAAGAGTAAGAGAAATCCACTTATCTCTGTCCAAAAAATCGTTGACAAAGGATGGACGAGATAGAAAAGACAGAATCTTAGGCAAAATTTTTGATGAGAGAATGCTGATCAAACTTGTCTTGAATTTGTACAGTAGTGTTCTGCCTCTGTTGAAAAACTTCACTCTTCTGTTTGAGATGAAAGAACCTCTAGTGCATATACTACATGATAAGCAACTTGAACTTATCAGGGAGTTCTTGGATTGTTTTATTAAACCAGAAAAATTACAGAATATTACAGCCAGTCGCCTTGCAAAACTTGATCTACACAGTAAAGATATGCATCTGAAACCAGTTCACATGTTCATGGGTGTTAATGCGTTGCGCACTGTAAAGGAAAATATCAAATCTTATATAGTAAGAAGCTTCCTTGAGAACCTTGAATCTGCTTATGTTGCCAGTGGTCATGTATTAAAAACAAAACTGCCTATTGGAAACTCACTGCTACAGAGCCTTTCAGCTATAGACCCTTGTGCAAGGGGCCACTCCCTTACATTGCAGTACCTTCAGAACCTTGCGCTGAAAGTTGATAATGTATTATCTGAAGAAGAGAAGAATCAGTATGAAAGAGAATTAAGAAGGTACCAACGAGATGAAAAGTTGCCAGAATTTGAGAACATGAGAATAGACACTTGGTGGGCAGATGTTCAAATGAAAGGACAGTATCCTGTCTTAAGCAAGATGGTATTGTCCTTGTTGACCTGTTTCCATGGTCCACAGGTGGAAGGCTCATTCAGCATGATGGGGGACATCATGGATCCTAAATCTTCAAGAATGAAGATTGAAACCTATTCAGCAATTCAAACTGTGAAGTCCACATTACAAGCACAGAAGAAAACTGCTGTGGAATATTTTTCACCTCATGACTTCCAAAATAATGCACCACAGAGGAGACTTCTTAATAACATGAGGAGTGCATATAAGTCATACAAGTGTGAAAAAGAGAAAGCCAAAGAACAGGAGGAACAGAGAAAGAGAGAATTAGAAGTGAGAAAAGCAAATGTTGAAACAAAACGAAAGGCTTCAGAACAGTCAGAAAGAGCTTCCAAAATTGCACGTTTGGCTCACAAACAACTGATGATGAAATCTTCAAAAAAAACCAGAAAAAAGTCTAAAAAAGGGACATAATTTGAGTGAAGTTCGTGCTACATTTTACTGTTACAGTGTAAATATATTACAATCTAAATATATTACAATATTAATGTGAAAGTGTACATATATAGTCTCTAGCTATATTGTGAAAAGTAATTTGTGAACTGACAAAACAATTTAGATTTAAACTACAGTTGGACATATGTGGAACATGTATTTACTTTTTACAATTTAACAAAACACATTTAACAAACTTAAACATTTTTCTTGCAATTGGATTACACTCAAGTATCTCATTCTGTGGAACATTAGTTGTGAACTGGCCATGGTAAGTGTATAAATTGTCATGTTGATGAAAATTTCAAACAGTTTTGTTGAGTTTTTTTATTGGTATTACACTTTATTATGGCAAGAAATGCATGCCAAAATATCTGATGGTATACCCCTTAAGTGGCTAGAAATGCATCCCTGGCAGTCTAAATTTTCAAAAATTTTCCGGGGGAGGCCCCCCGTATTACTTTTCAGACTTTTTCAAAAAATACCACTCACATGCCTGGTATATACCTGTATCATTACACTGTACATACCTGTATCACTACACTGTACACACCTGTATCACTACACTGTACATACCTGTATCACTACACTGTATATACCTGTATCATTACACTGTACACACCTGTATCACTACACTGTACATACCTGTATCACTACACTGTATATACCTGTATCATTACACTGTACACACCTGTATCACTACACTGTATATACCTGTATCACTACACTATACACACCTGTATCACTACACTGTACACTGTACACTGTACACACCTGTATCACTACACTGTACACACCTGTATCACTACACTATACACACCTGTATCACTACACTGTACATACCTGTATCACTACACTGTACATACCTGTATTACTACACTGTATATACCTGTATCACTACACTGTACACACCTGTATCAATACACTGTATATACCTGTATCATTACACTGTACATACCTGTATCACTACACTGTACACACCTGTATCACTACACTGTACACACCTGTATCACTACACTGTACACACCTGTATCACTACACTGTATATACCTGTATCACTACACTGTACACACCTGTATCACTACACTGTACACACCTGTATCACTACACTGTACATACCTGTATCACTACACTGTACACACCTGTATCACTACACTGTACACACCTGTATCACTGGGATGTACACACCTGTATCAATACACTGTATATACCTGTATCACTACACTGTACACACCTGTATCACTGTGATGTACACTCTTGTATTGCTATATTATCCATGTCCAAAAGTCATCATCTTGTTCAATTTTGAGTCTGAGTTGGCAAAAAGAGGCCAATAGACAAGCCATCTTTGATTTTGATAATTGAAAACTTTTTTTTTTTTGGTATGTCAATATTCTATTTCCTCCATTTTTCATTTTTACATGAAAAGAAAGACTGTCATCTCTAGGTTTTTCTTTGTGCATGTTTTAATTTTGAGACTGATTGAAAAATAACAAAATTTGAAACATGTAGTCCTCATTGAAACCTTAGAACCTAAAAAAAAGGAAAACAATAAAAATTGCATAGATTCAATACAGATCATAAAGTCGTGACATCAAAATCCCTCTGGTATCTCTTGGTTTTTTAAAAATATTTCAGTTTCAACACATCATCAACGTATATAAGGAGACATTAACTCATTTATTTCTTTTTCTCTTATCAACAGAGCTGCAGAGCAAGCCTCTCACAATGATTACTTTTATTTGTTCCTGAAGAGACTATGTCAAGTTTTAACAGAACTGGGTAAACAATTGTGTGCTATGTGGGTGAGTATACTAATGCTGTTTGTAATCAGTGTTAAGTAAAGTTGTTTACTTGTGTAAATATACTAATGATCATCCTAAACAATGAAGGCGAAAAATATTTTTATGTGATGTATGGGCTCTATGACATTGTTGATGAATTATTTTGGTTTTAGGGTCACTTACCTGATGTAAAACAACCAGCCACCTTTGAGAAATATCTAGAGGCTCTTCTAGTGCTAACAAAATTCCCCAGTCAGGTAGGTTGTGTTGCTATAGTCGTACATCAGGTAAGTCTTGCACTTAAATACTCCACTGTCGTAAGTCTATTGCTTAAAGTGTGGCACCAGGTAACTTTTGCCCTGAACTGCAGTCAGGTAGATCTTTTCTGTACCAGAGTTATGAAACTTTTGTACCCCCACCAGGTAAGTCTTCTCCTAAAGTGCTTCAGCTGGGTAAGTCTTCTCTCTAAAGTACCTCAGCCAGGTAAATCTCCTTAAATCACCTCAGCCAGGTAAATCTCCTTGAATCACCTCAGTCAGGTAAATCTCCTTGAATCACCTCAGCCAGGTAAATCTCCTTAAATCACCTCAGCCAGGTAAATCTCCTTAAATCACCTCAGCCAGGTAAATCTCCTTAAATCACCTCAGCCAGGTAAATCTCCTTGAATCACCTCAGCCAGGTAAATCTCCTTGAATCACCTCAGCCAGGTAAATCTCCTTGAATCACCTCAGCCAGGTAAATCTCCTTGAATCACCTCAGCCAGGTAAATTTCCTTGAATCACCTCAGCCAGGTAAATCTCCTTAAATCACCTCAATCAGGTAAGATTCTGCTTACAGTACCTCAACCAAGTAAATGTTCTCCTTTAAGTACTTAAACAGGTAAGTGTTTTCCTGAAATATCTCAAGCAGGTTATTTATCAACTTTAGGTACCTCAATCAGGTACATCTTCTCCTTTAAATACACAAACCAGGTAAGTCGTCAACAGAAAGTACATCAACCAGGAAAGTCTACTCCATAAATTACCTCAATCATTTACTTGTAAGTTTAAAGTACACCAGTCAAGTAAGTGTGGTGTTGAAAGTACTCTAGTCAGAAAAGTGATGCCCTCATACATTATTCATTACAGTTTGATAAGTCACAAATCCATGAACTGTTTACAATTTTTATTGGATATTTTGCTTGTACAGTTTTGTTTCTGAGGTTTTCCTGACTTCAGAGCAAATCAGAATATGGCTGAAATAATTATCAATTATCCATATCTTTCTACTTATTTAGATAATTTTAGTATTTAAATAACTGGTTGTTATAACATGATTTTTTTTCTGTAGATGATCAGCTGTTTCACCCAGTCCCTTTGGTCAAGTTTTCTACGTCATGAGATAATAAGTGTTGACCCAATAGTCCAATCCTTCATACCTAGACTGTTTGAAAGTGCAACAGACACATTACAAAAGGTAGGATTATTCGGAACAAATGTAAGTGATGCCTAATGAAGCTGTAGATGATGACTTTGTAGAAAACATTCAGTCAACATCCTCTCTTACCAGTATACTCACAGAAAGATCGTAGGCAAAGTTTCAAGGAACTAAAAAAAAAATGAATATGAACGGCTTCTAACTTCTACTTCTATGTTAACATCAATGCTTAAGGCTTTCAGGGGACCAGTAAGTCCCACGTTTTTTCTAGGTTGGATTAAATGATTACTTTAGACGTTTTCTGTAAACTCTAGAATACAACAGAAATTGAAATGTCAGAAAATGGGACGTTTAAAAAACATTTCATTATAACTTTACGGCAACTTGTTGATTTTCAAGGTAAATACTTATCATTACATGATAACAATATGGCTATGATACTGCTCCACTTACTATAATGATGTGGAAACAGTATGTCTACATTGTAATGCAGCTCCACTTCTTATAAAATGTCCTTCTTGATGATGTTTTTTCTAGCCAACACACACTGTTGATCTATAAATGTCACTGTTTCAGAATAGGAAAATCATTGTTAAATTTTATCACTTTGTTTTGAGTAAGTTACAAAATTGGAATCTGATGGGACACATATGTTTTTAAGATCTAATTGATAAATGATGTAATTATATATTTCATGCTGGTACTTGTAAGAGTAGTAAGACATTAAACAGAGTATAGTTCCTCTAGTTCAATGACTAGATGAACAGAGCCATATAATGCTAGATAATCTGGAGTGTACTGGGTTTTAGGTTGGCTTCCCGACCCAGAACAATTCACCAAGTTGTAAGTACTCTAGATTGGACCATGATAGCGACGAAGAGTTCACCACATTCTTCTCCAGTAAGTTTCTTACATATCTTCCATATATCACATTTGACTGATGCATGTTATTGCTCTTGGCTATAAGATATGGCTGCTGATGAAGCATTTCTACTCATCTGCTCACCTGTCAGAAGGATCACTTTTGTGGTTACCTTGGTGTAATCATTAACAATAGAATATGAAGATTTAAGCATAAACTTGACTTATTTACATCAGCACGATTTCCTAGGTAACTCTCCAATAGTCTTCAGTAAACAAAAGATGCTTTTCTCCAATACATGTTCTCATATTGTGTAACTTTGCCATCAAAAAGTGTCCTATACTGTTTAAAAAGAGTTCTAGGAGAAGATAGTTTAATGTATTTAAGAGAAAATACTGTCAGTAATGAGAGGAAATATTCCACTTTAGGCCAATGGTAAATGAAAATATAGCGTTTTTTGAACTTTTCCATCAAATAGTTTTACATTTGCATGCTGTTCTTCTAATTATTGATAAAACTTTTCAATGATAAGGGCCAGAATAGCTGTATCATTTTATGTTTTTGTTAATTAATTATGGTAGATGTGCCAGGGACATTTATCCTTGACAGTCATTGACCTCCTGCTTTGACCCCAAAAAACCTGTTTCCTTGGTATATACAAAGTACTATGTTTGCCATTTGCTTATAGAGTACAGAGCAGAAGTAGCTGATACCCTCAAGCTTGCTACTGTTCTTCAACCAGAAACAGCATTCCAGTTTGCTGGGATGTGGTTACAGAGTATTCTACAGAAGCCTGTTGATACTGGAGAAGGTGAGTGTTACAGATATACAACCTAAAACTATATACTGTTACAGCTAAGGTTCCTATATTATGAGCGATGATATGTTTTTAATGTTTTTCCACAATGTCATAAAATCCCTATATTTAGATACATTATAAATAAGATAAGTAGAGAAATTCATAGCCCAACTCATGACTACTGTCAAAATGGTATCTTTTTTGCTTGAATTAAGATAAAAATACTGAAATATCTTCAAAGAGTAAAAATTGTGAGACAAATCCTGTGAAGTACATGGGGAAGCTTTCGTAACTTACAACTGAGGTAAAAACAAAAGCCTTTTATGTGTCTTTACAAACCATTTTTTAGGGTCAGAGAATGGCTACTGTCGGCTTTCCTCGCCATCTTTTATCGCTTGGGATGCCATGACAGTATGTCTGGAGAGTGTGATGTCACGGGTGTTGTCTGTCAAAACTACCCCAAACCAACAGGAAGGCATCTGTCTCCTTGGCAACGTTTTAGAATTCAAAACAGAGGTGAGAGTTTTGATGACACATAAAAATAATCTTAAGAGGTTTATCACTAGGCTCTGGAATTCTTTACATGTAAGAATGTAAGAATTGTTTTCTGTTGTTCATCAGACAAAATTTCTGATGCTTCAGTTCAGTTTTATTCACTAAAATGCTGTATGTTTAAGGACTGGGTCTCCACTACCTGTATATATATCTGTTTGTTGTAGAGGTAAGGTCTACACTACCTGTATATATATATATATATATCTGTATGTTTAAGGACTAAGGTCTCCACTACCTGTATATATATATATATCTGCATGTTTTAGGGGTAAGGTCTACACTACCTGTATATCTATATATATATATATCTGTATGTTTAAGGACTAAGGTCTCCACTACCTGTATATATATATCTGTATGTTTTAGGGGTAAGGTGTACACTACCTGTATATCTATATATATATCTCTATGTTTAAGGACTAAGGTCTCCACTAACTGTATATATTTGTTTGTTGTAGAGGTAAGGTCTACACATTTGTATATATATCTGTATGATGTAGGGGTAAGGTCTACGCATTTGTATATATATCTGTATGTTGTAGGACCCTCTCATTTTGTCATCACTCTTGTCCTGTATATCAGCTTTGTTTCCATTCGTGAATGGAGCTCCAGAAAAATTACCAATGGTTCTTGAAAAGGTGAGTCTAACTGAAATAAATGTTGTTAATGTGAACTCTCCATAAAATTATCATGTAGACTTCTTTCTATCTATTTGGTTGTCACACCTGGGAGACAAGGTGGGGTTATCAACTTGAAGAATTTAGATGTTTAGGTTGTTCTTGCAATCAATGATAGCTTTAAAATGTTGTTTTTATTCTAGCACTTTCCTGTATCTGTTTAATGATGAAGTCATTGAGACAAAAAATTGTTACTACAAATTTCTGAAGCATTTGAACTTTTTCTGGACCAAACTTTGTTAGCTCTGTTTAGTTTTAGACTTTGTATTTAGCATGTGGAATTTCCATAAAAGTTTGAGTGAAGACATATGTTACACATTGCATACTTCCCTCAGTTCAGGTTTATGGGGTACCAATGTGATCATAATCTTCTGGATTTCCTCTTCAGATATTTTCTGCTGTTACTTTCAACTTGCCAGGCCAGACCAAATCAACACGAAGTAAAGCTGTTAAGAATGTCCGTCAGCATGCCTGTTCAATCTTAGTGAAGATTTGTAAAGTCTACACAGATCTCCTCATTGTACGTCATATCAACTTATATGCAAATGAAATAAGAAAATTTCTTGTTAAGAAACCATTTAAAATGTAGTAATATTTTTTGCCAAATTGTGATTTGTGAAAATTCTTGGAAATTAGTTTTGGAAATATGTTTGGAATTAGTATTAAAAGATGCTATTCGCTTGTGTCTTTTGTACAATCTTTAATGGTCCTGTCTTTATACAAATGTGGTCTGCACCTCTTTATATTGTCATATTTGTCCCCATCTTGATATTTCAAAGCTCCATCAACATTTTGATGAGACTGGGAAAGACTTTCTTGGAAGTAGATTATTTACAACATTAAGATATCAATCAGTGTAAGAGTTTACTTTCAGCAGTTTTGTAATATTTGTACTTTGTATCTGTATTGAGTTGTCCCTGCTTCCCATGTTTTAATTTCTGTCTCTGTGATGGAAATCATTTTCTTGACGTAATGTTGTAAATGACAATACTGATAATTAAAGTATGATGTTTACACTGACAGCCTGTGTTTGACAAGCTATACAGCCATATACAAGTGATCAGTAGGGACACTGAACAACTCTCACAGATGGAGAAATGTATTCTCATAGAGGCACTCATACTAATCAGGTGAGCACCAATTTATCTTTCCATGGACAGACTTCAAACATGTCTAACAGATAATGTATTAACTTGTGTTGTATTTATGACTCTAAAGTTTATTCTAAATTTTAAATAGTCTGAAAGTTTTGAATACAGAATCATGACAGCATAAGTTTGTCTAAAGGACGACTTTAAATATAATTTTTCTGAGCCTAGTTGTTGTTAACATTCATCCTGGAAATTCCCAAACATAGACCAGTATATGACCTCTCTATACACAACCCATGCATTCATAAGTGATAGATATGGATTTTAAGAGAGGAACTTATAAAATGTTAAATAAAATATATTACATGTGTATTGATTGAGTTGACACTTGATGACCCTAATAAATAAAGTAAGGCAGTACAGGAAAACATCCTCAATGTGTATAGTCTATAGTTTCAAACTTGTCTTTTATTCATTTCAGTAATAAATTTCATAATTTCAACAAGCAGTCATCATTTATAGAGGAAGTCCTGAAACCTGTCAAAGATTTATGGTTGTCTGAAGAGTTTAAACAGTAGGTTGAATGTACAATATGTATTATCAGACTTTATTTGTTGTACTGGACCAAGAACTGTTCAGCCGAGAGACGTGTTGAACAGCTGTGTACATCAATTACAATCTAAACTTGTTATCTCAAAATTTAGGGGACCTTATTTGAATTTTGACTCAAAGTGTCCAAATAAAGTTGATGATATCAGCTTTCTGACGTTGATTACTGTGAATGATGCACAGGCTACGATAGCATGGTGATCCATGCTACAAACCATGAAAATCAGCCGGCTGTTTGAAAGGATTGTAAATAATTAGAAACAAATAAATTATTACTTTCTCTTTTGATTGTTTATCTATCCAACAAAACCATATAAATGGAGATCAGCTCCTCTCTTAGTTCCATTTGGCACATGTGTACAATCCTCTTACATTGGTCATAAATGTTTCAGAATGTCAGAATAAATAAAAGGAAACTAAATATTTTCTTTTGATATGCTACTAGAAACAATGTTTGAAGTTACAGCTAATGTTAAAATGACTATAATAGAAAAAACGTATAGCATAAAATCAAATCTTTATCACTGTCAACCAGTACATGTTACTGTACTACTACCCTTAAAAACACTCTCATTTTCATCGCTCCTTTCACATGCATGTAACCTAGCCTACTGTTTCTGGTCTTTCATACTGATTTTGAAACATCATCAGTTTTCATGTCCTGTGTAAATACGGTACTTGTTTAACACACAGGTAAGTCAATGCTACAATACAATGATATTAATTAAGAAGACAACTTTTAATTTGATTGTGAAACTGGTAATTATTAGTCATAGGTAAACTGTTTTGTGTGCTACAGACCAATACGCTGTGTATTTAGCCATGTGTTGTGTAAAGGTGATATTTCAATCTGTGTATGTATTGATTGAACTCTTTAGATTGTGTGCTGATATTTTGACAAAAACAAAATTTTGAGACAACAGATGACTTTTCAATTGCTGTAAAATTGAAGGGACTGAAAAATCACTTCTACACAAACAAAGTTTAGGCTCCATGAAATCTGAACTAAAATTACAAAGATAAAGAAAACAAAAAATTGGGATTTGGAAATTATTTTGACTCAAATGGAATTTTGACTCAGTAGGTTTTGAGAAAACAAGTGTTAAACAGCATAACTGATAATTGTAGATAGTCAATCAAATTATCATCCCTTGTTTATATTGATATGCTATGTTTCACTTTTCACCTTGTTATGTCACTGGAGTCATTGTTCTTTTTCCCAGAGCTTTTTGGTCACCAGAGAAGTTTATGTCCTACATTGGATTGGATCAGGCTCCAGTAGAACCATCTTCAGCAGACACCTGTGGCATTAATAGATCACATGTATGTAACTAAGGGTTCTCTAGCCTACAACTTGTATGTAACAATGACTTCCCTAGCCTACAACTTGTATGTAACAATGACTTCTCTAGCCTACAACTTGTATGTAACTAAGGGTTCTCTAGGGTACAACTTGTATGTAACTAAGGGTTCTCTAGGGTACAACTTGTATGTAACAATGACCTCTCTAGCCTACAACTTGTATGTAACAATGACTTCTCTAGCCTACAACTTGTATGTAACATGACTTCTCTAGGGTACAACTTGTACGTAACTAAGGGTTCTGTAGGGTACAACTTATACGTAACTAAGGGTTCTCTAGGGTACAACTTGTATGTAACAATGACTTCTCTAGGGTACAACTTGTATGTAACAATGATTTCTCTAGCCTACAAGTCTGTGGCATCAACAGATCACTTGTATGTAAATTTGACTGCTGTGAGCTACAGAAATCTGCCATCTTGCCTGTAACCATAATATGAGGCTTGTGGTAGCCCCAGAGTCACAGATCATTGATATGTAATATGTTGGTATTTATTAATACCCAAAGTTATTTACTACTGTAAAATAATTATTTTCTATTAACTTATATTTATTGAATAGGTGGATAAACTAAATCCACAAATTTATATGTCCACGAAATGATAAGTGGAGAAAGTTAACATAGATTTTAGCACTAGCTGATTTTGTGAGCAACATTTAATTACAAAATCAAGAGCCAACAAAGATGGATATTTTTCAAACTAGGAAATTTTAGTCCAAAGGAAAAACATCTATATGATTTAATAACAGTATATAGAAAGATATGTATTTTTTGTGTCGTTGATGTTGCCAATGACTTATTAATTCTAAGCAATCCTATTTGTTTTCCAGATGGCGTACTGTGTCAACACTATCCTGGCTGTACTGAAGAGAAGTAGGTGGCCAGAAGACACACAGGTAGACATTTTGTACCACATTATACCATTGTAATTGACTATAATCTTTGTAATGTTAATTAACAATGCAAATCAATGATGCTTATCCTTCTCATGTGTCTTTATGTTGATACATCATTAAGCAGGGGATTCCTAGTTTTATGTTGATACATCATTAAGCAGGGGATTCCTAGTTTTATGTTGATACATCATTAAGCAGGGGATTCCTAGTTTTATGTTGATACATCATTAAGCAGGGGATTCCTAGTTTTATGTTGATACATCATTAAGCAGGGGATTCCTAGTTTTATGTTGATACATCATTAAGCAGGGGATTCCTAGTTTTATGTTGATACATCATTAAGCAGGGGATTCCTAGTTTTATGTTGATACATCATTAAGCAGGGGATTCCTAGTTTTATGTTGATACATCATTAAGCAGGGGATTCCTAGTTTTATGTTGATACATCATTAAGCAGGGGATTCCTAGTTTTATGTTGATACATCATTAAGCAGGGGATTCCTAGTTTTATGTTGATACATCATTAAGCAGGGGATTCCTAGTTTTATGTTGATACATCATTAAGCAGGGGATTCCTAGTTTTATGTTGATACATCATTAAGCAGGGGATTCCTAGTTCTTATTTTGGACATGAATGAAATATCACAGACATTGATAGAAGACAACACATGAACAAGATATGCATATGAATATCTGATGGCATATTCGACTGCAACATAGTTATCATACAATGATGCAGTAAATAACATGATCTTTTGCTATCTCCAGGTAAAACCTGAAGCATTCCTTAACTGACAGGACAATAACTGCACAGTTTTCTAGCTAAAACACGTTACACTACTTTAGCAGTAGTAAAACAATATGAACTAACCTGGTTGTGATACCATATAGCTATAAACAGTTTAGTACAATATTTACAGTTTTTTTTATGTCTGAATGAACACCAATATACCAGGTATATGAATCAGGGCGTTATTAAATGAATTTGATTTCATAGATATTTTTGCATATATAAATCATGGTAATCCCAGCTGGAAATTTTCATATTAACTTAATGTACTTACAGAGGTGATGTGCCTCTTCTTAAAAAAAATAAAATGTAAAAACATCTTTTTTAAGCTGTCCTAGCCCAAAGGACATAGTTAATTATCGGGATACTGCAGCATCTGTCCCCAGTTGTCCATTGCCTGTTGTCATCTGTCAACATTTCCTATAAATTGCTACTAGTCATGAACGTTTTAGTGGATTTTTACTAAGCATCCTTTGGAGAAGCCCCAGTTTTATATAATTGATAGGTTTATTGAGCGAATGCTTTAAAATACTACTTCTCCTGTAATGATTGGATTTTGCAGAAACCTGGAGTGAAGTATTCTTAGGTGAAGGGGAATAAATTTTGTGTTAACCGTAGATCTTTGCACCCAGGAGTGGGAAGGGAAGGGCACAATACAGATAATAGAAGAAATAGTTAAAAGTTCTACTTCTCCTATATCAATTAATTGATTTTGCCCAAATTTTGTCCGAAGCCTTCTTAGGTGAAGGGAATCATTTTTTTATAAACAGTGGCCTCAGCCACTTGGGGCAGGATCTGGGCCCTAAAGGGATAATAAAGCCAACCCCTTAAATCCTTTTTTATCTGCTGGAATACCTTCATTCTGTACCAATTTGGTCTAAAACATCCATAGGTGAAGGGGAATCAATTTTGTATAAAAAGTAGGTCTCAGCTCACTGGGAAAGGAAGGGTAGGGCCCAATAGGGACAAATTCTTCTTCTGTAGAATTGGCCATATTTGGTCCCAAAATGATCTGAAACATCGTACTAAGAAGGGTGATCAGTTTTTATAAACAGTGAGTCTCTGCCCTCTGGGTTAGGAAGAGTTGGTCCCAATAGGGGGATTAGAGTGATGTTTTAAAAATTCTTTTTCTTCTGTAAGGGGTGCCTGGATTCAGGCCCAAGTTGGTCTGAAACAATCTTGGGCAAAGGAGACTTTTATATTAATGGTTTATGTGACCTTCTGGGAGCAGATGGGTGTAGCCCAACTGGAAAATAGATTTAAAAACCTTTAGAATTTCTTTCCTTTGGATAAGACAATTTCAGTGAAACAAAGCCAGATGACAGATACAAGCCCTTTATGCCTGTTGTTTGATCTTTATTTTGTCTTTTTGTTGTTTTTCTTGGAGGGGTGGGGTGTTGTTGTTTATTATGTGTGTGTTTAAGTTGATAATTATTGGATTACACATAATGGAAAAATTTTAACTGTAGATCTATGTGTTACAGGTAGCCAGTAAAAGTGGGTTTGCGATAGGGGTCATGGAGGATGGGACAACAGCTCTAAGGAACCCTGCCACCACACACATCAGTGTACTGCTGGAGAATCTATTAACTCTCACCAAGTAGGGAACCCTATAGTGTATCACTCTTTAGCTATAGGAATTACCATACAATACTACCCCAAGTATGATTACAGTCAAAGGAATTACCTTTAAATAAAATCATGGTTATTGTGATTCATAAATGTAATAATGCTTGTTTCAGAACTATGAATTCTACATGGCAACCTGAATATCTAAAGTTACGGCATCCAGATTTTGTCAAGTCTTACGATTTGTCAGAGACAGATAGATTAAGTGTACTAGGTGAGTCAGTGTTTCATTATTAAATAAATATCCATCTTTTTTTTTATTCACACAAAATATTTTAAGTTACACTATCAGTCAATAAAAAACCCAGCATTTTTGTATGGAATTTTCCAGGATTAATGTTTGTTTTAGAGCAATATGATGCAGATAAATTAAAACTTTTCGGAAGTAAAAAATTTTGTTTTACACAAGATATTTTGTGACTAATCAGGATGATATTTTTTACTTGTGTCCTAAAAGGTATTCCCCCACCATGTGTGGACAACACCAATAACTCCACCTTTCGACAGCCCCTAGAGAGGATGCAGCTATTTCTCTGCTCCACACATGACACATGGTAAGATCAAACTAAAAAAGGCCTAATGCCATACTTGTAGATGTAATAGATTATTTTGATATGGAGATTTAATGACACATTCAGGTATAATGACAACAGAAGCAATTGACACTGATGAATATCTGATGATACAGAGAGATATCTGATGACATACTAATACATAGTAATATGTAATGACACCCAGTTATATGTAATGACACACAGTAATATATAATAACACACAGAAATATTTAATGACACACAGAAATATTTAATGACACACAGAAATATTTAATGAAACACAGAAATATTTAATGACACACAAATATTTAATGACACACAGAAATATTTAATGAAACACAGTAATATCTCATTACACTGTAACATTAATAACATTGCTGAACCAACTAAACTAATTGCACATACCAGGGATTTCAAAAATTGTGTAGTGTGGCTTTGTTGTTATATAGCTGTCACATCTTAGGAAATGCTGGTCCGTGTCTAGGACAGGAGTTCTACACTATCCCCAATCTCACCCAGTCTCTGCTCAGTACCATCTTCACCAACCTGGACGTCCTTCCTGAATACAGAATCAAACCCATTTTACATATCCTTTAGTTCCTCTCTGTAGGGATGTCAGTATCTGTGTTGTAGGTATCTTATATCAAACAACAAAATCTGATGATATTGTATTACAGCATTCAGGAAAACAGTTTTATCATAAATGTGATCAGTTTAACTTTGAACTAAAGCATCTGTTAGAGCTAGAGGGACTGTTTGCCAAGATTTAATTCTGATTTTTGTCATGTGACAAAATGGTATTTTTATGACACATAATTGAAACATATTTGCTATTTTTTCAATGCTTACAATCTTGATTAATTGTACAGCAACAGTAAATCAAACCAACAACAGGTACTAAAAAGATTTCTTATTTGTTTAACAATTCTTCATCACTTGCATTTGTAATCCTTGACCAGTACCACGTATGTTCATGAAACCCTTTGTACAAAACTGTCCGAAGTCTTGCTATGAGATGGCTGTCATACCTCTGCTGGCATTTCTGTGTCCATATATGTATCAAGTGAGTATCTTTTAGTAATAAAAGGTATAATTGGTCAGTATTCAAAGAGTCCAGATCAGATTAGTCTGTATCCATGGTGACCAGATCTGATTAGTCTGTATCCATGGTGACCAGACCAGATTAGTCTGTATCCATGGTGACCAGATCTGATTAGTCTGTATCCATGGTGACCAGATCTGATTAGTCTGTATCCATGGTGACCAGATCAGATTTGTCTGTATTCATGGGGACCAGATCAAATTAGTGAGTATCCATGGAGACCAGACAAGATCAGTCTGTATTCATGATGACCAGATCAGATCAGTCTGTATCCATGGTGACCAGATCAGAGTCTGTGTCCCAGTGACCAATCAGACCAGTCAATATCTATATTGACCAAATCAAATAATTGTATTCATGGTGACCAGATGGAAGAGGTCAAATCAGTCATTATATATGATGACAACTTTGTTTTGATTCACATAATATTATGTTAAACAGTGTTTGGTGATCAGGATATTAGTTTTAAACAATTGATGTACTTATCTGTGATATAAGAAATAATGGCTAATTGTTATATTGTTATTTTTCAGAGATTGAGTACCAAGTGGGCAGTTATAAACCAGAGAAACAGGTAGGATATCTGTGTAGACATGGATCAGGGAAATAATACTTAATATTATGATTCTATAAATAAATTGGTGAACACCCTAATATCGCAATTAAAATTCTATACACTATAGCTGCTGCCATATATAACATCTTACTTGTACCATATTTTACTTTCTGCTGTATATATAACATCATACTCATTATACCTACTGTTGTACACCTGTATGTAACATCATACTCATTATACCTACTGTTGTACACCTGTATGTAACATCATAATCATTATACCTACTGTTGTACACCTGTATGTAACATCATAATCATTATACCTACTGTTGTACACCTGTATGTAACATCATAATCATTATACCTACTGTTGTACACCTGTATGTAACATCATAATCATTATACCTACTGTTGTACACCTGTATGTAACATCATAATCATTATACCTACTGTTGTACACCTGTATGTAACATCATAATCATTATACCTACTGTTGTACACTTGTATGTAACATCAAACTCACACTATCTACTGTTGTACACCTGTATGTAACATCAAACTCATGCTATCTACTGTTGTACACCTGTATGTAACATCAAACTCATGCTATCTACTGTTGTACACTTGTATGTAACATCAAACTCATGCTATCTACTGTTGTACACCTGTATGTAACATCAAACTCATGCTATCTACTGTTGTACACCTGTATGTAACATCAAACTCATGCTATCTACTGTTGTACATTGTATGTAACATCAAACTCATGCTATCTACTGTTGTACACCTGTATGTAACATCAAACTCACACTATCTACTGTTGTACACTGTAACATCATACATGTACACCACTTGTGATAACTCTTTACATATGTACTGTCAGTCACCACACAGAGGATGGTAAGGCAGAGATAGAAGATGACAATCCAGAGTCCCAAGAGATCCTGGATGACCAGTTGACCCGTCAAATGACCAGAGAATATGTTGACCTGCTGGGTAAGTTTCTGTCTAGTCAGATAAACAGGGCAACCTGATACTGTAGTTAATGAAGTGCAGTCTTATATAAGGATATGAATGAAATCACAGATGAAACCTCCACATTACATGGTATATAAACTGGATGGAATAAGATATACTGTTGATAAATCAGAAGAATTCTGTTTTGTGACAGTTACAATCTGTCGGTACCGCCCATCAAACTCTGCAGAGGGTGCTACAGAGGACCAGATGATGGATGAGGAAGGTACGCTAACGGAGAATTCATCTAACCAACAACAGCAGAACAAGGAAGCCTGTCTCAGTGAACTGGGCATTCTGTGTATGAAAAATGAAGTAAGTTTTTCTTTTATTGAGGAAGAGATACCTAATATCAATATTTGATTTGATATATTTCAACTGAAAAAATTGGTAATTAATTTTCAAGTTCTGTGAAGCTGAGATGTTATCCAAAAATGGTTACAAAATTGCACCAGTCCTTTAAATCAGATTCATGATTGTGCTTGTTTGGATTAATAAGAAATCCAAGATGGCCACCATGGTTTGAGATTAGAGACATTTATATTTTTTACTATCAACACTTAAGTAACAGGTGAATGATAACTGCTATACTTTGATCTGTCAACAGGAAGTGTACCCATCTATTGTAATGTATGTGTTCAACTCCCTAGCCTGGAAAGATTCCACCATGATACTGAGAGCAACTAATGTGTGTTGGTTTGCCATATCACAGGTATGTACACCCCTTTACATTTTTACACTTTGTCGCTAAGTCTTACCAGTACTATCTTTACACTTTGTCACTAAGTCTTGTATTCTTTGGTCCTGCTTTTTTTTTTACTTTTTACATCATTTTTCACTTCAGTGTCAGGTCAGTGTGTTTCTCTCAGTTTACACAAAGTAATTACTATAAAAACCAAATTGGATGTTTAATAAAATAGATAATAGAACTCTTTACAAAAAGATTTCAAATTGACTCAAAGCTTTGTACACACCTCCAACAATGATATACTTTAAATACTATATAATAAAGTTCACTCTATCGAACAGATTCTTTTTTACATCAATCTCATAATTTCTTATTGAATAGATAAATTACAAGTATTAAACTGATGTATGAGGTAATGTTGACTTCTAGTAGGCAAACCATTTCTTAAATGTTATTGATATTCCTTCATGAAATTGTGTAAAATATAGATTAATACATGTATTGACCTGACTCACCAACCTCTGTAGGTATAACTTGTCACTGTTAATCCAGTATAGACCTGACAGCAGGATTTTTTTAGTATTATGTCACATGAGAAGTAACCAGATAATAAACAGGATCCTGAAATATACATTGTCTTATTGACTGGTGTATTATTGTTTATAACTAATTTTTCTAACTTTCCAGTTACTGGCAGACCACAAATTGGTACCAGAGGCTGTCAATGTGTTTTTCTATGCTGTGCTGTTTGGTCTCCAAGTTCATGGTCAGCATGAGGCAGCTCAGAATGATTTACTGCTGTTAGGAGTACAGATGTATGAACTTCTGGTATGTATTTCTTGTTAGGAGTACAGATGTATGAACTTCTGGTATGTATTTCTTGTTAGGAGTACAGATGTATGAACTTCTGGTATGTATTTCTTGTTAGGAGTACAGATGTATGAACTTCTGGTATGTATTTCTTGTTAGGAGTACAGATGTACAAGCTCCTGGTATGTATTTCTTGTTAGGGGTACAGATGTATGAACTTCTGGTATGTATTTCTTGTTAGGGGTACACATGTAGAAGCTCCTGGTATGTATTTCTTGTTAGGGGTACATATGCACAAGCTCCTGGTATGTATTTCTTGTTAGGGGTACAGATGTACAAGCTCCTGGTATGTATTTCTTGTTAGGGGTACAATTGTAAAAACTTCTGGTATGTATTTCTTGTTAGGGGTACAGATGTACAAGCTCCTGGTATGTATTTCTTGTTAGGGGTATAGATATACAAGCTCCTGGTGTGCATTTCTTGTTAGGGGTACAGATGTACAAGCTCCTGGTATGTATTTCTTGTTAGGGGTACAGATGTACAAGCTCCTGGTATGTATTTCATGTTAGGGGTACAGATGTACAAGCTCCTGGTATGTATTTCTTGTTAGGGGTACAGATGTATGACTCCTGGTATGTATTTCTTGTTAGGGGTACAGATGTATGACTCCTGGTATGTATTTCTTGTTAGGGGTACAGATGTATGACTCCTGGTAAGGGAAACTGTTCATGTTCAGATTTTTATGTAAAACATCAAACATCTATCTTCCATCTCATTTTGTAAAAACAGTATTGAATATGCTTGTAAACTTCATCACCTTTGTCACTCACAAGGATATAGTGAGGTTTCACTGTTTTAAATGAAGTCGTTGCCTTAAAGGTATGAATAATCGTTTGTGTTGTTGTGTGTTTTAGAGACCACACTTCCCCAATTTAGCCAGTGTGCTACAACAGATTCCCAACTGTTCAGCGGAGGCTGTCAGGGTAGGTAGTCAAATAAGGTGTCTAGACAAATGAGGTCTCTCTCTATATACACTGCTTTGAAATAACCTACTCTGTTGAAATATCTCTTCTGCATAATCTCTAATTCAAATATCACAAGCAGTCATTTAACTACAAACAAAAAGTATTTTTGTGTTCTTAAAGAGTGTTCCAGTACGTCAGTGACTGAAGTCACAACATACGGTATTTTCCAGTTTGTAAACCGCACCATTTTACTCACGAGTCAGGCATAGGGTTTATATAGCGGTGCAGCTTATATATGGATGAAAAAAAAATTGGCAGGATGAAAAAAAACACAAAAAATATGCTTTATATTCGTGTGTAGACAATCTGAAGGCACCCAAGCCAAATGAGTTCAGTAATTGCTATTTTATGTTTTTTTAATACATCAATAAAATAAAGGATTATCAGTGTATAATTCATTGCAAACTTTATTAAATGTTTCACTGACGATCTTGGTAAATTGCCCGCCGTTGTCTGTTATATCAACATAACAGTTAACACTTTGTAAGATTGGGTGTGGCTTATATTCTGATACTGTTTATACATGGATGAAATTGAAAAAAAAATGGTAAAAATCAACTCTGCGGCTTATATACTGGGGCGACTTATAACCTGGAAAATGTAGTATGTCATTAATAACCTTTGAATATTGTGAAAAACTGTTTGTTGTCAAATCTAATCTGTTTTTATTGGTACCAGTACAAACAGGACAGTGATATGACATTCCTTTTGTAATGTCACAAGCTTTTCAATTATCTCCCTTTGACAAGTAATTTTACTTGATTTTCAGGCTTTTGATGAAAAAATTTTACAGCCAAGTCCACAAAAACAATTATCAGATAAGAAGAAGAAAGATATCTTTAAAAAGCTGGTAGCTGATGTCATTGGGGTAAGTTTGATAAATTCAGTCGTTTTCTTGTTCCTCATTTTGTTGCTTAAATTGTTTTCTTCTACCAACAGTTCTATGAATGACAATAGTGCTTTTGAAATGCATACACAAACCTTCACTTTTGCTCATTTGTCAAACACAAAACAACAACAGCAATGAAAAGCTATTGTTACAACAAATCAGTAATTGTTGGATTTTCTCATGCAAGTCCAGAACACTGGTATAGTTGTAAGATTTGATGAGTCCCAGTAGAAATGGATTTAGTAGATACTCAAAATTTGAGTGAGTCCCAAATGAAGAGCATAAATCCACAACTCAAATATCTGACTCCCAAAAATCACTGAAATAGACACATTCTCACACTCCTTTCATTTATCTATGTACTGCATCTCATAGTTAGACATTCTCACACTCCTTTCATTTATCTATGTACTGCATCTCATAGTTAGACATTCTCACACTCCTTTCATTTATCTATGTACTGCATCTCATAGTTAGACATTCTCACACTCCTTTCATTTATCTGTGTACTGCATCTCATAATTAGACATTCTCACACTCCTTTCATTTATCTATGTACTGCATCTCATAGACATTCTCACACTCCTTTCATTTATCTATGTACTGCATCTCATAGACATTCTCACACTCCTTTATTTATCTATATACTGCATCTGAATAGAAATACATTCTCACACTCCTTTCATTTATCTGTGTACTGCATCTGCATAATTAGACATTCTCACACTCCTTTCATTTATCTATGTACTGCATCTCATAGTTAGACATTCTCACACTCCTTTCATTTATCTATGTACTGCATCTCATAATTAGACATTCTCACACTCCTTTCATTTATCTATGTACTGCATCTCATAGTTAGACATTCTCACACTCCTTTCATTTATCTATGTACTGCATCTCATAGTTAGACATTCTACACTCTCATATTTAGACATTCTCACACTCCTTTCATTTATCTATGTACTGCATCTCATAGACATTCTCACACTCCTTTCATTTATCTATGTACTGCATCTCATAGACATTCTCACACTCCTTTCATTTATATACTGCATCTCATAGTTAGACATTCTCACACTCTTTCATTTATCTGTGTATCTTTCATAAGAAAGTTCTCACACTCCTTTCATTTATCTAAGTACTGCATCTCATAGTTAGACATTCTCACACTCCTTTCATTTATCTATGTACTGCATCTCATAGATAGACAGACTCACACTCCTTTCATTTATCTATGTACTGCATCTCATAGTTAGACATTCTCACATCTCATAGTTAGACATTCTCACACTCCTTTCATTTATCTATGTACTGCATCTCATAGTTAGACATTCTCACACTCCTTTCATTTATCTATGTACTGCATCTCATAATTAGACATTCTCACACTCCTTTCATTTATCTATGTACTGCATCTCATAGTTAGACATTCTCACACTCCTTTCATTTATCTATGTACTGCATCTCATAATATTGTATTTGATTATATAAGATTTGAAAAGAAATAAGTTTGCTGCCGTCTAGAACTAGTAGAACCCCTGCAGAATGCTTTAATTTCATTATGATGAAATATTGTTGTTGGTATTATAATGTTTAAGATACTTTACCTGAAACTCAGTTAATAAACTGTTTACAAGACCCTCATTCCATTTCATTGTGTTTTCCCTTCAAACTGATGTATTTAGATTCCCTGTCTTGCCTGACCAGTTAAACTTCTCCAGCTAGATGTACAATAGCTGGAGTCAGATTTGATAGCTGCTTGTTATTATCATAGCAATGAATGAACAAACTCAGGATCATTTTCAAAAGAGGCAATGTAATAGAAGATCACTTCCATTATTTATATATTGTCTATTCCAGAAAAGTCTTAGATATCTTTATAATCTTTTTCAGAAAAGTGTGAGTCAGCAATTCAAGAGAGATGCGCAGTATAAAAATCTACCCCCTATATTTACAATCAGATCAAAACAACCTTCTTTGGATGAAGTTGAACCAAAGGACATGGGTTTATGTGACCTATTTAAACCAACAAATGGGAGTTCTAAAGATTCCTGATCATTGTCAAGATATTAGCCTCAAGGCTAGATGGGATTCAGTATGGAGTTGGAGAAGTGATAGAAGATGAGATATTTGTACCAGAATGCTCAATATCCATTGTGAAAATAATTGTGTAATAATAAAGATTGTGTACAAAGCCATCATTTTGGTGAATCCATTGACTAGAAATGAATGTACATCCGTTGAACAGAATGGTACATACATCCATTGAACAGGATGGTACATACATCCAAGGATTGGGATGGTACATACATCCATTGAACAGGATGGTACATCATTCACACTGATGGTGAATCCATCTGTTGGGTTGATCCATCCATTGACTGGGTTCTGTGCATTACGATTCTTCAGGTAAATTGCATATGAAATGTTGCCACTTATACACTTACATTTATACTTTACAGAAATGTTAAAATCTGAGAAAATAAAAATTATGAACAGAAATCTTGTTTGGTATTGATATTGTGGTACAGAGACAGTGTTTCCTGGACTATAGGCCTTTCTAGCTAACACCTGGTAGGTTGTGACAAGTGGCAAATAGGACTGTTACTGCAAAACAAGAAGCACTTGTTTCTTGTCAGTACTGGAAATAATGAGCACATGCTCTGGTTACTATTGTACAGATATCCTACCTCTGTGTGACTGGATTTTATCATATAGATGTCCCTTTCCTGTGTGACTTGATCACTCCTATCATATAGATGTCTCTTTCCTGTGTGACTGGATCACTCCTATCATATAGATATCTCTTTCCTGTGTGACTGGATCACTCCTATCATATAGATATCCCTTTCCTGTGTGACTGGAACACTCCTATCATATAGATGTCCCTTTCCTGTGTGACTTGATCACTCCTCTCATTTAGATGTCTCTTTCCTGTGTGACTGGATCACTCCTATCATATAGATATCCCTTTCCTGTGTGACTGGATCACTCCTATCATATAGATATCCCTATCCTGTGTGACTGGATCACTCCTATCATATAGATGTCCCTTTCCTGTGTGACTTGATGTCTCTTTCCTGTGTGACTGGATCACTCCTATCATATAGATATCTCTTTCCTGTGTGACTGGATCACTCCTATCATATAGATATCCCTTTCCTGTGTGACTGGAACACTCCTATCATATAGATGTCTCTTTCCTTTGTGACTGGGTCACTCCTATTATATAGATGTCTCTTTCCTGTGTGACTGGGTCACTCCTATCATATAGATGTCTCTTTCCTGTGTGACTGGATCACTCCTCTCATATAGATATCTCTTTCCTGTGTGACTGGATGACTCCTATCATATAGATGTCTCTTTCCTGTGTGACTGGATCACTCCTATCATATAGATATCTCTCTCCTGTGTGACTGGATCACTCCTATTATATAGATGTCTCTTTCCTGTGTGACTGGATCACTCCTATTATATAGATGTCCCTTTCCTGTGTGACTGGATCACTCCTATTATATAGATATCTCTCTCCTGTGTGACTGGATCACTCCTATTATATAGATGTCTCTTTCCTGTGTGACTGGATCACTCCTATCATATAGATATCTCTCTCCTGTGTGACTGGATCACTCCTATTATATAGATGTCCCTTTCCTGTGTGACTGGATCACTCCTATTATATAGATGTCCCTTTCCTGTGTGACTGGATCACTCCTCTCATATAGATATCTCTTTCCTGTGTGACTGGATATTATCATATAGATGTCTCTTTCCTGTGTGACTGGATCAATCCCTATCTGAGTGACTCGATTGCTTACATACCTTACAAGTGAATCCCTTGACCAGATACAAATATATATAGGTACAGTAATCTGTTTGTATGAGATAAAGTTGCTGACATGTTAGGAGAATCAGATGACTGTTTGCATGTTGTACATATAGAGATTGTTATTATGTTATACATGTATATTAATCTCTTCAAAGTAATTGGTCTATTTATTAACAATTAGAAATATTGATTCTGTTAAATTGTAAAGTGTTTATGCTGATTGGTAAGGATATGCAATAAATGCTATACACATATGAGTTATGTATGTTTTGGTTGTGTTGGTCTGTATTGTATCATTAGTAGATCTGTGTTGTATGATACAAGTGATGAATCTGTTGACACTAACTGTCTAGGTTTAACAACATTCCTCCAAGAAGACCTGATATATTTCCACCATCTTTATTTGAATGGTCAGTTCTTCGTGAACCATTGTTTTGATCATTTTAAAATATTGATAATATAAAGAGATAAAGGAGTTCCAGACATAGATACTTGCTGAAGGGAACGTAACAGATCGAAACTGACCTAAACATCAGTGATTACTGATATCTTTATTATTGGAATACAAAAACTTTCATTGACGTATCCTGAAATACATGATGTTTCTTATATCATGTATATGATCTTGTAAAGGAGGAGTGATCTGCCCTTGTTTAAATGTCAAATTATACTTGTCATATACTATAAATGAAAACTTCATTCCGTAAACTTACATCTTCAGATATTTTCACGAATCCATGATTTCGCAAATGTAGATAGAAATTTCTTTAACTTCACAAATAAGGCACTATTGGAGACATGGACTCTTCAAGACTCGTATATTGGTAACGAGTTAGAACAGTGATTGGTAACTGGATCAACATGGATGACATCCAGAGTTACAACAGTGACTGGTAACTGGATCAACATGAATGACATCCAGAGTTACAACAGTGACTGGTAACTGGATCAACATGGATGACATCCAGAGTTAGGACAGTGATTGGTAACTGGATCAACATGGATGACATCCAGAATTATTTTTGTACAAGTATTTACAATTGATTTGAATTGGTGACTGGCTATTCTCACATATTAACATAAGAACAACTTTCCCACATGAAATATGAATAAGTAACAGTAGTAGCAGAGGACTTGTGACTAACAAATACATGTATCAAGCCTAATGGCCAATTACCATATACATAATGTTGCTATATAGTACCCCACTGCATTCTGGGATATTCTGGGAAGAAATTTCCTTCTGAACAATTTTTCATGCAAAAATGATTTTCATCAAATCTGATGAACACAGTAATGATAATGTGAGGATGGAGTGTTGGCAGCATTGTATAGTTTATTTGATTGAATCTTAGATATAGCATTGATTTATTTCACACATATCCTAATGCATAAGTATCAAAGAAAACAGATTCAGCACTTAAATGACATACATTTGCATATTACCACATTGTATATTTTTAATTGTTTGTATTTATTAACATCTATAACGAACCTCTTCATTCCATAAAATACATTGAGTCAGTTCTATGGAAATCTTGTACACTTGTTATATTTCCAGTATGTCTAAGATGGACAATATCACATAATCTGGAATTAGGTTCTTGTTGTTATACATATAATAGCATGTCAGGTGACCTGCTTCAAAAATGGACAAACATTATTTTGGCACATTTTTTAGATTCCTATATACATATAGTGAGTCTGTGAGGTATTTTCAGTAATAAGTGTTTGACTTTAATATGTCACAGTATGTAAACAAAAAGGCAACATTTAAAATCTGGCAAGAGATTGCTAGAGAAAGAATCATATAACACATACATATAAATGCCCTTCATTTTGACAACCTGGAATGAGATAACATGATGACTTAATCACTAGCGTAGTGGCATTAACCGCCCTGATGCTTATGTTTCTTTGACTGAAAAATCCTAATTTTGTATTGTATCTAAATGCCTAAGTAGAAGAATGTTACAGTGACATATATGAATCATTATTGGCAGATCAAAGTCAAAGATGGCTCCTTCTAACAATCAAGTCTGGGGGAAAATATAGAGGAATGAGGCTTGGACAAAGGGCAAAAGTTTGTAGGGTGTTTAATTCTACAAATACAGTAAAACACTCTCTTGTGTAAAAGACAATTGAGAAGCATGAATATTTATACTGGTGATAATGGGCTTTGGTACACATATAACTAGAGAAGTTAGCATGGTTCATCTATACATATAAATGGCAATGTTTTGGCATATGGATACGTGATCAGCATAATGATCTCAGCTCAAGTAAAAAGAAGAGTTATCCAATCATGGATCCAAACCAATGTGTTACCTCTCCAGCTTGTACTTGAGAAAGAAACTGAAAAATAAGTCTTCTTTGTTAGCTTTTATGGAAAGTAAACTGATATTTTGTGTCCTCTTACTTAATTTAGAAGAGATATCCAACTTTTTGAGTTTAAAGGGATTTTGAACTTTTCCCAAGTCTGAGATAAGAAGGAGATATTGAGTTAAAAGGGGTATTGAACTTTTCCAAGTTTGAATTTGGAGGAGGGTAGTTTTAGTTAGAGGTATTGGACTTTCTCAAGTCTGAGTTAGGGGGGTTATTGGACTTTCCCAAATGTGAGCTAAAGGAATGGTAGTTTGAGTTTGAAGAGGTATTGGACTTCCACATGTTGGAAATGAGTAAGAGGGGATAGATTATCTGATTCAGCCCTAGTTAGTTTGGGTAATTTACTAAACTGGTTTTACAATAAGAATGGTACATATTTTTATATTATGTGTTAATAGTTAATGTAAAATGCATATATACATACGTTTGGTTCTTATCTATCTACAATACAAACTATTTTGCCATCAGCTTTCCAAGGTTTTAGGATTATAACATTGTACATTCTTACTGAATCTCTGACAAAAATATTCTACATTTTGTCCCTCTGACATAACATTAACATTTTTCTATTCACACTAGACACACACAAATATTTTAACTTTCGTCCCTCTGACATAACATTAACATTTTTCCATTCACACTAGACACACAAATTTTCTATAAAAAAAAAAGTTTTCCACCCACACCAGACAGAGAATATCTCTAACTCTCTTTCTCTAGTTAATATGTTAATAACCTGTGTACCATTTTTTGACACAAAGAGACAGAAAAATCTTTTAAAGTACCAGTATTCTGTCTTTTCCATTCTATCAGGTTTTTTGGGGGCTCCAAGTGACATGATCAAAAATCACCACATCAGATTTTCATACTGATGTATGACCCACAAAGAAGATTGCTTAGCAGACTTGAAAAAATTGGAAACACGAAAAGTTTCCAGAGTTTTATAGGCAACTCGATTTTATATGAGAAAAAGAATCAGCCACACTTCTACTGAAATAAATTGATTTCAAACAAATACAGGTAACAGTGATGTCCCATTTTCTCTCCACTGTAACATGTTCTGTTGTCAATCATCACTGTATCTGATATATTGTTAAAACTGTTGTCCATGCTCACTCAGTCGTTCTTAATATGGAAAACCATACAATATTTTACTTTTATCCCTATAGCTTTGTAAACTTTTCTAAAACTGAACACTTGTTATTAGGAGGCTTACCAACTAGTGTACTGACATTTCACCTATTTGTTTAGGATGATAAAAAAACTAACTTTAGAATATTAAATTATAAATATGAAAATTCAATTAAAACAATACAGTTACATAGGCAAATGTATTTGTTACACATACACCTCTCAGTTTTCTGTAAGTTCATCATACTTGTACACTTTGAGTGATTTGTCCGAACAGCCGACCCAGAGCTGATTGTTATGGAGATTAAGGCAGATAGGGGATACTGCACTAGTGGGCAGGGCCAACAACAAGCGGAGGAAGTGACCCCCTGTGTCAATTATGTTTATACACCTGATCTTATAGTCCACTACAAGCAGCAGACCCTGTTGGTCAAAGCACAGGTCGTACGGTAAAAACTTGGTCACAGCAGCTTTCCGCTTTTTCATTAAATTTGTTTCTCCATGATATCTATGTAGAAATTCTAAACGTTCATTGAAGACTGCCACATTGGGATTATCTTCTCCTCCACACACAGCATCATCCCAGTCCGCAACCGCTATCCGACGTGACTTTTTACAAGCTGCAAGTTTGTAAGGTTTTATGATGTTAGATCCTGGTACATTCTGCGTAGATAAAACAACTTCTCCATCTTGTGAGTAAATTGTAACATCCATATACGTACCAATGACAATATATTCATTGTAGGTCACACAAATACACATACATCCTGTCTCAAATCGTACCTGTGCAGACTCGGGTGGGGAATGTACAGATTCAGGCAGTGTCATTTCTCTGATTGTAGAATCATCACAGCATATCCATAAGCGCCCACTAAGGGGACTCATACTAATGCCCTCAATACCACTGACCATTTCCACACTGCGTCCTCTCTCCCCATCACTGTCCATTTGTACCAGCTCTGTACTGTCAGAGGATGCAATCCACACACCATCATCTGTTGCACACAATGATTGAATATTGTGTGTGTGAATGAACTGCGTCTGTTCCACTTGTGCAGACTTCTCCCGCAGGAATTCAGGGATAACCTCCCTGTTAATTGCCTTCTCTTTCTGTTCATCACGAGGACTTGCCTTCTCTTTTTTTTCATCACGAGGACTTGCCTTCACTTTCTGTTCATCATGAGGATTTGTTTTCACTTTCTGTTCATCATGAGGATTTGTTTTCACTTTCTGTTCATCATGAGGACTTGGTTCCAAACTTGGTTTTGGAGCCTCACCTCCAAGATTGCAGCCCATTTTAGATTTTAGATTTTAGACAACATTCCTAAACTTCTGACTCAGATTAAACATATCGGTGTAGCTCAAATTGTGTTATTTAAAGTAAACTTTTCACTGCCATTGTAAGTAAATAATTACACTTTATCACTTTCAGGAGAATGGTGGTCCTACAGGTGTCTTTGATTGTTACTCAGGGGTCAAAACAGTGACTAATCTTCGTCTGTTATGGTGACTTTATGTTTTCAAACAGTCTCTGTAATAGTTACTATACAGTTCCCGACAGCTTCTAATCTTACCAGTGTCTATGATGGTTACCGATGGATTCCAAACAGTCATTGATCCTACCATTATCTGGAGGCTGTTATATGTGATGGTTCTCTATACGTTCCAGACAGTCTCTGCTTCTAACATAGTCTGTGATGGTTACCTAAGTATGTAGGGACAGGTTGTCACAAACCAACCCACACATTATCACAAATTTTCACCCTTCAGGTGTTTCACATTGTCACCTGCCAGACACATTGGTAAAACAATGATCTCCGGCCGTATCTGTCCCCTGCTGTATATCGCCTGTTGCCAGTATGGTAGCTGACCTCAGAACTTTGTGTCTTACACTTACAGTACACCAATACACTATAACAGGCTTCCTACATACCTACGTAAGGGATTTAATTTTAAATATTGACTTCAAGCCACAAGATCAATAAACTGCTATGGGCTTTTATCTTACGTTTTTTAATTATAATCTTTTGATTCAAACAAAATGGAATTTAAACTCTAATAATGGGCCAGACGAAGTTCAGCCTGTGTGGACAGGTTGTAGAATGGACTGCCTGTTAATGAGTATACATATATATTTAAAATTAAAGTACTCCAGTTTATCCCAGCTTCTACGTATAGTTATTATAAATCTGTTTTATTTATTATTTATATGACCAGGCAGTGTTATTGATTTTTTCTTTCGTTTTTGTGCTGTTTTTTATTTTTGTTTTTTTTTTATAACACAAGGAGTTAATCATGAAAAAGGCTAACATGTACACAATCTGTATACAGCGCATATGTATTATTGTGTCAATTAATCTATAATGATTACCAATGTTGATTTAGTGAACACAGTAGTGATATTGAGAGAGGATTACTATACCCCAATAGGCGATATTGATTCTATTTATAACCCATAGTTATGAAAACTTTAAAGGTTTTACTGGTATACCAATGCATAATAAGTTGTCTTGTCTTTTAAACTGTACAGGTAAGCTGTTTAGCACATTACCAGGTACATATAATACCTTACCCCACACCCACCACACATACACAGGAGACCTGTACAACCTGTATCAGTGATATTGTCATGGTCTGGACATTTAAACTCTGCCAGAATAATAACATAGCTAGGTTTTGTAAATGGACAGTGTAGATAACGGTTCAGTCCTTAGTGTACTTTGACCCTTGGGAATGAATTTTTAGTTATGTAGGGATAATGAACTTGATTATGCTATCAAAGACCCTCAGTCCATCAGGTCCATAATTAATAAACACAGACTGATTTGTTTTCTTGTATATACAAATGTATTGATAGGTATACTAATTTAGTAGGTCAGTAATACCAACTAGTTCATCACATCCAAGTTTTAAAAAGGGTTATTTGGATTATCTATTGAATTGTATGTGCCTGTATTATCAAAGTCTGTGATATAAATATATACTTTATTTTACAACAATTGTGAAACAAGCTATCAGCTTATATTAATCATTCTTGTTGGCCTGTATGGATCCGTGCGGGGGTCTTACTGTGGGAGGAAACCAGAGTACCCAAGGAAAACCCACCTGGTCCAGCAGGTGACCCCATACCTTTTCACGTCCTTCCCCCATGAATTGAACCCTGGATGGCTAAGTGAAAGGCAAGTGTGCTTACACTGGGCCACCCTACTGAAAATAACATTCCATAAAAATCAAACTCCACCAAATATGTTCTTAAGATTTTTAATTTCTTTCACTGTCACTATATTCATTTTTAGCTGGACACTGGAGATCTATTAAATGCAATGTTGACCTTTATATGTCAAATTGTTCATTCATTCCATGATGAAGATGTCAAAATAGTTCACATAGTTAACTGCGACTATTTTCATAAATATCCAAGACAGTGATATTAAGTTGTAACTTTTAACAAGATGCTTATTGGACATATCTCACTAACCTGTTACCTGCATCCATTCCATCACTTCACAAATTGTAATATATATGACCTTTGACCTCCTTGGACCTTAAAATAAAGGTTATTAATTTGAACAAATCTGATATCCTTTCATCTAAGCTTGGTTCAGGCACAATATCATAACCATTGGTGTCTTGCTCAATCAGTTGAAGTAGATTGAAGACTGCAACATATTCAACTCTATGACCATAAAGGTAGGTCAAGGTAATTCACTTGAACAACTTGATATCAATTCATCACCTATGAATATGGACAACAATACGACTGCCATATATACATATATATATATATATATACACACACAAAACCAAACGTATGAAGTAACAAGAGGCAAAACAGCACAGGCAACGAGATACCTTGATGCTGCAGGTATGTTTTTTTATATTAATCTAATGAAAAATTATTCTTGAAATAATCTTACAATTTTTTGTATTGTCCTATTTTGATTCTGTCTCTCAAGGTCACTTGACAATACTCTTTCTTAATATATCGTTCCATGTTTTCAGTGATGATTTTGGTTGATAATCACTCCACTTGAACAGCCAATATTCCTTTAAACATCCATACTCCATTTGACTTTGGCCTGCTCCACTGCCCTTTTTGGTATTGAATGATTCAGACAAAACAATGATGAAGTTTAATTTTTCAACACATAGTTTATTTTATTTTGATATCTATGCAGTAATGATTATCACAAATTCACATATTTTTTAAAAGATGTGAATGTTAAAATCCATATACAAAACTATACACATCACATCATCAACAATAAATTAATGTCTATATTTGTTCATATACTTCTATATATACATATACTATGTACATATACTTAACTACGCCTATTCACTATCCTTACACTACATTTACTGGTATATGTATTCCATGGTTACCAAGTTTACACTACATTTACTGGTAACCATGAGCTACAAGGCTACATGCCCTTACACTACATTAACTAATAATTCATAGTCACCAACTACATACCTTTACATCATATTTCCTGGTAACCCTTGATTACCTGGCTATATACCAGGTAACCTTCCAATACATTTACTGATAACCCTTAGTTACCAGCTACATACCCTTACACTATATTTCCTGGTAACCCTTAGTTACCAGCTACATACCCTTACACTATATTTCCTGGTAACCGTTAGTTACCAGCTACATACCCTTACACTATATTTCCTGGTAACCCTTAGTTACCAGCTACATACCCTTACACTATATTTCCTGGTAACCCTTGGTTACCAGCTACATACCCTTACACTACATTTACTGGTAACCCTTTGTTACCTGGCTATATACCAGGTAACCTTTCACTCATTTACTAGTAACCCTTGATTACCAGCTATGTACACTATATTTATTGGTAACCCCTGATATTCTGACTACATACCCTGGCACTATATTTCCTGGTAACCCTTGTTTACCTAGCTATATAACCTTCCACTACATTAACTGGTAACCCTTGATTACCTGGCTATATACCATTCCATTACATTTACTGGTAACCCTTGATTACCTGGCAATATAACCTTCCACTACATTTACTGGTAACCCTTGATTACCTGGCTATATATCCTTTTACTACATTTATTGGTAACCCTTGATTCTCTGGCTCTATAACCTTCCACTACATTTACTGGTAACCCTTAATTACCTGGCTATATACCATTCCATTACATTTACTGGTAACCCTTGATTACCTGGCAATATAACCTTCCACTACATTTACTGGTAACCCTTGATTACCTGGCTATATAACCTTTTACTACATTTATTGGTAACCCTTGATTACCTGGCAATATAACCTTCCACTACATTTACTGGTAACCCTTGATTACCTGGCAATATAACCTTCCACTACATTTACTGGTAACCCTTGATTACCTGGCTATATAACCTTCCATTACATTTACTGATAACCCTTGATTCCCTGGCTCTATAATCTTCAACTACATTTACTGGTAACCCTTGATTACCTGGCTATTAAACCTTCCATTACATTCACTGATGACCCTTGATCAATCATGTTATAAATACTCGGATCTCTAATTCATTTCCACTAGTTTCATTTTAGCAAGCCTTAAAATGATTAAATCTTGTTTCATCAATTCAAATGTCAAATGAAAAATTCTATACACTATTGTATACTAGTAATCCATGGTGACCTAGTTACATACCATTTTACAATTCATTAAGTTGTAACCAAGGTTATCATGCTGTATACACCATTAGAATAAATTTACTGGTAACCACGTTTACTATGCTATACATCCTTATAATACAATTATTGGTAACCAGGATGACCACACTCTATATCCTTATGATTCATTTATTAGTGAGGTAACCATGGTTACCAGATACACATCCTTACACTACATACATACCAGTAATCCTAGGTCACTATAATATATTCTTTTGCACTACATTTTCTCTATACCAATTATCTACTAATTTTCCTGTTTTGTTTAAACTTAAATCACATTTTTTATTGAAACATTATTATTACTCAACACATGGTAATTCCATAACTCAATACATGTATCTTGTGATGACATGGGTTGCATCATTGTAGATACAATTGATGGATTAACTTATTCTAACAACTCCACAGAAAATTGTAGGATTAACTAAATCTAGCTACTCCATATGAAATTGTAGGATTCACCAAATCTAACAAATCCAAGATAAACTACATCTAACAACTCATTAAATGGTTTTAGGGTTAACCATATCTAGCAACTCCATATAAAATTCATGTGAGATTTTAGGATTAACTAAATCTAGAAACTCC